GTGGAGGCCACACACACTACTGAGCCTCATTTTGACTTGTTTTAAGGACATTACATCAACGTTGGATCAGCCTGTAGTATGTTTTTCCACTTTAATTTTGAGTGTGACTGAAAAATTGAAAAATTTCCATTTTTTTTATTTTTGTGTGATTTTGTTGTCAGCACATTCAACTATGTAAAGAACAAAGTATTTCAGAAGAATATTTAATTCATTCAGATCTAGGATGTGTTATTTTTGTGTTCCCTTTATTTTTTTGAGCAGTGTATTAAGATATCTGACATCTCCCGTTCATAGCATTTGACACAATTTTTCTCATTTTTGTTTTTCAGGAAAAGGCCACGTCTGAACACATTGAGAGGCTTGGTGACCGAGATAGCACAATTCCTCCAGAATATCGAAATCTGCTGGATGGTAAAGATGAGAAGGTATCTATATAGTGATAGCTGTCTGCCACTAAACTGCAAAATACCTGTTTATCTATATATGCTTATAACCTATATTAATCTGTATATTTACATCTTCACTTGCTTCCAATTACAGGGACAGCCTATAAAGCCCCCCTCCAAGGAAGAAATGAAGTCTGAGGTATTAATTTCACCTATATGAGTGAGAGTGGCGTGTGTATATGTGATGATATATAATGATTTGTATTTTTTAACATAAATCCAGTGCTTTTCCTGGAGCGATTACATTGTGAAATAGTTTGTCTTCTCGTGTATGATTTAGAAGTCGATGGATGACGATTCGGCTATAGATGCTCTTTCAAGTGGCTTTGCGTCTTGTGATACCAAGTCAACAGAAAAGGTTCAGCAGACTTCAAAGGTAATACGTTATTTTTTACCTTCATGTTTACCCTTATTGTCATTGATGCGTAGAGAGGAAGAACTTTGCTACTTGAAATGTAGATATTGTTAAATGTCTTGCACTTTTCACCATGTTACTGATGAACTTTGTGAAAGGCTGCTGCATCTTTGAAGTGTACGTGCAAGGAATGCTGGGGTTTTAAATTTTTATATATTCATCTTTCTTTTGGTAGAACATAAGTTCAGAATGTTAGGACTTTCTACACAAAGGAAAACTATCTATCGTTAGTTTGTATAAATACAGTGGATCAAGTATTTTTTTTTCCCACTAAAACGTTTTCAAATATTTTTTAAATGGAATGCCGCTTTTTTCTTTTTACCTGCTTTCTCGACTCTGATTTTGGATAAAACCAGGATCTGGCAGTGTTTTTCAGCCAGTCCCTTGCCTCCAGTAACTTTGTATCACAGAATTAATGAGTATCAGTGCATATCTGACTTGACATGCACTTATTATTCGCTAGTCATTATAGAACCTAATGACTGGGTCCAGAGGCTTTCATTCTTCTTTTCATAAATTATCAATGAAGAAGATACATCAGGCAGGCAGTTGTTGGTTTTTATTAATAGAGAGGCATGCACAAGGGATTCTGGGAGCCCTACAGGTGACCTGTTCATATCCAACATACAGTGGTTAAGGGCCAAGTGTGGAGCTATAACACACATTCTGAAAATTCTTCAGTATTGGATTTAAGAATATTTTAACCCTTCAGCTAAGAATACGGCTAAGAATTGCTTCTTTAAATAAAGAACCTTGATGGTACTAGTGTAACTGATTTGTTGTATTACAAAACCTTACATTCTGCATTTTCTTTATTATAGGACAAGACTGAGAAGACTTCTTCTTGCTCAACAGTTTCACAGTCTTCAGGAAAGACTCTGGATCCTGTGAAGGTAACACTAAAAATCTTCTAGATATATTATAGAGCATGCACATCCACAAATGTCCATTCTCATCCTGGAGATGATCTGGCCTGGGCAGTTATATTTAGAAACCTATGTATAGTTGGAAGGGGTACACTGAGTGGCACCCAATGTGCTAGCAACCAGAGAGATCCTATCCATATCACATGGGGAGACAGCACTGGCAAAGGCATAAAACCCCATGCAGGCTGTCAAAACGCCTCTTCCCCAAATGCTTCTTGGATCTAATGGACCCACTAGGACATCTGTAGGGCTGGCCCTGCTGTCATTGAGACATGTCGTAACAATTTGAATGACTAGCGATACATTATCACTGCAGATAGCCCAGCGGTATATTTTAACCAGTTGTATGTTCCTATTGTTGGGAACTTAACTAGAGCATTCCTGCTCTTATTACCAAATGTTGGCGCTATATAAATGCTCAGAAGAATAGTTAGCAGTTCTTGCTACTGCCTTTCCATGGATTCAAACCAGGGGCCATAAGTGAGAAACCATTAAATTCATTCCCATATAATAAGGTCTGGATACAGATTAAAACCATACAACGTAGGTGTAAAATGCAGGCTGAATAGAAATTCTTCACACATTTCTAATCCATTTAAAACAATATATCGGCAAAGATAGATGTCCATTACAGCTCTCGGACTGCAAAACTATTTTACATTTAGCTTTAATGGACCAGCACCATAACCACATCTGATTTTCATGTTCCTTCTTCTGTCACCGTTTGTCCTATTCATATGACATGTACACCATGACCCTGCATGGTGTGAGGCTGCAAATCACTTCAGAACAAATGGTGCACTGCGATACCTATGGTCTGCCTCATAGCTAAATAGGTTTACACATCAGCCACAAGTAGATTCATTCATGAAAAATAAATTAATGAAATTTCACAGCAAATTCCGATGTAATGAAATCTATAGAACAATTCTGGTATCACTTATATTGATATTCCTGTAAAATATTCACTGTGCATTTTGTTGGATTCGTTAAGTTCCCCTTGCAGTTCAGTTTGTTTATTGCCTCCATATGTGCTGTTCTAGGAAAAGACAGATAAGAGCTCTTCTAGCACAACAGTTTCACAGTCTTCAGGAAAGTCTTCCGACCCACCAAAGGTAAAAAACAATCATTTGCTGTGTTTATTGAAAGTGTGTAGAAAATGTTAAGTTGCTTGATTTGTAGGTAGCCACAGGAGACAAGAAGAAGTGTTTTATTTGTGTATAAAATAAGATTAATAAAGGAATGGCTTCTTTCTTTTTGTAGTCTGCGAATGAGACCTCTCCTGCGAAGCCTAGCACCCAGAAGACCAGTAGAAGCTAGATGATTGGTAAGATCATCATTCTGAGGAACACAGTGTCCCTTAAAATCTTACATCACACTAAGCTGAAGAATCTAAATCTGTGGTTGTATGTTTACGTTCTCCATTCAGTCTTTCTCTGTTTCTATTTTAGGTCTATGTATATAGTTTTTCGTTGCACTTGTTCAAGGATGGCTTGGGAAGAACAAAGGCTAACTAACGCAAGCCCATGGCTATGACTTGGCTCTCACTATAGCCACCATTCTAAAGTCCCTGGCACCTTTTTGGAAGTGTTTTGTTTCTTTTTGTTTTTTTCGGTTTTCTTCAGTTCTATAAGAGGGTAAAGCTTTTATATTTGTAATTAAAATATATATATATCACTTTGAACTTGTCATGTCGAGGAGAGAATAAAGTCTGGAATCGCTGCACATTGTCATCGTATAGTCATGATTGTGTAACTCTGAAAGCTGTCTAAGATCTGTGTAAACTTACTTTATGGGATGAGGTCATTTCTTGGTATCCGATTTATCTTTGAGTACGGGGAATAAATGGTGAAATGAATGAGTGCGAGAGTCCACTGCAAATATTAAGCATTAAGTATTCAATAGAAACTTTGTATTCCAGACTCCATACAAAATGTTTACATGAACAGTGCCTTTTTTGCTAAGTGATCTGTTCCCTAATTTTGCTCAAACCATATTTCCCAATATACTGTCTACAAGAATATAATCTGGTAGTTTCCTGCTGGACGTGCCTATGACATTGCTTATTTAGAGCAAGTTTTATCCTATAGAGTTGCACTGATTCTTATGTTACACAGTGATTATTTTCACACGGGAGACTAGCTTGGATGACGAATTTAAAAGCTATTAAGGACTATAACAAAAGTACTGGATGTGTCAAAAACACAGTTCTGACGCAAAGTTTATTGAAATTATAAAAGGGCTACTTGGCTTTGAAGTGCAAACTTTGGAACACTATTGAAAATAAATCTTTTCAGAATGTTATGTTGCAGTGTAATTCTTTCGTGTTTACGGTTTTCATTTATTTTTTATAAATTTGAATAAGTCTTATTGGCCAGATCCTGTTGCGAAGGGGGCAATATAATACACAGGGACAGGACCACATGTAACATATGCAAAGTACCTGTTATATAATGCTTCCCTTACCTGCCTGAAGGTTCTGTAGTTTGGTAGACCCTCTATTGCAAACCTAGAAACTGCGTGGGTATGGTTATTGAATCCCCAAAAAGGAGAAACTAGTATACTACACTTGTCCTGACCAATCCGTATTGGACAAATAACAATACTCTAGTCCTCTAGCTCCATTAACAGGCCACTGTCTCATGGTATTGGTCACATCCAGTCCTGTAGATGAGTTTTCAGGATAGATTTAGAGAGGCACGGTCACAGTCTAGGGACTTTGCAGAATTTGCAAAGACCCCTGACTGTGACACTGCTGCTGGGGATCTGGTGGTCAGGGGTGGGTATGTTTTACCTGAACCTAGCCTTGCTGCACCACCATCTTCCTCCTGCAAGTCCTCTTCAGCAAATGGTGCTTCAGCACCAGGTGTCGACATCACGAGGGTACAGCATTGAGGTGTATAGAGGACATCTGGATCCTCCATAGATAGCTTATTCACTGGTGACCGCTGTCCAGATTGACATTGTAGCTTCTCGTAGCGTAGGAAAAATACATAAGACAAAGTAGTCCCTACGTTTTTAGTTAGAAAGTTAGATGCTGATTTGCCAGGGCTTTGTTTGAATTGTGCTGGCTCTGCCCCTGATCTGCCTGTTTGTCAGTCTCAGCCAATCCTATGGGGAAGCACTGTGATTGGATCAGGCTACCACTCCTGCTGATGTCAGCAGGCAGTGGGCAGGTCTAAAGGAAACAGGGACAAAGTAAGCATCAGCAGACTTGAATACAAGTAAGATTTTACTATATTTAGGGAGGCATGAGGGGCACAGGGGGGCTAGATGGTTGCTGGATGATCAAAACACTCTATACATTATATGTATTTAAAACTTGACCTTTAATAAATACTAGCTAAGTAGGATAGACACTAAACTGAAAGTTGTGTATGTCTGGGAATGAACTTCCAAAATAAAAGTCAAAATGGCAGAATTAGTGGGAAAACTATAAAACTGCATTTTCCTGATTTTATTTATATATATTTAATTGTGCAAGTTTATTCTTAATTTACCACAACTCACGGTTTAGTGAAATAATCTATAGTGAAGAATAGACTATTTTTTTATTTTATCAAATAAGAAAAATGACTTAATACGAAGCACAGAACAACTAGCTGCACCTTTCTCCAGGAGAATGTTATTACCACCCAAAAAATAAATCAGCAATAAAAACTTCAACGTTCCCATGAATCTAGACTTTTTTTGTATTAATTTAAAATATTAGAATATTATCGGGTTAAAGAAATGCTTGTTCTGTTCACTTTTTACATTCAGGGTTCCCATAAATTAAATTTAGAAAAATACCTTTTTCAAGTCCCGAGGACTCACTCTTGTGGAGCCTTCCACTCAGGCCCTTGTGGAGCAGGCATATTCTCATGTTCTTGCCCAACCCAATGCTTCTCATAGAGAAGCATTAAGGATTAGAAGGGCATGCATAGCAAACGTCATCCACATGAAATCAATGGCTTTTCATACATTATTTTTTTTTTTAAAAAGCCTTAAATCCACATTCAATGTCCTCCTGTAATATAACCAAGTCTGACTCTGTTATAGGAGCAGAAGCACCCTCTAGTGGCTATCAGAGGATGTGTTTAGCCCTATTATGTAAACTTTGCCATATTTACGAAACTACATTGTTTTACATTGGAGGAATAAAACTATAAGGCAGCGGAAACCAGACCACTTCTTTAAAGGGAAAGTATGGTGCTAGGAATGCAAAGTTGTAATCCTAGCACTATAGTGTCCCTCTCCCACGCACATCCCCTCTGTGGCACTGTCACTTACCTGATTCCAGTGCTGATGTCCCTTGGCGCTGGTTCAGACTCCCCCTTTGCTCCTACTGAGCAGACGGGGGGCCTAATGAGCATCCGTGGAGAGCACGGTGATCACACTAAATCAATGCTTTCCTATAGGGTTTTAGCAGACACTGGTTGTCCTCACCAAACGTCGCCTAACCACCAGAAAGTGCCTCTAGACAGCCGCTACAGATGGAGTTAACCCAGCAGGGTAATTATTGCAGGCTTAAACTGACATGGGCACTGCACCCAGACCATTTCAATGAGCTGAAGCGGTCTGGGTGCCTATAGTGTCTTTTTGAAATGAACTGGTCTGGGTACTTATAGTGTCCCTTTAATACACTAAACATCAGTGACTTGTGAGATTTAAACATAACCAAGCTAACAATTTCTTCCAAATCTGCACCTTTTGTCTAATTTGTTTGCAATTTGGTGGTAATTTTCTAACTAAACAATGGGTTTATTAAGTAAACACAGTGACTTATTTGTTACTAAAGAGACGTTTGGCCACTTGAGGTGGACAGGCAACGTGACAGAGAAAGAGACTGTGTTTGGAGCAAGGATTAGAGAGGTATCAATGGCTAAAAAAAGCGATGGTTAACAACCAGTCCTTCCTCCTGGAGAAGTTTGTTTTCACCAAACACAGGTGGATTTTGAGACAAATTCTAAAAGCTACACACACAATTTGCACACATTCACAAATGAAAATACAGTGATTATTACACACATTTTGATATTCAGCGTCTGCTATGGCATTGATGCCTTGATTCCTGCCTGAAAAATAATTCAATGCCTCGTTTCCTTTGTATGTGTGGCAGACACGTGGTGACCCTGGCACTTAACAACTTGGATGTAGACATATGGGGGCAGAATGAGAGTTACCCGTGCCTGGCCGACATACATTACCATGGCTTCTCAGGGGGAGTCTGCGAGTGCTATGACTGCAATGTATGACAAAATATGTGCTTTGAGTGGCTCTGTCGTCAGAACATATTACAATCCTCAGTTTAAACACTAATCAAACTATGGTTTTAGATTTGTCGTCGTTTCAGGGTGCAGGCCGCCATCTTGGAATTACATCACAACGTTCAAAGTCTGTGAGAGTTAAAAAGAAATAACACAAACGTTCCCAGCTTGTGGCTGAGCCAAAAAAAAAGGCCATTCCAACACAGATGATGCTCTGTTTCAAAGCATTGCTGGAGATTTGTTGTATTAGTAAACAAAAAACAAATAAATTGCTGAACAGATTTAAAATGATCAACAGTATTCACAGTTATAAAAAAAAAAACACCAAAAAACATATGCTGCTGTATAAATGATTTCTGATAACTGAGCTAGTGTAACACTATACAAACCTAAATCAGAAACTAACATTCTATGACCAGTGTCCTATCTCTATATATTACTCTCATTGCCCCATTATGGTATTGATGAGAATTCTCTGGTATCGACATTCTATCAATCACATGCCACCACTGAACATATCACGCAGTCTAACCCACAGGTGCTATTCTCACCACAAACCTTTCATTTCGACTACCGTCTAGTGAAGTGTTCTCTATACATAACATTAAAGTGTTAATTACTAAACCATTCATTGTCAGGAATTCACTAAGAAATTGCAGATCTTAGATCCATATCGCCAAAATTGGAAACATTCCGTAAGCCGGCTATTTCCAATTCACTTGTTGATTCTTAGCAGTTCATAGTTTAGTAAATAACCCTGATCATATTATTATTTACATCCACACCAAAAAAAACTTGGTTTTCTAAAAACACCCGTCTGAGACAATTAGCAAACCTATCAAATTACCTGGTTTACATTATGCCAGGCCTGCCACCAATACGAAGTATCACAGTCTACTGCTCTATAGATAGAAACATTTATCCATCTTACAAAATTACGCCCTGCCCCAAAACTCCCATTACTCCTGGGCGGCAGCTAAGACTATAGTACACATCAGCCCCGATACATACAATCAAAACCAGAGAAAAATTACTATTGGAGTGATACTAACAAAAAAACTCCAGTCATTTAAATGTGTATAGGGATTTGGGATAGTGGGCAAGTATCTATTTTCTTTGGTTTTTATTACATTTATCCATCTTCCTACAGCACTTTCACCCTATTTATCTATATACCCATCTAACTACCTACCTTTTATGGCAGTTTGCCCACACTATAATTTAACTCAAATTATATCATCAAATCAGAACGGGGAGGGGGGGCAGAGGCGTTCTAGCCAACATTTTTTTTTTATTTTTAATTGACAGCTCTTCTTTAAATTGCAATGTGCAAATGGAGGTTAAAGCAAGATATTCCAAATTTAAAGCAACAATTGATTTGAGTCAAACATCATATTAAATCATGACACAAAAAAAACACAAAAAAAACAGAACCTGTTGCAGGGACTGGGAGTAAAGTCCCAATGAGCCTGTTTTACTTGCAGAGCGACAGATAGAGACTTTCAGATTGTAGTATTAAATCCCGATTGCTGTGTGCTCCCTCTGCTGGACTTTGGTAAACACTGCAATAAACGCCTCTACATTAATTCATTCTCCTGAATCATTAATTGGCGGTCAATTAATTAACCCTCTAAGTGCCAGGCTGACTTGGATGACAATTGTTGGGTTCAGTAGGACCTATATCAGTCACTCAATATCAAGTAGTAATTAACTATTGTCTTCTAACCATCGTTTTATAAGTTCAAAGTTTTTATCCATCCATCTGATATTCTCTTCAATGTTCTCTCTTGCTTGCTGGACACAGCGGAGTTGAGAACCCTTTTCGTTCAAGTGCTCGAAAAATCCTGCCACCTGCAACAAAATATTCACAATCATTACAAGGGCAAAGGTACGGTGACAATTTATGGCGTGTTCAGGGGACAATCAGGATTTGTCCTAATGGACCTATAGGGATTATGAAACCTAGATGACCAATAAAAAACTAATTGAAATTTTTGGAAATAGAAGAAAAAGGAACGGTAAATAATATATAAATAATAGATAATCTGTAACAGGAGAATCTTGTCAACATTGCTCTTTTTCCTTAAGGTTAAAACAATCACTTTCCAATATGTCCCATTGTATTACAAACAGTCAGGGATATTCGTGAATTGGAAAAAAGTGGGAAAAGAACGGGAAACTTTAACTCAAAATACCCAATTAAAATATTCCAACTTGGTTATTTTCCCAGCTCGGTTATTTTGGGCGAATTCCAATACAATTCAAGGTTTAGTGAATTTCACTGATTAAATTTGAGAAAAAAAACAAACAAAAAAACAAACATATGGACATAGTAAAACTTATACAAACTACCGGGGTTGTTCTTTAGAGTTGTGGGAATTTGATGAGAATTACAAATTTTAGGGAAAAATTAGGCAAATCAGAAGAATTGTCTACTTAATTCTCCATAATACTTTGATCAGGGCATAATCTCAATTTATTTGTCCACGACACATAGTAGATGTCAGCGTGACAGGTGCAGAGATGGGGAGCGATCTAACATTATCAATAGACTGGGTGATGGGTGCAGAGATGGGATCTAACATTATCAATAGACTGGGTGATGGGTGCAGAGATGGGGTCTAACATTATCAAAAGACTAGGTGATCGGTTCACAGATGGGGAGTGGTCTAACTATCAATAGACTGGGTAATGGGTGCAGAGATGGGGAGCAGTCTTACATTATCAATAGACTGAGTGATGGGTGCAGAGATGGGGTCTAACATTATCAATAGACTGGGTGATCGGTTCACAGATGGGGAGTGGTCTAACTATCAATAGACTGGGTAATGGGTGCAGAGATGGGGAGCAGTCTAACATTATCAATAGACTGAGTGATGGGTGCAGACATGGGGAGCGGTCTAACATTATCAATAGACTGGGTAATGGGTGCAGAGATGGGGAGCAGTCTAACATTATCAATAGACTGGGTAATGGGTGCAGAGATAGGGAGCAGTCTAACATTATCAATAGACTGGGTAATGGGTGCAGAGATGGGGAGCAGTCTAACATTATCAATAGACTGGGTAATGGGTGCAGAGATGGGGAGCTGTCTAACATTATCAATAGACTGGGTGATGGGTGCAGAGATGGGGAGCGATCTAACATTATCAATAGACTGGGTGATGGGTGCATAGATGGGATCTAACATTATCAATAGACTGGGTGATGGGTGCAGAGATGGGGTCTAACATTATCAAAAGACTAGGTGATCGGTTCACAGATGGGGAGTGGTCTAACTATCAATAGACTGGGTAATGGGTGCAGAGATGGGGAGCAGTCTAACATTATCAATAGACTGGGTAATGGGTGCAGAGTTGGGGAGCGATCTAACATTATCAATAGACTGGGTGATGGGTGCAGAGATGGGATCTAACATTATCAATAGACTGGGTGATGGGTGCAGAGATGGGGTCTAACATTATCAAAAGACTAGGTGATCGGTTCACAGATGGGGAGTGGTCTAACTATCAATAGACTGGGTAATGGGTGCAGAGATGGGGAGCAGTCTTACATTATCAATAGACTGAGTGATGGGTGCAGAGATGGGGTCTAACATTATCAATAGACTGGGTGATCGGTTCACAGATGGGGAGTGGTCTAACTATCAATAGACTGGGTAATGGGTGCAGAGATGGGGAGCAGACTAACATTATCAATATACTGGGTGATGGGTGCAGAGATGGAGAACAGTCTCACAATATGAGTAGACTGGGTGATGATGACAGGGCCGGACTGGCCCACCGGGATACCGGGGAGACATTTGGATGACCTGCGGCCGCAGGGGGAGCTAGCTGTTCTATCTCTGCTCCCCTGCCCTCATGCTATATGTGTCTGTCATGTTGTGTGTGTGTGTGTCTGTCTGTGTCATGGTGTGTGTGTGTGTGTGTGTGTGTGTGTATGTCTGTCTGTGTCATGGTGTATGTGTGTGTGTGTGTGTCTGTCTGTGTCATGGTGTGTGTGTCTGTGTCTGTGCCATGGTGTGTGTGTGTGTGTGTGTCTGTCTGTGTCATGGTGTGTGTGTGTGTCTGTGTCATGTGTGTCTGTGTCACGGTGTGTGTGTGTGTCACGGTGTGTCTGTATCATGGTGTGTGTGTGTCTGTCATGGTGTGTGTGTCTGTCTGTGTCATGGTTGTCTGTCATGGTATATGTATGTGTCAAGATGTGTGTATGTCTGTCATGGTGTGTGTGTTTTTAAAAATAGTGTTTTTTTTCCCCAACGTCGTGCTGGTCTCCCCTCGACTGGCCCTGCCTCTCTGACTGAGATCATCGAGCTTGATGATCTCAGCCAATCCGCACTGACACAGGAAGTGCCTCTAGTGACCGTCTGAGTGTCTGTCACAAGAGGTGTCACTAGGAAGCAATGTAAACACTGCCTTTTCTCTGAAAAGTCAGTGTTTACATTCAAAAGCCTGCAGGGACAGGCTATAGACACCACAACCACTACATTAAGCTGTGTGTGTGTGTGCGCCTGCTAGTGAGTGAGCTTGTGTTTTTATGTCAATGAGCTTATATCTATCAGTGAGATTGTTTGTCTATGAGGCTGTGTATCAATGAGCTTGTGTCAGTGAGATTGTCTGTGTCTGCATGTGAGTATGCTTACTGTATAATTAAACGTTTTACTATGAAAGGACCAATATTTTATATTAGAAGAAGCAATATATATTCGATATATATATATATATATATATTACTCAATCATCTAGGGTGGCAAGACATAGCCTTACATATTACATGCGACAATATATGGCGCATTGACTTATGGGGCTGGCATAGATTTTTTTTCCAGGGCTGCTTTGTATCCCCAGTCCGGCCCTGGATGATGATACTGAACTCATCAGTCTTGGCTAAAAATAGTCTTCCTTAACCCACAGTCTTGACTGCTACTGCAGATACACTCTAGACACATAAAAAAAAAAAAATAACATCACTGAAGTGATTTAACAATTTACAAAAGAGCAGAGTTCAAAAGAAATCGGAACTTTGATAACCAGGGGCAAAAACTCCTCCCCAGCTGCCACTCTGACAATAAGGGAGCTTGTTTTCCGCTTCCATGAGCTCCATAGAACTAACACATGTAGCAGACACACTAGGTTAGAGTGGACCTGCCTTCCCTCCTCTCAGTGAGATGTACTTCAGATGACTGAGAAGTATCAGAAAGTCGTGATTGAGTGCGCATGCACGACTCCAGCACAGAGATTTCTCAATGAAAAGCTTCTGATTAGACAATTTTTTGGCACACGGAAAGAGGGGAGGGTTTGCAAAGGCTGCAGAGAACAGATCTGCAGCATTTGTATGTTGTTTGGATATACCCCCAAAGAAAACATGCAGAAAAAAAAATCCTTCATGTTTTCTTTGCTAAAGTGTGAAAAGAAATGTAATGCTCATTAAATCTTGCAGTAAATGTCTTCCAATAAACATATAAAAAAAAAATAAATCAAAAATGTTCCTTTCCTTTTATATTTCAGCTGAACAAGTTCCCTCTCCGCCTAGATCCAGGGCAAATCACACACACTTCATTAATAGCCAAGATGTGAAAAAGGGGCTCATTTCTCAGTCCTCCTATAAGATCCTATAAGCCACATGAACTAAAGTGCAAAGTGCATATTATCATTGTTTTACTCAAAATCACTTACATATTCCATTTCAGCAATGAATACTGTAACTGTATATCACTGGAAGTAACTCCTTACTGTCCAAAGCCATTAAACTGACCCTTTATAAATAACAAAAAGCTAAAAGTATCCAGGTACCTCTTGAAGCCATTCCTTTGTTGAATACAGTTTTGTGACTCCAACGACCATGTCGCCAACTGTTCGCGATCCCAGTTCAAACCTGAAACAGAAGTATTATTATAGAGCGGCACTGCGTTCATACGACGACAATCCACAGGCAGTCTGCAATGCTTACTTTTGGACAAAACCATCCCAGTTGTTCTTCAGAAACTCCCAAGCCAACATGTGACCATGTGGGTTTCTGCTGACGTAGGAAACAATATGTGGAAGGTCTTGAGTTTTGATATGGTGTCCTTTCATACCCTCGTCCATCAACCTGGAAAATATAAAAATCATCATATTAGTGGTAAATTAACAAGCGACCGCGCTAATGCCAAACTAACACCCGATATACCTAAACCAGGACATGGTGGCTGAATGTCCAGTTTGTACCCAAGAAAGATAGTAGATGTGAGGGTGATGATGGGTGTTCTGATGGGGAGCAGTAAGAAGAATGGAGTAAGTAGTGATCTCAGGACTGGCGAGGAAAAAGTTATTTGGGGTTAATATTTTTTTCAAGAGCTTGTATTCTGTATACAGGATTTTAACGGATAACTTAGAACAGGTGATAAATGCCAGTTGTCAGTTGACACATTCCAGAGTGAAGCGGAGGACAGAGGGGACAAGATTTCTGTTAACAGCACTTCGGGGTTTACCGGTTTGAAAATAGTTTAACCCCATAAGGTAACACGGCACCCAGGACCACCAGACACCATAACAATGTCACTAAGCTGAAGTTGTTATGGTGCCTGGAGTTGTCCTTTAAAACGCCATAATATCTTGACAGAGGCTTTACTTTTATCTAGTCTTGGGAGAGGGTGCATCAGTGTAGCCTGCCAAATCATGGAGGGCCGAGAGAAGAACCAATCAATACATGCCTATATTGGTAAAATAATGGTAAAAATGTGAATTTCACAATCTCAGAAATATACATAGATTTATACATACAATGATGGAAAGTTCTAATACCCACCATTGCAGTTTCTCCTTGTTTGATGTTAGACTCAAAGCTAATTCAATCAGGTGCATTTCACTGTTGGACAGAGTTGTTTTGTATTTTTCGAAGAGAAAGTCCCATCCGTCGGGTTTCTGACCTCCCACAGCATAAACAGCCAAAGCAACATCACGCGGCAGACTAAAAGATAAAATATATAAAGAGATGAGAACAAAGCATTTCATAGAGAACTTCATTTACTTGTTTCACCGACTGGAAGATCTGCGGTTTCCAGACTGGGGAGGCCATCTTTCTTTGCACCATTCACAAAAGTCTCATATAAAAATAAAAGAAAATGATCAAGACATCTGCTTTACACGGTTTGCTTTACACACACACACAAAAAAAAAGTAAATGCTCAAGCTAAATAGATAATTAAAAAAATAAGAGAAAATTATTTTGCCTTTACCTATTTCTGCAAACGAAGTGAGCCTGTCTAATAATAAGTAACTGTAACCAGTAAACTCTCCTGTTTATGACTCTGCAGCCGGCGTTAACTAGTGGGAAAAGTTCACTAATAAACTACAGAATTTCACACCTGCCACAGATGTGTGTTACACTAGGACAAAAACCACATTTTTTGAATAGAATTCACTGTATCGGTACAAACTGTGTACATCTCACACATTCACAAGTTCAATATAGCAAGCTTCCCAGTCCGTAAACTGGGTGTTGAACTGAACAGTAATGGACAAAACAAACATACGTTTTACAATTTCTCACAGTGGGTGAAGGAAACTGAGTAAGAGTGAAGGTACAAGACCCTGTGCTTGCAGCTGGCTCCTCACAAGACCCCAAGGAAGCCGCCCTCACAAGACCCTCACAAGACCCCAAGGAAGATAAGAAAAAAGGACGGTGGCTAAAACAGAATCAATTTCAGTAATTGTGAGTGTGTTTGTCCAATGTGGTTATTCTCTAAAATAAGAATTGTCAGGAATTTAAAATGAATTTAACATGAATTTCAAAGTTCAGGCCAAACTAGTTGAACTGGAAACATAGCTGACTTGAATACCATTTCCATCTTTGCATTTCCAATAATTCCAATAAATAGTGTCTAGCAGGGTGTGTATATTTCTGGCAACGTGTATCTGTATCTGTGTTTGTGGGTGTCTGGCAGTGCATATCAGTGTTTCTGTGTGTGGCTATGTCTTACAGCATTTATATGTTTGTGTGTCTGGTGCAGTGTGTATTTGTCAGTGTGTATCTGTGCGTGTCTGGCAGTGTTGTGTGTCTGGTAGTGAACATATGTAAAACAGACACAACGTACACATCTTGCTTCGTAATAAGTGGATTGTTGTAGTGACACTACTTTCTCAGTGCAATGGACAATGTATGTTACGTTATTTATATTATCCTATAAGAATGAGTCATTCAGCTCAATATCCGATTGAAGAATGTGTCGACAAGCTAATGCTGTGTAAATAATTTGGTTCCCTGAGAAAAAAAATATATTAATAACCACTGCCTTCGATACACGTTAAATGTGACTTTTGAAATGCCACAGACCTGTTTGTTCCATTAGACTCTTGCCATTCTCTGAAAAGGATTTCTGCTTTCTGTACACAAGGTTGGTAGCCGCGGATGCACGCTAGGACGAGCAGCGAACTTCGCAGCATTCTCTCAGTTACTGTGCCATTGTCTGTCCACGTCTGCACATCAATCAGGTTGCGAAACAGATTCAAAATGTAAGCCTGTGAGAGGCAGATACAGCGTAAATGAGACCATGTCAAGAAACACTTGACATGGTTTTAACTATTACAAAGTATTCAAATGGCCTCACCTTCATTTTCATCTCAATGTCCTTCATGTCCCTCTTCTCCATGAGTTTGTATATTGGGACCAGCTCGTCCATGCCTTGAGACACTGGCATGATCTTATCTTCGTTTTTCAAGTACTGAGTCATACTGAGAGCTTTATCAATGGGCAGTTTCCCGATGCTGACAACAACATGAAAGAAACAATGATCATAAACATTCTAGGTGTTGTGTGCATCACTCGTATTGTCAAGGAACATTAGTCTTAAAGTGGAACCGTCACATGAAATTTAACGTAGAGAAATGCAAAGTTATGCACTTCGGGGTTAAGAATGCACAAGCAACTTACACCCTAAATGGTAGTGAATTAAGGATAACCACACACGAGAAGAATTTGGGAATTGTTATAGACAACAAATTAGGCAGCAATATGCAATGTCAATCTGCAGTTGCTAAGGCTAGTAAGGTTTTGTCATGTATAAATAGGGGCATAAATTCTCGGGATGAAAATATAATTTTGCCTCTTTATAAATCGCTGGTAAGACCACACCTTGAATATGCTGTGCAATTTTGGGCGCCTGTTCTAAAGAAAGATATCACGGCACTAGAAAAAGTCCAGAGACGAGCTACACAATTGATAAAAGGAATGGAGAATTTTTTATTTTTTTATAAATTCTTTATTTTTGGTGCAAAAGATTTTACAGGCATGCCCGTGTAGCCACGACAGCAGACACAGGCAGGTTAATGCAGACATGTTCGTGGCATGATACATTTGCCCATTTTTGTTAAACAGGAATATAACAGGTTAGTATCCATTGCTTATATGATATAACATGCTAAAGTAATTAAGCGTATTAATAGTTAAACGTAAGATTGGTAATCCGCTTTGTCTGGTTGGCATGATTCTAACAGGCTCGGGACCTGAGCTAACATACTAGATTTAACTAACGAGATACACATTTAATATACTTGACTAGGTTTTCAAGAATACATTTGTGATAGTCTAAACGAGTGATCTATGAGTGAGACCCCGTGGGATTCCTTACATAGGCTAACAAAGACATGAAACAAAAGAAAGAGAGTCGGTGTCATCAAGTAATATACTTGTCTAATTGAGACATATAAAAAAAATTTAAAATGTTTTTTGCATGTTTAACATTGCACATTTTTATATATAAATGAGAACAAGTCACTAATAGGTGAGACACACAAGTTTGTGATAAAAGCCATATTGAGTGATGCATTTTTATGTTAGATTACATTAACCCCTTAAGGACACATGCCATGTGTGACATGTCATGATTCCCTTTTATTCCAGAAGTTTGGTCCTTAAGGGGTTAAAAAAATTTTCATCTTGAGTGGTTTTACGTGGTGGTGGGATCGCGTTAACTGCAAATTTAAGTAGCTTTGCATGGAAACAGGCTAATTTGCAGGTCTAATTGTTAAAGGCAAGACCCAGTCAAAAACAATCTTATAACTCAACTTATTAAAAAAGAAAAAAGGAAAGAAAAAAGATAAACTTACTAATACCAGTGTAATTGTAAGTTAGACGTCTGTAAGTTAGACGTCTATATATCTATTACATGCTGAGCTGACCAAATTGACGTTTCTTTAGTTAGTGCTCTAATTGCCTAACTAGGTTGCTCCATTGACTGGGTCAGTTAATAAGCATTAAACAATAAACACTAGCTAACTTTTGTGATCGATCTTTGAAATGAGGAACAATGGCTGTCATTAACGGAGTGTTATAGGCTGAGTGTCCGGGAGGCCTGTGGCACAGGCCGAACCACAGTAGTGGTTATGACATATCTCGCTATATACACAATGCTAGACCTAGCAAAGTAAACGGTACGATTATGTTTATATGTGCCTATTTAGAGGCTAACTAGGCAGGTTAATTGACTATTAAACAGATAATAGCATAATATTGCGGGTGGACAGTCCCGGTCATGTAAGTCAAAGCAACAAAGTCCCCTGGGGTCCCCCAGGCATGAGTCCCGCTCCATGGGCTGGTATAAACCGTGAAAAATAAAGGGTGAAAAAAAAAAAAAAGGTGAAAAAAAAAAGGAACGTTCCCAGGAACTTGGGTGTTGATGTCGTCTGACGATTTCTTGCGGGGTGTTGGTGGCGTTCCAGCGTGGCTCTCTGTGTTCGGTTAGGCATATGAGACAGGGACTGCGTGTGAGATGTTGCAGCAGCACCCCCAGAGCTTGAGATGTAAATGTCATGAGTCCTGGGGGTTATAAGTTACCCCTGTCTAGCCCAGTAGTCCACTGTAGCCAGGCGCCGGCGGTGCCAGGATTGGAGCGCGGGCGTCTCTGCTCTGCTTAGGTGGTGACCGCAGCATAGGTGACTGGTGCAGGGTTTCGAGGCACAAGTGGTGCGCTGTTCGCTGGGTCCCAGCTGTTAGTCGCTGTGAAGGGGGCCTGGAGGCCCATTTGGAGGAGTGAGTCCCAGGTTAGGCCCATGGCCAGTAGCAGCTCTGTTGCGTCCTGTGGGTCATGAATTTGGTGGGTGGTCTCATCCCATTGCACGAGGAGTATGTGTGGGGACCTCCAACGGTATGGGATCTTTTGGTGCTGGAGAGGGGAGGTGAGGGGTCGGAGCGATTTGCGCCATGCCAGGGTTCCCCTTGAAAAGTCGTTGTAAAAGGTGAGTGTCGCGTTCTGAAATTTCAAGGGAGTTTTACCCAGGAGGGCGTTGAGGACTGTTGCCTTGTCCCTACCATTCTTAAAGGTCAGGATTGTGTCCCTTGTGGTTGCCACTGGGGCCCCAGTGGGCTTTGGGATCCGGAAAAGGTCTGTGGGTTCGATAGACGTGGATTGACCCGGGGGGAGTATGGCGGCCAAGAGGCTTTTGATTTTGTGTGGAAGATCTGCCTCCGGTGGTCCCTCCGGGATCCCCCTGACCTTAATATTGTGTCTCCTTCTCATGTCCTCTTGGGCATCTAGGCGCCGTTCAAGTAGTGTGTGTTTGCGGTGCAGCTCCTGCATATCACCCTGCAGTGCAGTGATGGTGCGCTGGTGGTTTTGAGAGGAGGCTTCCAGCACGGTAATACGGCCTGTCAGGCCTTGCAGCTCTCCTCTTAATGACACCGCATGTCTGTGAGGATATTTTTTTGCAGGTCTGCTAGTAAGGCTTTCAGCACTCCGGTGGTCGGCATCAGGGTCAGTCCTTGGTTTGCCCGGTTTAGATTTCACTTTTGGGGCTGATGCTCGGGGGTATTCCTCGTCCGCTTCCTCGGAGTAGTCATCAGAGAATTCCGTGAAGACCCGTGGAGCGCCGCCATATTGGCTTCGCTCGGGCCGCATGCTTGTCCCCACATTTCCCCTATTGTGAGCCCAGGAGCTGAATTATCCGGTGATCTTTTCTTGTTTTTGCATCCCATGTAGCCTGTGGGGTTCCTGCGTAAGGTCTGCTTTCAGTGGGGGTAATTTTGGGTTAGATTAGGTTTGATTTCTCCGTTTGTATTACGGAGCTCCAGAGTTGTGCGACCGTTTGCCTCTGCTGCTCGGCTCCCGGAATGGAGCATTTTAGTTATGAAGAAAGGTTTAAAAAAATTTAATCTGTTTAGTTTGGAAAAACGGCGCCTGAGAGGGGATATGATAACATTATACAAATATATTCGGGGCCAGTACAAACCATTTTCTGGAAATCTATTCATAAACAGGGCTATACATAGGACACAAGGTCACACATTTAGGCTGGAAGAAAGGAGATTTCCTCTAAGGCAAAGAAAAGGTTTTTTTACAGTAAGAGCAATAAGGATATGGAATTCTCTGCCTGAAGAGGTGGTTTTGTCAGAGTCAATACAGATGTTTAAACTGCAATTGGATAAATACTTGCAAAAACATAACATACAGGGATATAATTTCTAATTAGTTGGGTAATAGCTGCTTGATCCAAGGAGACATCTGACTGCTATTTTGGGGTCAAGAAGGAATTATTTCCTAGTTTGTGGCAAAATTGGAAGCGCTTCAGACTAGGTGTTTTGCCTTCTTTTGGATCAACAGCAACAACATATGTGAGGAAGGCTAAACAGGTCTCTTTTCAGCTATGTAACTATGTAACATCGCTGGAAGATACATCATTAGAGGAAAAAATCATCTATAACTTGTATTAGCCATCATTCATATGATACTTTGTTTTCTATTAAATGTATATTAAAAGATTTAACAATAAAACCACAATACTGTTTAGTCCTGGCAGGACAGTTAGGGCATGCTTTGCATTCGGCTCTCTATGCTCTCTCTATGCTGACTGACAGAAACACAGAGCAGAATTAGAACTATTACAGATGGAGGCGTCCACTTCCAGGGCAGAGAAAAATACAACAGTGTGGGTTTCTACATTTAATTTTATTTTTCAAACCTCGCAATACACATTTGTTAAAAATAGAGGATAAGAAAATCTAAATAATAATCATTGAAGTGTCCACAGTGAGAACTAAACAGGCAAAACCTCTCTCCGATATTATCTCCCATATACATGCTATCTATCCATAATGGTTAAATATTATGTGCTACTAGATGGGACCCTATATTGAATCATGAAATAAACCTCATGATATTTTTCAGAATATAAGACGCATTCATAAATTTAGAAGAAAAAAATAAAACCACTAGTCAAATGTCTTTAGTGTCCCTTCTTATCTCCTGTTGTAGGCTGGTGCTCCCAGAGAGCGGCTTTCAGTCAGACCAGGTATGGTATAATGAAGATCCTCTATCATGGACCGTGAGGCCATGCTACACAGAATGACTGTCGGGAGGGGGAGCTCTCTGCTCTACTCTCCCTCCAATCACTTGGATGTTCTGCCCTTCCTCGGACCCACCCACCCACCACTCGGACATTGCTCTAGATAACCTTGGGAATATAGGATGCAGTTTTTTTAACCCAAAGTTTAAGGTAGAAAACTCCGTCCCATATTCCCCAAAAATATAAGCAGCTAAATTATTGAACTGAGTTGGATAATGTCCTTCTAATGGGGTATTTTGGCTATCATTATCAATTGTCCGGGTGGAGGGCAACTTTATGTGACTGGGTCTCACTCAGTGACATTTGTAAGAAAACCTTGACTAATAGCAAATATTAAAGTATTCATTTATCATCGAATAAAACTGTTAAAACTGTCTCTCATCTTGCTCTCAGATCATTTATGGTACTGTTCCAATCAACTAACTGTGCAAACCACAATCATTCCACAAAACAAACCATTGTACGGGAACCTGACCAGATCTATCATACTTACTTATACCCCCTAGCCGAGCTCGAATCTGGCCTGGTTATTGACGATGTATTGATTATATTGCAGGTGTGTTGTGGAAAACAATTGACTGTATTGAAGAACACTGGATCCACAGTGGTTCCTACCTTACAAGCTGGAAGGCGTTGCTGATGAGGCTAGCCCGGTCGTTGCTGCTAATAACAGTGTGATTGTCTTTTAAGAGTTTGATCAGAGAATTCCATCCTTCACCTTCATAGTGGACTATGTAGTAGCCAGACATTCCCACATTAAACTTTATCCAATCCACTTCTTCTGAGAGGACTAACACATCTACATTTCATACGAAAGGAAAATATGTTTTCGTTCTTTAGCAATGCATGTCCATACTGCTCACAGATATTTTAATGCTGCTAAATTTAAAAAGCCACCAGACATCATAACACCTGTGTAACTCGGAAATTTGACCAAATAACTTGTTCCATTAATAAAACCTTAGGCGCAGGTTACTCTATAGCTAGCGGTAAAATAGGGCTCAAGAAAAATTCAAGAGGACTATAGGAATGGGCCGTTTATCTGTGATTTACAGACCTTGTTAGCTGTGTGCATATAAAGAGGGGTGGAGAACGCCTACCTTTCTTAGCTGTAAGCAGGAATCTTTGCACGGTGTTAGACTTGCTAGTGATGTATGTCAGAGGGATATGCCACAGCAAACTAAAACAAAAGTAACAACATGTTAAATAAATATATATTCATTGCATACATAGATACATATGAATGTATATAAATGTATGTTAAATACTAATTATCTAAGGTGGATATTTAAAATTAATTCCTGCAGTTAAATCATTAATTGCATAATATAGTTTTCATTTTTCTCATCATTAATTTCTAAATACAATTGAATTGATTTTCGATTTATCCTGCAGTCTCACTGCTCAATTCTCTTAAATTTAGAGTTAAATCACTTTGTTTGTACAGCTCTGTGCATGTAACGTGCATAGCCTTTCTAAACACTTCCTTTAAAGCTGGCCTGCACAACCTGTGGCCCCCCAGATGTTTTTGAACTACAACACCCACGATTTCTTAAACCTCCCCTAGCTCTCCTAAAAAAGGAGTTTTCAGTCAAAATAACACCTGAAGTAAGTGTATTGACTCCATTCTTTCAATGTATTACATGACATGTGACTTTCTAACTGTACCTCGCGGATTCTGCATCCTTGGTGCCTTTGAGATAATGTTCTTGCTGAAGTTCAACATATTTTCCCTTTAGTGTAACAGTAACCAACGGGAAACCTTTCTGTAGCGTCCATGTGTTCATAATTGATTTAACATCCATGATTTCTCCTTTAGACCAGTGCTGAAAAGAAAACCATACCTTATATTATAATTTAAAGGCAGGATTCACAGTGCTAGTAGGAATTATTGCCGCGCATGCACCTTAGGTCTCCCCTGCCGGCTGACGTCAGTGGGGAGGATTGGAGGCGGAGCCAGTGCCAAGGGACATCGTTGCTGGAATCAGGTGACAGAAGGGGTTTTAACCTTTTCTGCACAACTGGGTGAAGGAGGAGGGCTTGACATAGGGGGGCACTTTAAGTAGAAAACTTTGTTTTCCTGGCACTATAGTTTCCCTTTAATTTTTTGAATTCTCACTTTAGTGAATAAATCTATAAGTGTATTGCCAGTGAGCATTACCAAAGGATTCTCTAGCGTATTGGGGAAGAGCCAGCAATGCCAGGGGACTACAGGACTTAATGTGACTACAAGGGACAGCAAGAAGACACATTTTAAATGACCAACAAAATATTGTACTTTGTTAGAGGATTTGAATTTTCTTGATTCAACGTGAGAATCAATTTTATGGAAAACAAACAGATTTCTAGGACAAAGGATGAACGTGTTTTATATATTTTAAAGTAAATTGTAAGTCACTGTCACTATTAGAAAATAATGGAATACTAGTATAACTTACAGACGCTTGACGGTTCTTCTTGCAGTATCCACTGACCTCCTTTTGGCCATTAGCCGTCTCCTCCGAAGGACAGATCTATAGAAAATATAATATAACACCATAGCGTGTAGACACCATAACAGTGAATTATGGTGAATTGTAAACCACATTGTAAACGTCAAACTTTGGCTATAGCTCAGGTGGAAGAGTTTTTTGTTTTTAATCAACTTTTTTGCCTTAATTATGGTTTTAATTAATTAATTTGCTTTTACATTCACTACCATTCGATGTTTATTAAATAAAACCCCATAGGTAGTATTCTGAAAAACTGGCAGAACTTTGGCAAACTTCTCAAGACTAAAATAAGTTTTCCCACTTTCCTACCTCTGTGTTTCACAGAGCTCCAAAACAATAAAACTCACAGTAATGTGCAGTATGTACGAGTGTATCACAGAGCTCCACAACAATAAAACTCACAGTGATGTGATGGTGTTTTAACAAAATGTAATTGCTATTTAGCGACAATTAAGGTTTTTAAGCTTCTGTACCCATAATAATAAAGGTTTTCAGTTATGCCTTAACATTAATCACAGACCCCACACCAATTCGCACCAAACGCTGACCAGGCAAGCACCATTCTCAACAATTGAAAATGATGGGAGGCATGTAATCCTATTATTAAATGTGCATTAACATTGCATTGATCTTACTTACATCTGTCATACTGTCCCATAGGTCTTCGTTTTTAGCACTACGGTAGCTATACCGACGTAAATAATGTACAATACCAGCTTCAAAACTTTCAGCACCCATATATTCTCTTAGCATATTCAGGATACACGCACCCTAAAATAAAAGGTAAATTATTTAGATCCTTATACTAGGCAAGTTATAAAAATGTCAGTCACAGGTAACTTGTAACATAATAAAACAATATTCACAAGTTTTTCACACTAATAGTGATATATATGTATTTTCATTTTAAACTTAAAATGTGCCGTTGCTTAGAAATCACATTGTTCATAACAAATGGAGCAATATTTTCTTTAGGAGGTTAAGCAGTGAGTTTAGTTATTTGATAAAGTAATTTTAAAAGTATCGATGACGATGATTAACCCCTTAAGGACACATGACATGTGTGACATGTCATGATTCCCTTTTATTCCAGAAGTTTGGTCCTTAAGGAGTTAAAAGAGTTTAGTTGAGGGGGCGGGGCCTGACCGCCATGCTGACCGGTCGCATGCAGGAGAGGGTCCTGCAGAAAGTGACCTTTTTGAAAGATAATCTGGCACTCACAGCCTTAATTTGAGCCAGACGGGAACTGCTCTGTGCTCGAGCAGAAGTGGGCACAACGGCAGGCTCTGAGATCGGGAGCTTTGGGGCCCCACGGGCTAGACAAGGCTTTGCCGCCCTGCTCACCTTCCTGGCTGCCACACGACTACTCTATGGCACATCTCACAGGCCCCTCCCCCCCCCTTTGGACCAGGGGGGTCATCCCGGTCTCCACTACCGACGCAGCCCTCAACGAAGCCTGCAGGGCGCACTCCAACTGCCCCAAACCTTAAATGGCCGCCGCATGGACTAACCGCAACGCAGCACCCAGAGAAACCCCTCGCTACCAACAAGGGGACTGAGTGAACCCCTGGCCCCAGCAACACCTGTAACCAGCTACCAGGTTCTACCTACCCAAGCCTCAAGCCAGGCGATATGGCACCCCACATGGTAGCGGTACACTCTGGGGGGAGGCCCAACGGCACCAGACCACCACCAGCCTACTCCCTGGCAAGGTCAGGATCAGCAGCTCATCTACCGAGCTGGGAAAGCACAAGACACACATTTGGGCCGGACCCCAGCCGACCACCCACTACTCCACATCTGAGCTCAAGACTGGGAGAGGGAACGACGCTGCCATGAATGAAGCAGGAAGAGATGGCACAACATGATCAGCATGGGGCAAGTGAGAACAGCCGTTGGCACACCACTCTGTCTTCCAGAGAGACTCAACTACCTACCCGATTTGGTATCTGCGCTCAGTGCACATACCCACAAACTCTCATATGCTTACTCTGGTGGTATTAATTGAAATTATGTTCAGCTGGTTAGCCGTTATTAATTTTTGTTTTCTCTACGAGCAGGGGGCGCAGGGGGTTCAATCCTGTTCTATTCAAGCTCTCTCTTTATTTTATCTATACAGTGTGTTGATGGAATCTAAAATCTATACAGTGTGGTACCCAGTGGAATATTAGCCTGTCACGGTTTATTAGCATGTCAACCTAATGTGATAATTACTCATACCTCCATATCTAGCTAGTTATCTGAGTCACAAAACTAAATGTATGCATTTCAGTTATATTTCTTATGCTAGCTCATGTTCTGATCTCTAGTAGCTAGACTTGACTGAATAGCCTATGTAGTAAGCTTATGCACACAAAGTTTACATGGCACTCATAAGCACGCACTTACACAGCAACCCTACAAGCAACGCACAAACTAGCACAACGAACCGCACTGCAGCATGATTTATAATGTCAAATATAAATAACCAAGTGAGAACCTGAATTGCTGCAATGTTGACTTAGTTATAAACGCCTGTCCACACACGAATTGCAGGGCTACACACCTTACCATAACATTAAGCGAGAACAATTCTGTTATATACACATTTAGCATAGCATGTTTATTGCAAACCACGAATGTCTTATAGCATGTTATTTTCATGAGGGGAAAAAAAAAAAATGTGCTGTTTAACCTGCCACACTTTGAAATGCTATGAATCTGCTTGCAGCGGCTGTCGTGGCTCTGCACGCTTGTTGTTACTTCATGCACAAATAAAATAAAGAATTAAAAAAAAAAAAATATGTTTAATACTCCTTTCTTTAATTATACAGTAATACCAGCCACCTCCCCCCCCCAAAAAAACCAAATTGGTGTAATCTGCTTGTGTCGTTATTAAAAGCAACACACATGTAAAATGGGCAAATTGTGCAACCTTATAATCTATATATTGGCTGGTTACATCAGCCGTAATGTGCGTTGGACTAGACACCTAACGATATGTATCTGCCTATCTCAAATCCTTATAGGTTGTGAGCTTGTTTGAGCATACCTTTTTCACCTCTCAGTATCTCCTTTCTATCATTGTTACGCGCTTTGGAATATTTTGGCGCTTTATAAATACTAATCATAATCGATTCTATACAACTCCACAGCTAGTGATAGAGCCACACGATAACACACACACACACACACACAAACCTTGACAAGGAGATACACATACATGTGCACACAGATTCACAATGAACATTATGAGAAGGAAGGAAAAAAAACAGACAAAAAGCTTCACAAATGAATGAGATCCTACAAACTAAATTGAAATACAGGCAGTCCTCCCTTTACGACTTACCTGTTTAACAATGGCCAGCTCTCTAGCATGGGGATTCAAGGGATTCCCCACGTTAGAGAGCTGGTCATTTGGAGAATGTACACTGAACATAGATTAGAGGGGTTCCCTGCTCTAAATTTCCCCAAACACAGACCTGCACTGGTGCACGTGCTCTGTAGCGCATCCTCATTTTCCGACCGAGTTGTAAGAATGGAATCCGGTCGGTAAGTGAGGAGTGTCTGTACACAATTGTAACAGTTTGTAAATTAATTCAGCTGTATAAATTAACCCCTTAAGGACACATGACATGCCTGACACGTCATGATTCCATTTTATTCCAGAAGCTTGGTCCTTATGAAGTGGTCTGGGTGCCAGGTCCATCTAGGGTTAACCCTGCCTGCTGTAAACATAGCAGTTTCAGAGAGATTTTCACAGTGAGAAGACGCCAGCGTCCATGGGAAAGCATTGAGTAATGCTTTCCTATGGACTGACTGAATGCGCGCGCGGCTCTTGCCACGCATGCACATTCGGTCGAAGAGGGAGGAGAGTCCCCAGCGCTGAGGGAGCCTGGCGCTGAAGAAAGGCAAGCGTTTAACCCCTTCTTCAGCCCAGTGGGAGGGGGACCATGAGGGTGGGGGGGACCTAAAGACCATATAGTGACAGGAAAACTAGTTTGTTTTCCTGGCACTATAGTGGTCCTTTAATACAGTTGTGGACTTCAGTTTCTATACAATACAACCTCACACATACAAATGGACAAGATGTAAAAACATTGCAGTACCTTATCATAGGAGACTTCATCAAACATCTCTTGTATCTGTTCTGGGGTTTCGACTAGTGCAGAGACAGCGTGAGATGAGTTTAGGGAATCTACATCCATGGCATTGAAATATTTGTCCAATAACAGATCTTCCTAAAGAACAAGAGAAATATTTAGCATTGTCATGTAGGACCGTGTCTCACGTAACATACAGCTCACTCAACTGGACAAACACTCAAAGATCCTAGACTTTGGTTAGCACAGCTCCGCGCCGCTCCAGTAACCTCTGCTGTCTATAAGATGTGCACTAGCCAAGTGGAACTATACAACCTAATGTGAAATGGCCCAGAAACCCCAACTGGGCCAGCGATAGCCAATATACTTTCAACAGCAACAGATAGAAAATTACTTATTTGGATACAGACATAAAAAAATAAAAAATAAAAAATTCTGAAATCTGCCAGAAATGTACTTTGTATACCCCATATTGACCACAAAAATGTTATACACATTTTATTTAATTTTTGTGTATTTATTTATGCCATTGTTACAGGCTTACAGAGAACTAGCCATAGAATGAATAGATAAATATAAATTTTGTTTTTTACATTTCTAAGCGCAGAACACAAACATATAAGGTACAGTACAGTTACTAGTCAATAGTATAAAAAACATGGCAGGCATTGGATGTATTGTGTGTAGGTTGTAGGGTTCGGTGTGGAAGGTAAGGTTTAGGAAATAAAGGCAAATTTAAAAATGTACAAATTAAAGTTGTGTTGGGTGGGGGGAGGGGGGAGGTTCAAGCTGCTGTGTCTTTGGAAACAAAATACAACTGAACTCACGACTTGCAGTTCTGGATACGTGATGGCAACGGCAATATACTCCATGAATTTTGCGAATCCTTCATTCAGCCAGAGATCGTTCCACCACTCCATTGTTACCAAGTTTCCAAACCACTAAAATTAGGAAAGTCACAGATAGACATTATAACACATTTAATTGGTCAGTGAACTTTAACTCTTTGACTGCTGGGGATGTATGGTCTATGGCATATACGATCATCTATTTCAACAGACCGATTTAGACTAACAGGCTTACGGACAGGGTAGGAATAGATGATGATGCACAGTCCAGTTCCAAATAGTTGTTCTTTTTTTCTTTACAAGACTTATAGTTGTGTTTAAAGAAGAAATATTTATCTACCTGATGCAGGATAGCAACTGGCACTCCATTCCACAAAATAATAAAATCTGTATTCTCAGCCATCCACTGTCCGCCAGGTTAAATGACATTGACAGACATCATGTGGACGTGTAAATTCTAAAATATAATTATATTAATTCTAATAATAATAATTAATAATATGGCCAGGGAGAGGGCTGCTGGCTTTTTTGAAACCACTCCCAAACTCTTTGACAAGGAGCTGAAACCATGAGGCACTTGACAATATAAGCATTATACTGAGCAGTACTAATACGCTGGGCTGCAGTGATTTTAGAAGCACTTATAGCTGTAAGAAGTGTATGACCAGCGCTCTGTCCCAGGGAGAGACACCAATCTTTCTCTACAACACTAATGGTAAAGGAACCAGAGTCCAGGATCTTCTGTAGACAAATCAAATATATTCAGGCAAACGCAGAATAATATGGAGGATACACACAAACTGTCAGATCCAGTATGTCATTTGGTCAACAATGATACATTTACTTCAATACTAAAATGGTTGGGTTTCTGCTTCCCAGATCTGCCATACCTTATTTCCTTTCTGTAATACCGATACATGCTTTATTCTGTTACTGTAATACCTGTGTAATTCCGGTGCATGCCTTATTTTGTTACTGTAATACCTGTGTAATACCGGTGCATGCCTTATCCTGTTAGTGTAATACCTGTGTTATACCGGTACATGCCTTATGCGGTTACTGTAATACCTGTGTTATACCGGTGCAAAATAAAACATCAATCCAATTGTCCCCCAAAACAAGGACAGAAGGTGCCTGTAGCAAGTGTGTTAAAAAATGATAAGCTTAGAGTCATGTCTACAAATGCTCGCAGTTTAGGGAATAAGATCCATGAACTTGTGGCAATAATGGCAACTGATAGTGTAGATTTAGTCGCTGTTACTGAGACATGGTATAATTAGAAAAATGACTGGGACATAGCAATACCAGGGTACTCTTTATATAGGAAAGATAGGGAAGGCAAGAAAGGGGGAGGGGTAGCCTTGTATGTGAAGGATAGCATAAAATCTAGCCTAATAAAAGTTAGTGAGGCAAACATAGAGTCCGTTTGGGCTACGTTAGAATTTGGTAATCACACAGTAACTCGTGTAGGTGTGATTTATAGGCCCCCAGGACAAATTGAAGAGTTAGATAATCTACTAGTTGAGGAAATAGCTAAAATTACAATGAAGGGGGAAGTTATCATCATGGGTGACTTTGATCTTCCTGATGTAAATTGGAAAACAAAATTAGCTACTTGTGCCAGGAGCACACATATTCTAAACTCCCTACTGGGATTGTCTCTAAAACAAGTTGTTGAGGAGCCAACTCGTAAAGAGGCCATACTAGATTTAGTGTTAACAAATTGAGATTTGGTATCAGATATTACTGTAGGTGAAAGTTTAGGATCCAGTGATCATCAGTCAGTGTGGTTTAATATAAGAACAGTGATTGAGTCACACCACACAAAAACAAAAGTTTTAGACTTTAGAAAAACAGACTTTTCTAAAATTAGAATATGGGTAGAGGAGTCATTATCAGACTGGAGCAATTTAAATGGAGTCCAAGAGAAATGGGATTATTTAAACGTTGCACTATTGAAAGCAACTGAAAATTTCATTAGGCTTGTCAGTAAAAGCAAAAAATTCAAGAAACCACTGTGGTACTCCACAAATGTGGCCAAAATAGTTAAAAACAAGAGTGAGGAAGACAAAATGATCTATAAGATTAGGCAGAAAGAGGCTAAGCAAGTTATAAGAGCTTTCAAATCACACACAGAAGAGAAAATAGCACAGTCAGTAAAAAAAGGGGGATAAAACATTTTTTAGATACATAAATGAGAAAAGAAAAGTAAAACAAGGATTAGTTAGATTAAAAACAAAAGAAGGAAGGTATATAGAAGAGGATAAAGGTCTAGCCGACTGCCTCAATGAATATTTTTGTTCTGTATTTACAGATGAAAATGAAGGCAAGGGACCTCAGTTGAGAAAAAGGATAAATGAGTCATTTATTACACATGAGTTTACAGAGGAAGAGGTTCTATTTCAACTGTCAAAAGTAAAGACAAATAAGTCAATGGGACCTGATGGAATACACCCAAAGCTATTAAAAGAGCTTAGTGGTGTACTAGCAAAACCATTAACAGATTTATTTAACCAATCATTGTTAACAGGAGTAGTCCCAGAAGATTGGAAGTTAGCGAATGTTGTGCCCATTTACAAGAAAGGTAATAGGGAGGAGTTGGGCAATTATAGGCCAGTAAGCCTTACTTCAGTAGTGGGGAAAGTGATGGAAACCATGTTAAAGGATAGGATTGATGAACATCTAAAAACACATGGATTTCAAGATCAGAGACAACATGGGTTTACTTCAGGGAGATCATGCCAAACTAATCTTATTGATTTTTTTGATTGGGTAACTAAAATTATAGATCAGGGTGGTGCAGTAGACATTGCTTACCTAGATTTCAGTAAGGCTCTTGACACTGTTGCACATAGAAGGCTTATCAATAAACTGCAATCTTTAAGTTTGGATTCCAATATTGTTGAATGGGTAAGGCAGTGGCTGAGTGACAGGCAACAGAGGGTTGTATGAATACCAATCAAAGGTTGCCTCTTTTTACAGAGGAGTGTGTATAACAAAAGTGCTCAAAAGAGTCAAAAAGTGAGTTACAGGCAGCTCAATACACTAGTGTGGAAATATCCTCTATTCCACTGAATAAATTTAGTAGATATTGGTGCGGTGTAAGTGACAAGGACCTACACCTATAAGTGGAGCGCTCAAACACAGATAAATCTTACCAAAACGTAGTCTCATTCAATGGTAAAATATGGGGTACATGTCAACATAAAATACAGAAAATACAATATAGTGTAGACGGTACTAAAAAATGGCTTCACAGTGATTATAATATTGTGTTGAATATTACACTCACATTTCAAGGAGCCTGTATATAGAAAACACTGGCCCCGTATAAAGGCTTGTGTGCTGTTATGGTAGCACCACCCTCCTACTTCGGCTTGAAGAATTTCTCAGGAACACGAAAAAAAGAGAAGAAAGCAAACCAATGTGTAGACTTATGGTGATAGATGGCACAGATATGTGTTCAATAAATGGGGTGCTCACCTGGTCCTGAGCCTACGAATCCCGGCTCTAGGTATGTGGATTTTGTGCCAGTTTGAATGGGGATGGCACTACCCCTGTGAGGATTCCTTGGAGGCTCCAAAAGGAACTTGGATGAGGTATTGAATAAAAATGGTGAATTTATTAGTTTAAAATAAACATAAAAACAAAGATGATAAAAGTCCTCAAATAAAAGTCCTTTAAAAATGGCCAATACGCGTTTCACTCTCAAATAGAGCTTCTTCAGTCAGCTGACTGAAGAAGCTCTATTTGAGAGTGAAACGCGTATTGGAGGGTGAAACGCGTATTGGAAACGCGTAGTGAAACGCGTATTGGAGGGTGGTGCTACCATAACAGCACACAAGCCTTTATACGGAGCCAGTGTTTTCTATATACAGGCTCCTTGAAATGTGAGTGTAATATTCAACACAATATTATTATAATCACTGTGAAGCCATTTTTTAGTACCATCTACACTATATTGTATTTTCTGTATTTTATGTTGACATGTACCCCATATTTTACCATTGAATGAGACTACGTTTTGGTAAGATTTATCTGTGTTTGAGCGCTCCACTTATAGGTGTAGGTCCTTGTCACTTACACCGCACCAATATCAACAGAGGGTTGTAGTTAATGGAATATATTCGAAGCTTGGACTTGTCACCAGTGGGGTACCTCAGGGATCTGTACTTGGACCCATTCTCTTTAATATTTTTATTAGTGATATTGCAGAAGGTCTTGATGGTAAGGTATGTCTTTTTGCTGATGATACTAAGATATGTAACAGGGTTGATGTTCCAGGAGGGATAAGCCAAATGACAAATGATTTAGGTAAACTAGAAAATGGTCAGAATTGTGGCAACTGACATTTAATGTGGATAAGTGCAAGATAAGGCATCTTGGACGTAAAAACCCAAGGGCAGAGTACAGAATATTTGATAGAGTTCTAACCTCAACATATGAGGAAAGGGATTTAGGGGTGATTATTTCTGATGACTTAAAGGTAGGCAGACAATGTAATAGAGCAGCAGGAAATGCTAGCAGAATGCTTGGTTGTATAGGGAGAGGTATTAGCAGTAGAAAGAGGGAAGTGCTCATGCCATTGTACAGAACACAGACCTCACTTGGAGTATTGTACACAGTACTGGAGACCGTATCTTCAGAAGGATATTGATACCTTAGAGAGGGTTCAGAGAAGGGCTACTAAACTGGTTCATGGATTGCGGGATAAAACTTACCAGGAAAGGTTAAAGGATCTTAACATGTATAGCTTGGAGGAAAGATGACACAGGGGGGATATGATAGAAACATTTAAATATATAAAGGGAATCAACACAGTAAAGGAGGAGACTATATTAAAAAGAAGAAAAACTACCACAACAAGAGGACATAGTCTTAAATTAGAGGGACAAAGGTATAAAAATAATATCAGGAAGCATTACTTTACTGTGAGGGTAGTGGATGCATGGAATAGCCTTCCAGCTGAAGTGGTAGAGGTTAACACAGTAAAGGAGTTTAAGCATGCATGGGATAGGCATAAGGCTATCCTAACTATAAGATAAGGCCAGGGACTAATGGAAGTATTTAGAAAATTGGGCAGATGGGCCGAATGGTTCTTATCTGCCGTCACATTCTATGTGTAATACCGGTGCATGCCTTATTTTGTTACTCTAATACCTGTTTAATACCGGTGCATGCCTTATTTTGTTACTGTAATACCTGTGTAATACCGGTGCATGCCTTATCCTGTTAGTGTAATACCTGTGTAATACCGGTGCATGCTTTATCCTGTTACTGTAATACCTGTGTAATAGGGGTGCATGCCTTATCCTGTTACTGTAATACCTGTGTAATACCGATGCATGCCTTATACTGTTACTGTAATACCTGTGTAATACTGGTGCATGCCTTATTTTGTTACTCTAATACCTGTGCATGCCTTATCCTGTTACTGTAATGCCGGTGCATGCCTTATCCTGTTACTATAATACCTCTGTAATACCGGTGCATGTCTTATTTTCTTACTATAATACCTGTGTAATACTGGTGCATGCCTTATCCTGTTACTGTAATACCTGTGTAATACCGGTGAATGCCTTATTTTGTTACTCTAATACCTGTGTAATACCAGTGCATGCCTTATCCTGTTACTGTAATACCAGTGCATGCCTTATCCTGTTATTGTAATACCTCTGTATTACCGGTGCATGACTTATTTTGTTAATGTAATACCAACAACAAAACATTTCACAAATCTGCTATAGGGAAATAAAATCAATGTAAATACTACGTCATTTTTCTAGGTTATATCATGGAGACATTACTGTGTGTTTATTAGATGGCTTTATCTCTGGCACCAACCTGATGGGCAAGTTCATGAGCGATCACCATGGTTATCCACAGTTTTTGGGAGGCTGTTGATATTTTTGGGTCATAAAGCAACGAAGATTCCCTGTAGGTTGTCAGTCCCCAGTTTTCCATGGCACCGGATTGAAAATCAGGAATGGCAGCTAAATCTTTAAAATAAAAGTAATCAATAATGTCAAAGCTGTTTCTAAAAAAATAAGAGTAAGGATTAATTTGCTTAAAAAATAATAATAAAAGTAATGTGTGAGACAGGCCAGGATATTAATGTGATGCTGTGTTTGTCTCTAGTGATGCGGCAGGCAGGCCATCACAAACAAATGTCACTACCCTGTTCAACCCTACCAGGGGTAGCGCATGTACGTAGCTGGTAAACCACTCTTACATGGGCTGGTTGCCTTAAGATGAGTTTGCACAAAGCTTCGAATGACGCGCTCACTCCTTGCTTATTGGAGCATCGAAGAACAAACCTGGCCCAGCAACACCGGATTCTAATGCAGGACTGCCAAGAAAACCTAGGACTGCTTGGGTATATCCACGGTCAAATCTCTAATGTTATAGCACTAATTATAAAAACAATATATACAGGTTGCCAGTCAGCACTGTAAAAGGCAATGGGGTGGGAGGGTAAAGTAGCTTTCTGTAACCTATATTACACAACTGAGGATTAGTTACTCTCACTATACATATGTCAGGAGGCTGTGGGCAATTGAGGTTCATGTAAAAAAATAGTTTGACTTAAGTTTTCCATAGTAAAGAAAAACATAGCGCAACACATAGTGTTTCTCCACAGTAAAGAAAAACGCAACACATTTTACTGCCCATATAACCTGTATTTCAGCTCTCATTACTTAAACAATTACGTATCACGTTTTATTTCAGCAAATGTATTTTTCATGCGATTTGACGTTTTTCTGTCTCAGTTTTAAAAATTACCTTGCTTTGGCAATGGATATGGAATGTCAAAATATTCTTCATAGAAGTCCAAGAGCTTCACTGCAGCCTCTAGAGCGTAAGCACCCTGCTCGATCTTCTCCGGGACGGCATACACAGAGATCTAGCACATGAGTGTGAGAAATTTTTAGAATGTTGAAGCCCTTAATACGTAACATTCATTGTATTGTAAAGCGCTGCGGAATAAGCTGGCGCAATATAAATACCAATAATAATAATAATGCTATTTTTGTTTTACAATTTTTATTTTGTGTTTTCATAAGTAAAGAGTGAATAATAAAAGGAATTATGAATCCAGTGTTAACAAGCATCAAGCAGGTTAGGATAACAAGATACAAATTATGAAACAAGTTCATGGATGCACTTCGCAAGTTGGTACAGGTGCGTAAGACATACATCAGCACTGTCTATCTTGCAGGGGTAACAATTAAAGGACCACTCTAGGCACCCAGACCACTTCAGCTTAATGAAGTGGTCTGGGTGCCAGGTCCAGCTATGGTTAACCCATTTTTTAATAAACATAGCAGTTTCAGAGAAACTGCTATGTTTATGAATGGGTTAAGCCTTCCCCCATTCCCTCTAGCGGCTGTCTCATTGACATCCGCTAGAGGCGCTTGCGTGTTTCTCACTGTGATTTTCACAGTGAGAGCACGCAAGCGTCCATAGGAAAGCATTGATAATGCTTTCCTATGCGACCGGCTGAATGCGCGCACAGCTCTTGCCGCGCGTGCGCATTCAGCCGATGGGGCGGAACGGAGGAGGAGAGAAGGAGGAGAGCTCTCCGCCCAGCGCTGGAAAAAGGTAAGTTTAAACCCCTTTCCCCCTTCCAGAACCGGGCGGGAGGGGGTCCCTGAGGGTGGGGGCATCCCCAGGGCACTATAGTGCCAGGAAAACTAGTATGTTTTCCTGGCACTATAGTGGTCCTTTAACATCAGTATATCCACAAAATACAGAAAAGTAGCAAGGTGTGTGACCCAGATCTATTGAGGTGTACCTTGTAAGATCCAAATAACCGTTGTACTGAGCCGCCAGCACTTACGCCCGAGTATACTTGGGGGTACTGTTCGGGCAGTCGCTTAGGTCGTGCCCATGTGGGCCAAAGATTATGTAGCTAAGGGAGAGCAGTTGTGATGAACTGAACTGCAGGAGAGTGGAAGCAAGGGAAGTGGGTGAACAGGGGAGGGAAGAGAAATAAAAGGGTGAGGAGAAGAAGAGGTGGGGAAGAGAAGAGGAAAGAAAGATAGGAAGGAAGAGAGATACAGAAAAAAGGGGGGGGAAGGGAGATGGGTCAAGGCTTATCTATAAGATGCTTATCTTATGCCCGAGGTCTTTGAGAAATGTACTCCAGCCAGGGGGTCCAGGTGGAAAGGTGTTTTTTTGAGGTGCCCCTTAGGGTGCAAGTGAGGGATTCAATTTCGGAGATCTCCTCCACCCTATCTATCCACTACTGGAGAGTAGGCACCCCCGGGCGTCGCCACAGGGTTGGGACTAGGGATTTAGCTGCCGTGAGTAGGTGTTTGGTTAGTGATCTCTTGCAGGCCTTTAGGGGTACTGTGGTGTGGTGTAAAAGCATAGGGAGCGGTTGGGATAGGAGGTTGGATTCAGTGATTTCCCTGATTTGGTGTGCATCATTGTCGAAAATGTGGCGATGGGAGGGCAGGACCACCAAATGTGGAGAACTGTGCCCGTGTGGGACCTGCTGCGCCAGCATTCCTCAGGGGTTATCGGGTTCATTCGGTGGAGCACGTCAGGCGTCCTGCACCAGTTGGTCAGCACTTTATAGCTCATTTCCTGGTACTTAGAGCTTATGGAGCATTTATGGGTCAGAATGTATATCTTGTACCATTCCTGGTCAGTGAGTGTCTCCCGCTCCCATCTCACATGAATCTGTGGGTCTGTGGAAGAGCATAGTGTATAGTGTGGAGATCCCCCTGGGGATATTTGTTCGCGAGGTGCATAGGGTTTAGAACTGGGTAAGGGTCCGGTGCAGCTGAGGCCTATCACTCAGGGAAGTGTAGTACCCTTTGACCTTGTGGTACCGGAACTGTTGTAGCCCTGTCGGGTGACCCTCAGTTAGTAACTCTGCTTGTGTTTTGAGCGTGTCCGCGGTACACCATTTGCGCAGGTACGTCCAGTCCGAAATAGGGAAGCCCCGTAGGTCTTTTGGCCCCATGCCCTCCTGGGGTCAGTGGGCTAGGGACTGTGGTCAGCTGGTGAGAGTATCGTAGGGAGCACCACACTCGTAGGGTGGCCTCTATTAGTGGGTTCCCTGTGCGTAGGGAGGCGTGTGGTGTCCCCCAACCAGAGCCGGGCATCGCCCTGCCGTAGCTCCATTGTCACCCACAGTTTGGGAGTTGAGGGGACGTGCCACTCTGCTAAGCGGAGTAGGTGTGCAACCTAATAGTATGAGGTGACCGATGGGTGTCCCCCTACCCCCCCTCCTATCCCCCTTTCCTACCCTCTCCCCCCCGACCCTCAGCTCCTCCAAGGTCAGGGGTCATTCCAACTCCTCTGCCACGCCTGGTGTGACCTTCCTAGCAAGGTTTTGTTCAAGAAAAACAGTTATCCTCCTGTGGTGTTGTTGGGAAGCTACGCCCTGGCGGGGAGGGGATATGTTGTAGAGGTGGGTGTAGTAGTTGTAGAATGCTCCAGGGATCTCTTTGGGAAACCTTGTTTCCTTGTTGTGATTTTATGTATGTGTTGTGTCTTCCTTTGTTTCTATAACATCCGGGCAAGAAGGCGACCGGATTTGTTAGAGTATTCAAAAACGAACCTCTTGGATTTTCGCAGTGTGTGTAGGAGTGTTTGTGATTGGTGTCCTCTGAGCTGTCTATGAGCTACCGTCAGTCGCATGAATATGTCATCCGTCAAGGTATGTTTATGCATCTGTTCCAAGTCTGCAATGCATTTAAGTAGGTCGTATATGTGGTTAGTACGTTCTTTCTTTCACTGGGAGCAGATGTTAATATAGTGCCCTCCAATTACGCACGTATGCGCTTCCCAGATCATCAGGGGTGGGGGGGGGTACCTTGGGGTTAGTATTATTATCAAAGTATGTGTCAGCACCTGTTTAGTCTGTGCGATGTCATCTGGGTTCATTAGGAGGTTTTCGTTCAGTTTCCACTGGCGGTCAGAGGGTTTGAACAAAGGCGATTTGAGCTGCGCGGGGACTGGGGCAAGGTCAGAGGTACAGAAGATCCCTATGTCTCTGGTCAACAGGAGAGAGAGGTATTCCTCCGCTACAAAGACATAGTCTACGTGGCTATAATGTTTGTGGACTGGGGAGTAATGTGTGAAATCTCTATCCTCAGGGTGTGCTACTCTCCAGCAATCCACCAAACCCAACTGCGTAAAGCCACCCGTGTTGAGTGTATACAGTGTGGTGACAGTGTGCTAGTCTCTCTGGACGTGTCCATCTGTGGCTCTAGGGGTATGTTGAGATCATCAGCCAGAACCAGCCGGCCATCCCGGAACTTCTGAAGTGTGGTGAGGGTTTTAGTGAGGAAGGTGTGTTATCTACGGTTAGGGCAGTAGATACAGGTAAAGGTGTACGTGCGGCCTTCTATAGTGCCTTTAACAAAAAGAAACCTTCCTAATGTGTGTGAGTGTAGCCTGGCACATGAACGGGATAGTATGGGCAGCCAAGATCGCCACGCCTGACTTCTTGTGCTCATTGTGGTTGGCAAAGAAATCCAGGTGGTAGCGTTTGTCCCGGAGCGCCGGGGCCATGCCCTCCCTAAATTGTGTTTCTTGTAGGAAGGCTATGGAGGGAGGGAAGAGAAGGGAGTCAGAAGGGAATCCAAGGGGGAGGGGAGGGGAGAAGAGTCCAAAGAAGGAGGAGGGAGGAACGGAATTGGTGGTAGATCAAGCAAACACGACTCTAGATCGGGGAGTGTTGGCCAGGGGTACACAGGCCCTGAGGCCACTGTCCACTCCCTCCCACCGATCGTATATGTACAATGAGAGTCCTTTGCATGGGGGGCTCAGGGGCACAGCTCACATAGGTACAGCATAGTAACCTTCCTAATTAACATGTGCATAACTGTGAGAAATATTGGGTATTAACAATGGCATTGTGTTCCAACTCTAGCAGCAAGGTCAGGCCCGGATCCGTCATGATCCCGTAACCCCACCCGCACCAAGGCCAAAGCAAAGAGGAATAAGCAGGCTGTGGCTCCCAGGCCCCGGGGAGACAACCCCTGTACCCACCTGTGGCAACTGACACCCCCTGTGCACCCCACGCCAGCCACTTATCGGATCCAACCCCCACACCACCCGGGACAATGGGCAGTCTGTGATGGGCACTCACCAGGGTAATAGTGGGTAGCAGCGTCAAAGTATATGTGTAACTTGCAGCAAGGTCACCCAGAGCCCCACCCCAACACATGTATGTCCCGGGCTGTCGGGGAAGAGTCCGTCAGTCCCTGTCTTGGGGACCCCCACCACCAGGGGGTCACGTTGTAGATTGGGACACTCGGTGGGGCCCGTGGGGGAGCCAGAGGCGGCCAGGCCATGCCATGCCGGGGCATATGGTGTAAGCACCAGGAGCAACGAACCACATCCCCCCCACACCACTGGATAATACTAACATTCAAATGCATCCTTCAGCACTTATCATAGAGCAGTTAAATGAGATGAGCGCATGCCCTAGCCATGACTTCTCCCCAGCCATAAGGACCCACCGTGCAATAGATAACATACCGATGATACTGAGGAGGGCTGTAAAGCGAGGCTCATGAGTGAGCAAGAAAATGTTATAGCTGACCGCCACGTATGCGTCATAGTTCCCAGCCATATTCCAAGCGGCCCCCACCCAAAGCGTGTGTTGGGGCCAGTCCCACCCTGAAGGGGTCTGCACTCAGGGGTGCGGGGGCAAAAGCTATGAGTTCAGGCATGTCCAGTGCCGGAAGGGGGGGGGGGACAGAGCAGACCCCTATCGTCTAGGTCCTCCATCTGTCGCCGTAGCTTAAGGAGCACAGAACCTTGTCTGGAGGTAGCCAAATCCGCGGCCTGGAAATGTTGCACAGCGCGCTGGCCTTCAGCTTCCAGCTCCCCCACACAGGTTTCGAGAGTCGTGAGGTCCCTGCGCACTTCAGTAATTTCTTCGCGGATCACTGCTCTCAGCTCCGTAACCATAGCCATCTAGTCACTACGGGTAAGCATGTTTGCGGAGATGGAGGCAAGTTCAGCAGAAATCTGAGTAAGTGTCTCTCCGCGGGCCGAGCCAGGAATAGAGTCTTCTACACTCTCGGAGCCTGGTGATGCCGGCGCCATTTTGCCTAGTGGCCATGTGTCTTGGAAGCCGTCCAGGGTGGAGACAAAATTGTCCATCAGACCAGTTAACTGTCTAGTGGGGCCCGATACCGAGGCGTTTGTTTTTTCCCATTTTGCAAAGTGAAAATTGCCTTGAGTTAGGGCTTTGTGAGCTGTGGCCTACAGTCTGCATCTGTCTCCCTCCATTGACCTGCCACGCCCCTCAATAATATGTTATTTTCATTATCATAACATACTTCCCAACTTTCCCTATGTAGGTGGGACCGTTCCTATTTTGAACCCAAATATTTCTGTCCCTCTTGTCTATCCGAGTCTATCTAGACGCTTTATATATCCACAACAATAATATCCTCATTAATGTCTCTTTAAACTACAATAAATGTGTTTATAAATCAGCCTGTGTAAATAAGATGCATTGTTATTGATCTAAATTACATTTTAGCTGTATAAATTGCTAATTTAAAAAAAAAAATCCTTCCCTGGCCACACCGCCTCAAGAATTGAGTGGTATGCTCACAATGAAAGGGACAAATGTAAAAAAAAAAAATATTGACTTGTCACATAATATCAATGTATGGTTTTGTTTTTTATTTTTTATAAATATGTCTGAACTCCTTTTGCTATTTTTTCTCAGTTCTATGCCTTTAGTGGGATCTTTGGGTGTGGGTTAGGTTCTAAGCCTTTTATACTTCTAAAGTAGCTAATTACCACTAACACTAATCTGCAGTAATATTTTAATAAAATATCACTAATACTAATCTGCAGTAATATTTTAATATACTATCATTAAGACTTTGAGCAGAATATCTCAAACTCTGCTATACACAAGCCACGTGCGTCGAACAAGGATGTGCACGTTCCTTAAACACGGCATCTGCCATGCCTTGGTTTAAAGGTGTAGGAACATATAAAGCAAACCTTACTTATGTTTTAGGCATATACAAATATTACAAGTTTTTAGAATGAAAACTGCACTTTCTGAAGTGCTTTATGAGTGAGGAGCAGACTAGTTTAACCCCAGTTTATAAAAGTGCTGATTTCTATGAGAAATCAATTCTTTTATAAATTTGCCAGGGAGATTTGCTGTCACTCAAACAGCCAGGGAGATTCTCAATAAGAAGCCACTGATTGGTTAGTTTCCTGTTAAGAGACTGCAAGCCTGTTCCGGGAAAAAAGAGGAGGGCTTGCTAAGGCTGCAGTCACTAAGACTGAGAGGTTGACTTGTTTAAGATGGTATGTTTTTCAACTTTACTGATATTGTAAGCATATACTTTAATCTTATAAACTCTGCTATAAATTATTGTCATGCATTATTACGTTTTTATATGTCTATATTTATATTGTATTCTCAATTATTTATATATTTTAAATGAGGGATCGACCGATAGTGATTTTTTAGAGCCGATACCGATAATCTGTGAACTTTCAGGCCGATAGCCGATATTCTGTAAATTTACTATTTAGAAAAAATAAAATAATTTGAAAGGTAAATGCACATAATATACATGCCACATGTAGTGGATGAAGTGTGTTTAGACAGGGGAGCTGTGTGTGTTTGTGTAGTGTGTGTGCATGTAATGCAGTGTGTGTGTGTGTGTGTGTGTGTGTGTGTATGTAATGCAGCGTGTGTGTGTAGTGGGTGTATGTAATGCAGTGTGTGTGTGTGTGTGTGTGTGTATGTAATGCAGTGTGTGTGTGTGTGTTGTGTGTATGTAATGCAGTGTGTGTTTGTGTAGTGATGTAAGTTGTGTAAAATGGGGGGGGAGTTTATTTTATATTTTTTTAAATATTTAAATATTTAAAAAAAAATTTTTTTTTTTTTTTAGTCCCCCCTCCCTGCTTTTTACCAGGGAGGGGGGATATAGTATTCCCTGGTGGTCCAGTGGCTTGTTAAGTACAGTGGTGGCTCAGCATCAGCAAGCGCTGACTTACCTTGCAAGCAGCTCCTCCAGATCCCTGTGTAAATCTCGCGGCTCTTAGTGCTGCGCGGAGCGTTGCCATGGTACCCCGTGGCAACGCTCTGTGGCCGCGGGTCTCGCGAGATTTACACAGGGAGCTGCTTGCAAGGTAAGTCAGCGCTTGCTGCTGGCCCCCAACAGGACCGCCGGGCTTGTAATGGGCACGGCGGTCCTGTTATATATTATCGGCAATATCGGTATCTGAATTGGCCGATACCGATATTGCCGAAAATACCAAATATCGGCTGATAATATGGGCCAGACTGATAATCGGTCGATCCCTATTTTAATTAGAGGAACTCTTACTAACTATATAATATTACAGCTAAGATATCTACGAGTAAGAGGCACAGAGCACAGTGCTCTGCTTTAGACTTGTTGCATTCATTCACATTTTGGCAGCTCGTCCTGAATTAAGTAACGGACGCTCCATGTGAGTGTATGAAATGACACAGACAATGGTGCAATATATTTAATCGACCAATTTCTGACAAGAATGACATTATTATAATACTAGCTAAGTGGAGCACTATTCAACTTTTATATATGCATACCACATGTGCCAAAAATCATATATATATATACACACATATTATTTATCTGTTTTTTTTTTTTTTGTACACTTAGTAGATCTAAAAGCTTAAACTTAGTAAATCTAAAAGCTAAAAGTTAATTTATTATGTGGGATGAGATTCTACATGAAGTGTGAAGCCGCTTGGATAAAAATGTAATATTTACATATTGAAAGCTAAATTCACTATAGCACTGGTACACAATTGCATGTTTTGAATTGTTTAACCAAAACTATCTGGGAGGAGAAAATATGTATATAATTTGCAATACAGTGATGGGCTCATTTTTCATGCACTTTTAAAATAATTTTCCTAGATCGTTTGCATGGACAATATTTGGATGAGCCAAATCAGCACAATGCTGTTAGGCCAACTATTGTTTTTTTTTTTTTTACTTTGGACTAAATATATCAGCTGAAATTTTGTTTTGAATGCAGAACTGTTCATTAGGCAGAGAATACCAACCATAACAGGGTTAACTCAATTTAACACGTCTCCGTTATTGATGGCTACAATGCACACAGACGATGTATGCCACCTCGGAGGATTTTGAGCACCAGTGTTGCTTTATGTGCCATTTAGTTATTCCAAAAAGTACATTTTATGGTAATTTGATATTTATTTCCATGGGATAATATCTTTTTTTAATTTTCTAATCTAAGAAAATGACAAAATCTCTGCCTCGGGCAAAATCTCTTTAAAAAAAAAAAAAAAGCGTCTAATAAAATTCCATATTTGGTCTTCTTTGGAGGCATTTGATTTAAGCCCACACTTATCATCTTCAGAGAATGTTCAGTGCTGGGTTATCTCCAGGAGGCCAGTTCATACAGCAGCTACGTTGGAGAATTTCAAAATAAAGTGAGGGAAGCTAATTATCATTAAACATTCTAAATCTATGGCACAGGAGCTCTCACCGGCTTAGGTGTCTCTGAAGTGTCATCATTAATCAAAGAGACCTAGTTAAACCAGTCGTATCTAGCGAACAGAACTTTTTGATCCTCCCGTGGAGGTAACGTGTCCGAGTAAGATGGCCTCTGTGAAGCAATGTATTGGACCAAAATAAATAATTCACTATTATTACATGTTAAATAAATATCTGTTGAACACACTGTTAGATGAACAGGGCTTTCCTCCACGTATCACTAAAACACGACACGTACTGGAGAGTTAATAAGAAACCAGGATTTTACATTACAGAGCACGTCACTTTCCAAGATTTTCAGTATGTTTACTAATCCTTATATCTTAAAAACATGTATTTGCGAGGTGTGCAAATTAGAATTAAATGTCTTTATCCTACAACTGGGTGCCTCCGTCTTAGCTCCCTGTTAATCATGGTTATTAACGTTGTCCTTTGCACTCAGCCGTCAGTGAAGAGAAAACATACAGAGAAAAGGAGAAATGAAACAATATTTGTGTTTCTTCTTTTCATTTGCAATACGTACTTTGGTATAGCGCCGTCTGAATTTGGTTTTGTTGCTCAGTGGAGCTAAACTCAATAGGCGGCAATTGCCCAGAGCACCTGCCTTGCAAAGACTTCTCATTGAACTGCATTGGGATGTCTGTGATTGGACAGCCACAGAAAGTCTGGGCGGAGTTAGAAGGGGAGGGTTTGTAAGGGCTGCAGACAAGAGAACTGCAGCTAGTTTAAGCTGTTTTAAGATATACCCTTTATTAATAAATGCATAGTAAAATGCATGCATGTTTTCAGTGGAGTTATATCTACTAAATAGTGATTTGGATATGGCAGTGGAATGTCCCTTTAAGCATTTGTTTATTTTACCTCCTTGCATCAGATTTCTTACCTTGACTCCGTGATCGGTCACTTGACTGATTGATTTGAACTCAGATACAATGAAAGCCACCAAGTATGTGCTCATCTTAACACTGACGTCAAAGTGGTCCTCAAGGAGCCCTACACCAATATTTAGAGTTTTCACCTAAAGAGAAAAGAGGACATCCATGCTTCAACAGAAATAGTGTAATATATTTATAAACAAAAGCAAGTAAAAAATAAACTTGCAGTCAAGTAAAAAAATTAAGCTTTTCGTTTGCAGTGTCTTCTTGTTGTATGTGTTTATCTGAGTGTATCTATGTATATTTTTAGTTGGTAACAGATGGAATCGGTATGTTTTTATCGAACAGATAGAAGACAAATCCCACTATAAACTACAATAATTCACCACGGACAGATTGCACACCATAATACTTAAACATTTGTATTAAAAAATAACAATAATAATTAACTTATACAGTTCAAAACTTGTTAGACACATTGTAGACATATTTCTGACCCTCCAGGTATTGAGCAGTGCAGACATGTAGGAACTTCCTATTGCTCAGTGAGTCTGCCAGGTGTTCATGCATAGACAGTGAGGTGGACACTTAGAGAGTACATTATTGTATTTATTTTAAGAATCTTACACAAAGAGTAAGAGCAAAAGTTAGATAAAGGCAAAGTTAGTACATACAAAGTAAAAAATAGGAAAATGAAGAAAGGCGCTCAAACACAAGTGGGTGGGATGAAAGGGACGGATGGGAAGGGGACAGGTACAGGACAATAGGCATTAAGGGAGGCAGAAGATGGGCTTTGAGACAGACGTAGGACAGCTGAGAGAGAAGCATGGAGGAGAGACTGACATAATACAGGTAAGCTTAGGTTGGAGAGAACCAAAAGAGAGAGATGGGAAACAGGGACAGAGAGGTAAAGAGAGTGAAATAATAGCAATAAGGGATAACTGAGAGACAGAGAGAGCGGCATGGCGGAGAGACTGACATAATACAAGTAAGCTTAGGTTGGAGAGAACCAAAAGAGACAGATGGGAAACAGGGACAGAGAGGTAAAGAGAGTGAAATAATAGCAATAAGGGATAACTGAGAGACAGAGAGAGCAAGAAAATGTGCAACAGAAGAAAGATGCAGAGAAAGACAGATAAAGCATGACGTGAAAATGACTGAGAAAGAGACGGAATCACATTATGTGGAAAAAGAATGAGAAGCGATACACAATTTCAAAAGGTGAACAGTTTCATTTTGTTAATAGGTCATATTGATTGCTACATTTGTACATTTCCGTTCAGAACAGGAAAAAGAACACGTACTATAGGCATGTTAGACACTGCGCTGTGTCTGGGTTCTCTTCGGATCTTTATTAAGAATGACGCTTTAAACGCTGGTTCGTCGAAACAGGGAAACGCCATCCGTGCGGCTGTTGGCTCAAACTGGGTTGTGGCAAGTACTCTGCAAAAAGGGAGACATATATTACGGTGAATTCTAAAAAAAAAAAAACAACTACATTCTAACTTCTCACAGAAGCAGCTCTATACAATGAAAATTATACATTTCCTCAAAAACAGGTGTTATTTTTGTATTCGCAGGATGGACATTCCATGAAAATAACTCTGCATTAATTCTATAATTAGACTAGTGCACTCCGAGAAAATTTGGCTCTGTCAAACCATTTTTTGGGACACTCGAATTTCAGTCTTAGGCCAGGTCAGCTCAGTAGAATTTTGGAACTGAGATTTAAATTCGGGAACTGAATCAAAAGAACAAAAAAGTGTGACAACTGGCCAATCAGTGTGCTGCAAAATATATACATAATATGATAGTATAATAAATGTTACGTACACTGATTGGAGCATTTTCCCACCATTTTGTTCACAGTTCAAGTGAAATAAAGTTACCGATGGAGAGAGAGAAAAATAGAAGTAAAAATCTATATTTAGACTTTCTATATTTAAATATAGATGTTCCTACTTTTTTTCCCTTTATTGCTTGTTTCTCACTTGAATTCAGCATTTCAAAAGCAACATTTAGTGGCTGTGCCCTAGCAATTAGTTACCTCTTTTTGTTTTCTTTCAGAATCTCGAACGGACGCGTATTGAATGTTTCAGGTGGTTTGTGATTCGGGTACATCTCTGCCCGAAGTTCAGAAATTCACCCGATCACCTAATCAGCCCTGTTACAGCCAGATTGCAGTTCAGATCAAACCGAATCTCCAAGTCTAATTATCATTCTGTTAGTTTCTTAAATGTTATGGTTCACTTATTTACGTTCACATTTACCTAAAGACCATATATATATAGTCTAACTCCATCTATCTATGCTTCACAGATTATGGTAGCATGGACTACTAGATTATGTAGCATGGTACAGATTATGGTCACTTAGCACAAAAAAAGTGAATTGCATGTACTAGCTCAGGGGTAGGCAACCTTCGACCCTCCAGATGTTGTGAACTAGATCCCCCATAGTGCTCTTACACCCATAATGATTATGACATTACAGGAGACATTAACTAATAAAGTGCAATAAATAAATATATATAGATGCCAATAAGTAATCCCTACTTTTTGCATATTTCACTAGTACTAATTTACTAAATAAATACTGGCTTGTTAATTTCCCAACTGTGCAAATGAGTAATCCCATGTTATAAACATGCGGTAAATTATCTTTCAATACACGATTTGTGCAAGTGATATTTATTTACTTAGCACATTTTTATTCCATATGTATCACTGCTGCAAAATGATATCCCCCATCAACTTCTTGACAATTTAGTAGTAAATATTTTTATAGCTTATTTTTATTATAGTTTTTCTATCACACCACGTTTTTCTTTTACATCTTGTGTATGTCTTGTTAGTACATGCCCCGACGTCTGGGTCATATATCGGTGGTAACGGTACTTAGCTTATTTTACAATATATGATCCCAACACAAAACAACGTCAGGAAGTGCAATATACAAATTGTCTTTGAAATGGTTTATCTAACTTTTCCAAGGGCTACATCTTTAGCTTTACAGTGAATAATCTCCAAATGTAATCACTGCACCTAAATGAGGACAGTGACCGTTATAAAGATTCAAGAACACAAATCTTTATAAGATAGTTCCAGCTTTAATTAATGCAGTGACTGCTACAATAAAAACTTTTCTCCCACTATTTAATTGCAGAATATTTAAATATTTAGCTATTCCCAGAAATCATTTTTAAGGTTTAATCTATATCATTGTATACATATACAACGTGGGGGTTAGTTGATATAAATAATAACATAATAATATCTTCAAGGTTTTATTACAGGATATTGTGTTAGTTTATTTCACTCTTTACAGAATACTGGACGTGTTTAAATAGCCTTCAGCATCTATGTATCTGTCATTTACAAATCATGACGAGAACAGCTTTAGGCATGTCCACTTATCAAGGAAAACCACATCTCCCAACCGTGAGCTGTATGTAACTGGGGCAGCACCTGAAGGCTTTGAAGGGGTGTGCCAGTGTAATCATGCGTCACTGGTGCCACCATCCAAATGGGCTTTCCCACCAGGAAAGGAGGCGCAGGCACAGAGGCGTTGTTTCAGCCACACCACGCACTAAGCACTGCTGAAGCGCTCTCTGCATGGTCCTAGTGCCCTCAGCACCATCTACCTCTGGCTCTCCAGTATAACTCAAGGAAGTGAACAATTATCTATTAGAAGAGCCTTCAGGGTATGGTACACTCATGGTGGGTCAAGATAAGCAAGTGATGGGGGGGGGTCGTGTTTTTAACAGTAATACATGCGTGAATTAACCCTTGTGGTGCTGGCAACACAAATACAATACCCCTTTATGAAACGCTGTCACGGCTGCTAGGGTGGTCCAACACGCAGAAACTATGTAAACATACACATAAAAAAGGAAAGGAAATAAAAGGACAGAGAGTAAACCGGACCTTAGAATGGCCGGACTAATACGCTAGAGATAGAGAATGGTCAAAGGTAGAGCCGAGGTCAAGGAAGCCAGAAATACTCAGATACCGTTTAAACAAGCCAAGTCAGGGGAACCAGAATTCGGAATAACCAGGATCAGAAAAGCCAAGATCAGGATACCAGGAAGTAATATTCACAAAGATAAACGCACTCTAGGGAACCAGGAACATTAAACCACGACAGGGCAAAGAACTGGAATGAATTAGGGATTTAAATTTCCCTCTCTGGGCTCTGATTGGTCAGAGGGTGACCTTTGACCCCAGAACGTGCGCGTGCATTGACGTCGTGACGCACACGTCCGCATAAATTTGAGGGGCGGAGCTTGTGGTGTGCGCGACCACGTGGTCAGCGCCATCTTTGATTTGGGCACAACGCCCAGAAGACGCGGAGGAGCGGTTCCCGGCTCGCAGGTAAGCTCGCAATATCGGCGAGGTCGTGCCGGTCGGGCACGGCTGCACCATGCGGCAGGCCGGGAGCCGCAACAAATGCCCTCTGCCCACATTATTAATGGGACACTATAGACACCAAGGCCATTTCATCTCAACAAAGTGGTCTGGGTGCAGTAGTCCGGTCCTTTTAACTTTGAAATGTAAAACATTGCATTTTTATACAGTGAGGAGAAGTGGATTGGGATATTGGCGAATGAAGCCACAGCTCCTTGATGATGTTATGCGTTTAGGAGAGGTAAGCAGGTAAATGGGCAAAGGGGGGGAAGGAGAGCTATACAGAAGTAGGGGCATGGGCACTATAGCACATAAAATACAGATTACAGATTTGAATTCCAAACCCTATAGTGTTCCTTTAACCCTTCTCATTATAATTAAAGATAATTTATAAGCAGATTAAAGAGAAGTGGTCCCAGGACAGAACCCCAAGGGTTACCACTTTTGTCCAATTTCAAATTTTCTATTTACAATTATTCTCTGCACTCTATTTTTACCCCGTATTCTATCCAATTAAAAACATTTTCATCTAAACCAAGGATTTCAGTTTTATTAATAACCTTAGCAAAATCACCCTAATCTATATTTATACTAATTTATTCATAGAACACGATTAAGTTAGTTTGTTGTGACATCGTTCATAAAACCATGTTGATTCCTGCTAATGATATTATTGTTCAAAATTAAATTTTGAATATTATCCCTTAACAGACCTTCAAATAATTTCCCAACAACAGCTGCTAAGCTCACAGGCAGTGGCGTAGACACAATCCACGGGGCCCGGTGCAAAACTGATCCGTGGGCCCTCCCCCCCACCCCCCGACTTACACACACACACACACATAGACACAGACAGACAGATACATACAGACACATACATACATACAGACACATTCATACATACAGACCGACCGATACACAGACACATACATACATCCAGACCGACACACACACACACGTAAAAACAGACAGGCACACATACAGACACACACACACACACACAAGACACACATACATTCCAAGACACATACATACAAACAGACAGGCACACAGACACACATACAGACACATACATACATACAAATACACACACACATACATAAAAAGACACACACAACACATACATACATACAAAGACATACACACATACAGACACACACAAGACACACATACATACAAAAAGACAGGCACACATACATACACACACACAGACAGACATGCACACATACATACAGACACAAACATACATACAACCCCACACACATAAGACACACATACATACAAAGACACATACATATATACAGACACACACACACACAAGACATACAGAGATACACACACATACATAGACAAATACACACACACACAAAATATTTAAGTCACCCTCCTGTTTCCTACCTTTAAGGTACAGGAGGGTGACTGGGGTCCAGTGTTGGCTCAGTTGTTCCCACTCTGACTCCCTGGTCTTCCTCCCAAGCGGCTCTCAGTGTTAGCTGGGAGGAGCATCATTCGGTCACTTCCTCCCAGCGTGTGATGTAATCACAGGGGGCCCGGTCGCGCTGTTAAAGCGCCCAGCGCTTACCGAGTCCCCTTACAATCCATATCCATCCATGGACCCCTTACCATGCAGCCCCGGCGGTTTGCCGCATGGGCCGGACATGATAATGGCGACGGGTACCCGGTTGCAGGGGTCCGCAGGGCGGCCGGGCCTCTGGAGTGACGGGCCCAGTCGCAGCTGCGACCCCTGCGACCGCGGTATGTACGCCGCTGCTCACAGGTCTGTAGTTTCCGGGTTGAGCTTTTGAACCCTTTTTGAATATAGGCACCACAACTGCTTTTCTCCAGTCCTCTGATACAATTCCTAAAAGAAAATAATCTTGAAAAACTAAGAACAGTGGTATGGATATTTCTACACTAAGCTCCCCAAGAACACATGTGTGAATACCATCTGGCCCTGGGGCTTTGTTTATATTAATTGTATTTAATTTCTGTAGCACTATACCCTGTGTTAACCAATCACTTGTTTGCTGTAAGGCTTTTTTTTTAATAGGGAATTGCAAATATGCAACCATAGATTCTTCTTCCCTGTATACAGAAAACAATATACCATTTAGAATTTCTTCCTTGTCCTGATCCTCCTTGATTAACTCACCATCTCAAATTGTAATGGACCAAAACGTTCACTCTTGACCTTTTTTGCATTAACGTACTTAACTTTTTTTGAGGTGCTCTCTCCCTATGAGCATTTCATTTTCAAGTTTATCCCATCTAATCATCCTTTTGCAAGCCTATATTTGTTATAGGATGCTACTGACCCCTCTGAGGTAGTGTGCTCTGTACATTAAATATTACCTGATCTCTCCATCTGCGGTTTTGTAGGTACCTTTATAAAACCCACGGAAGCTCTGAGAAAGGTTAGCGTGGTACTCAATGTATATTGTGTAATTCTCTCCAGGATTTAAAGGTTCAGAAGCAATAAGTGCAATTTGCTCATTTGTGGGGTCTTCAAGGAGACGCAGGTCTTCGTAGACTTTGCTGCTTCCACGTTTTCGTTCTATACCGGTCTTTGTGACATCCAGGTTTTTGCTGTGCAGTACCACAAACTGTGTTTGTCGTGTTACACTTAGGGTAATCTTGGTAAGGCCACTGAAAGTAAGGGTGGTTAAATTAGGATGGATGAGGAGGTCATACTGCAGTGGGATTACAAAATCTGGCAACCGAAACTCTTTCCATGGAAATAAATTGCCACCCGAATCTGGATTGACATTGATGGAAGAACAGCAAACTAGACGAGAATGCAATACAATACTCAGAAATCCCACGTAGAGGAGACTGATCATTGCTGATCTGAACGGTTTAGTGTCGTTTCCCATCTGTTGTCACTTTAAGGACAAGACGCAGTCAAGGGCAAACCTGAAAATACAGAGACACTCCTGAGTGTACAGAAAACACAAATAGACATTTATATTAAATAGGCTCATACACATCTTACCCTTATGCTTAATGACGGTAAAACTATGTAAAAGAACACTTTACTATTAAAAAAAAAGAAAAGAAAAAAAAAAGGGGGGCTGGACCTCCTAGTTGGCTCTTGAAATGCCATGGGTCTGATTTTAACGGTTTTATTGTCAACCTCGAGTCTCCCAATATCTGCAACTGAAGGTGTTATTTTTTCTCTCATAATTATATCTACTCCTTTAGTTGCAGGTTTTTTAATCTTTCTAATCATTTTTACTGATTCTCTTAGTTATGCAATTATGATTTATGTAAGACTCTAGACCAGGGGTAGTCAACCTTTAAATACCTGTCCCCCACTTTTGTATCTTTGTTGATGGTAAAATTTCCTTACCACCCACCAGTGCCACAGTAACTAATTTTATAGCGCAAGTGCAATTTTGTTAATTTATTGTTTTAGAAAGGAGGGTTTTAAAAAAATAAAATAAAAGTACTTAAATGTATATTTCTTTTTCCAAAAGTAGAATATTTTCTATTCTACTTATTTTCTATGTGTGTGTGTCCATGCTCACTTTAGCCTGCAGCTTCTCCATCTGCAGGCTGGCTCCCCTGTCCTACTGCGGGCACAGCAGCACCGTATCGGAGTATCGCCACACATTACCAGCCTGCTCGCGGGAGGAACACAGAGCCTCCCAGGCCCTTCCCTCCCTCTGCAGGAACTAAGTGCCAGCAGGCCAGTGGGGGAGATCTTTGATCTCATCACCAGTCAAAGAGGGCCAGGGCCGGACTGGGAAAAAAATTAGGCCAGGGCATTTTTCAATCAGAGCGGCCCCCTAAGAAGGGGGCGGGGCCAGAGAGGGTTTGTTTTGTCATCACTAATTACAAGCACGCCCGCTCTCAAAAGGAGCATGTTGGTTCAATGGCCAGAGCCCCGCTGAAGAACTCTGGCATTAGAAAAAGGCCCTGTATTTGTTCTGCGCAGCGCAAGCAAATTTAATAACATGCTTGCACTGTGTTTGCTTTTAAATTGTCTCTGGTGTCTCCACAAGTGGGATACCAGAAGTCAAAAGGGCAAGAAAAGTGTATGGTGCAAGTGTTTGAAACCTGCTTGTGGGATTGCGTGTGTGTAGAGTGTGGTGTGGTATTTTGTAAATAGGTACATTTCATTTGTGTTTGTGGTGTAATATGTGTGGCTAGGGGCCATAGAGAGTGTGTGTATAGGGGGCATAGTTTTATAGGGGATGTAGCGAGTGTGTGTATACGGGCTGTAGTGTGTGTGTATAGGTGACGTAGTGTGTGTAGGGGTTGTAGAGAGGGTGTGTTTAGAGAATGTTGTATGTGTTTGCTGACAAGGAATGTAGTGTGTGTGTAGGTGGTGCAGTGTGTGTGTGTAGGAGATCTAGTGTGTAAAGGACCCTGAGTGTGTATAGGAGATTGTGTGTGTGTGTGTATAGAGGATTAAGAGTGCATATAGGGTAAGGGATCTAGCGTGTATCTGGAGCGTAATGTGTGTAGGGGTGCTGTAGTGTGTGTGTGTGTGTGTGTGTATATATATATATATATATATATTTGGACGTATTGTATGTGTGAGGGGCGCAGTGTGTGTGTATGTAAGAGGGGTGCTGTGTGTGAGGGTGTTTTTATCTGTCACATTCTAGGTTTCTAATTTTCTTTGTTAACTTCACTGAGGCTTATTTTATATAATATATATATATATATATATATATATATATATATATATATATATATATATATATATATATATATGTGTGTGTGTGGGAGTGTGCTGTGTGTGTGAGCGAGGGTGCTGTGTGTCTGAGGTTTCGATGTGTGTGTCTGAGGGTGCGCTGTGTGTGTCTGAGGGTACGCTGTGTGTGTTTAGGTGCTGTGTGTGTGTCTGGGGTTGCTGTGTGTGTGTCTGGGGGTGCTGTGTGTGCTGGGGTTGCTGTGTGTGTCTGAGTGCTGTGTGTGCGTCTGACGGTGCTGTGTGTGCGTCTGACGGTGCTGTGTGTGTGTCCGGAGGGTGCTGTGTCTGGAGGTGCTGTGTGTGTGTCTGGGGTTGCTGTGTGTGTGCCTGGGGTGCTGTGTGTGTGTCTGAGGGTGCTGTGTGTGTGTCTGGGGTTGCTGTGTGTGTGTCTGGGGGTGCTGTGTGTGTGTCTGGGGTGCTGTGTCTGGGGGTGCTGTGTGTGTGTCTGGGGGTGCTGTGTGTGTCTGGGGTGCTGTGTGTGTCTGGGGGCGCTGTGTGTGTCTGGGTGCTGTGTGTGTGAGTGTGAATGTATTTTTATTAAATTTATATTTTTTAATAATTAAAAATTATATCCCCCCTTACCTTCTTAGCCTGGGCGTTCTGCCATGAAGGGGGACGATGCTGCCATCTCCCCTGCAGGGCCAGCGCTATCCGAGCGCCAGCCGCGGCAACGCTCAGAATCCCGCGAGAGGACCCGGCGGAGCTGCTGGTTAGAGCTCCGCCGGTCCTCTCTCCTCCCTCCCTCACTCCTTAGCCTGTGGCCGCCTGTAACACTGCCTCTGGGCCGGTGTGGCAGATCTTTGATCTCCCCACCGGCCCATGAAGGCATACAGCAGGGCTGGCGCTCGGGTAGCGCTGGCCCTGCAGGGGAGATTCTGTGATCTGCCGGCCTCGGCCCCACGGCCATCGAGGCCCACCGGGCATTTGCCCGGTATGCCCGATGGCCAGTCCGGGCCTGAAGAGGGCTCACAGCAAGGCTGGCTCTGCAAGGGCCAGCAGGGGAGATGAAATGATTTCCCCTACCAACCTTGGTCCATGGCCATCAAGGCACACCGGGCGTTTTCTGCAAAACCCACAACTGCCCACCTGAAATCCCAACTGATTTAAAGGGATACTATAAGTGCCAGGAATAACTATAATAACTATGGCACTATAGCGCCCTCTGCCTCCCCCCTCCCTTGCGCCCCTTCACCCAGGTAAATAAAGGGTAAAAAACCCTTTATTTACTTACCTTTTCCCAGCGCTGATGTCCCTGAGCTGGGTTGTCGCTCTGCCCCTCCCTCGCATTAGACTTAGAGCTGCAATGTAAACACGAAGTGCACAAGGGACAGTGCACCCAGACCACTTCAATGAGCTGAAGTGGTCTTGGTGCATACAGTGTCGCTTTAAAGCAATTACCTTCAACCTGAGCTCCAGTCCATATCTTACGGAGGTTTATCATGCCAGTTACCTTAAAGGACCACCATAGGCACCCAGACCACTTCAGCTCAATGAAGTGGTCTGAGTGCCAGGTCCCTCTAGTTTTAACCCTGCAGCTAAAAAATGAAATTGTTCTCTGAAACTGCTATGTATACATTGCAGGGTTAATCCAGCCTCTAGTGGCTGTCTCCCTGATAGCCACTAGAGGCGCTTCCACAATTTTCAGTGAGAAAATCAGACTGAAAGGACGCTGGACGTCCTCATAGAGTCCAGCGTCAAATGAAATCCCCAAGAGGAAAGCATTGAGTAATGCTTTCCTACGGGCGGGTTTGAATGCGCACGCGGCTCCACTCGGGAGCTGATGTCAGCAGGGAAGGAGAGGTCACGCCCGGCGCTGGATTAAGGTAAGTGGCTGAAGGAGTTTTAACCCCTTCAGCCAAGCGGGAGGGGGGCAACCTATTAACCCTATAGTGCCAGGAAAACAGGTTTGTTTTTCTGGCACTATAGTGTTCCTTTAATATCATGTCTCAGGCTTTAGATTTATGTCACTTTTCTTGTAAGGCCAAAGTAGTCAAACTGTAAACATTCTCTAAGTCAGCAATGCTTTCAATTCGGTTACTCTGGCCTGAAATTTGAAAGTCACTTTGAATTCTAACTTTAGTAAATAATCCTGCTAGTGTGTCAGTAAATGACAAAAACAATGCAAAATTAGAATATTGATTACTACTCCACAGAAACAAAAAGATTAAAAAAATGCTGACACCCAACAGTTGACATTTCTAAATGAATTAAGACATGTTGCTATGTTATCGTTTGTGAAATCTCTCCTGATTCTTAATTTCTTTTATTTGAATGTATATATAACTTCTATACTGTAAGCTACATCACTGTACCTTCAACATGTAGTCTCTCTACCTTGAGTAAGTGAATATCAAAGTACACAATTGTATCATATGTCATTATATGGAGTTAAAAAAAAAATGTATACGTTCAGAATTATTACAATTTAAATAGAATTTCAAATGTAAGGCCAGCGCAGCCAAATTAAAAGCTGAGGTGGCTCAGAGCATTTTTCCAGCTTGGCTACTTTGACCTTAAATCTCAAATAAATCTCACTTTTACTTGACCTTTTAATCTTAATTTAGTGATTAATTCTATAAGTGTATAAACGAATTTCCCCTTTAACAAACATGCACACGCCCCTTAGTAGGTTTCAGGTTACATACTAAATTAATGTATTATTAGCCGATTTCCTGCTTTCATTCAAATTCTGCGCTTGCCCACAATGAATGTCTGTAGCACTTATTCAGTATTCAGTACTAGCTTAGAGCACGTGCTCTCAAAAATAACGTCTGCCTATAAGTAAATGTGTTTGACAAGGGGATTTCCTGAATCAAGGCCACAAATCATAACGCTATATAAACATAAAAGCTTACTTAATAAAATACTATCTGCTTTTTTGCTTTTTTTTTCTTGTCAAAATTATAATTTTAAAACATTTTTAAATATAACTTCTGTTAATCTAACGCGACAGGGACTTAACATATTCTCAAACACAACAGCTGCTCGTTTGTTAGTTCATGTCTTACAACAATTGTATACAGAAATACGGTAAAATTATAATATCATGATTATAAATTAATGGCAATGGGTAGGTTTTTATTTAGATATTTTATAACACTCATTCACTGAACAGTGACTCGGAAGCTGAATTGTAAAACATGTAGTTATTCACTGCAATGAGAATTCAAAGAGAATTCAAAGTAAATTTTATTTTTAAGGCCAAAGTAGCAGCTGACAGCATAGCGGACTTAAAGATTGATTGCGATTTGGCTATGTCGACCTTAAATTTGAAATTCACTTGGAATTTTCATTTTAGTAATTACATTGTTAGGCTAAAAAACTATTTGATAAAAAAATCTCCTATTGAGAATTTTATGTCATGACTAATCTGGAATAAATTGATGGTTTGCAATTCATTGTTTACTAGTAATTAAAGAGAAAAAGAAAATGGGTTTTGTTCACTAAAACACAGATTTGCAGTAAATTAAAAACCATATTGCAAAACTTCAGGGAAAAATAACTGATTTGAAAAAATTATTTTGTCATCTGAGTTATAATCACAGCTTCTTTGGTTTAGCCTGAATTTTGTATATCCATTGAGCATAATTCACTGTGTAGTAACTAAACCGCAGCACAGTAAAAGGCCTCAGCATGGTGAAACTCATGAGAATAACTGACAGGTTTCTTCAATAAAGTGAGAATTGCTCGGATGAACTTGACATTTAAAGGGTTACTCCAACCACCATGACCACGTCAGTGATTTAAAGTGGTTATGGTGGTATGAGTAAGTATGTGCAAATTCTGCTTAACCCCTTAAGGACACATGACGGAAATATTCCATCATGATTCCCTTTTATTCCAGAGGTTGTCCTTGAGGGGTTAAAACACTGCACGTAGAGAGATATTCTTAACTGTGAGACGGGGGCTGGTTCCCCCCCAGCACACGTGACACCGGCAGCCCATTCAAATAAATAAAACCATTTTATTTCAGGTAATTGAGAGCAGGGACCTTTCCTACAGTGCCCAGTACGGCATATTACGCTGAAAATGTCCCCCCTCTCGGTAAGATTATAGTAACCCTTTAAGGCTACAATAGCGGAACTGGAAATATGAGTTTCTGCCAATTCGACTAATGTGCCCTTACTTTTTAAAATTAACTTTACATTTCTGACAATTCTCACTTCAGTGAAAAAACCTGCACATTTCACTGGGAATGTATTCTGGCTCAGTTATTCGATCACACACATTTTGATTATGTAGATCAGGTCCAATTAAGGCATTTAATTTACATGCAGGAAAATGACTTACGTGCACCGAGAACCGAGATGTCTTGCTATGTATCAGTCCTCGGTAGCCTTGTGGGTAGAGAGGGGTTAACACCGTACGACCCCAGACTTTAAAGCGTTTCCATAAGGCTGACAAATCCACACAAAGCTTTCTCTCCCCTGCATTAACACGGCCTCGGCAGGCTTCAAACTTTCACTTTCACTTCTGTATATAGTAGGAAGCAAAGAGAAAGAAAAACAGAAAACTTTATTAAGACAATGTGTATCAATCAAAAGCAGCGTGCCACACCTCCCATCTGTCCCGGGTTAAGAGTGGGAGTCTTTATTTTGGGTCCAAATCTTTGTCCTTCTTTTCTATCCTAATGTCCCTCTTTTCTATGAGCTTCCATATTGTGTCTGTGTCTGAGTGTATAACAGAGCTCCATAGCATGAATACTCACAGTATTATTATTATTTATATAGCGCCAACAAATTCTGGAGCGCTGCATGTCTTTAAAACACAATAAATGTGTTTAGAAAACAGTCTATGTAAATAAGATACATTGTCCTAAATTACATTTTATTTGGAAAAGTTTTATTAGTAAGTCACCTATTAACATATTAAAGGGGCACCTTAGTCACCAGAACAAGTACAGCTTCATATAGTTGTTCTGGTGTATTCACTCAGACAGCCACTAGAGCTGCTACCTGGGTCAAGGAGATGCTTAAAGGACCACTCTAGGCACCCAGACCCCTTCAGCTTAATGAAGTGGTCTGGGTGCCAGGTCCAGCTAGGGTTAACCCATTTTTTGATAAACATAGCAGTTTCAGAGAAACTCCTATGTTTATGAATGGGTTAAGCCTTCCCCTGTTTCCTCTAGTGGCTGTCTCATTGACAGCCGCTAGAGGCGCTTGAGTGCTTCTCACTGTGAAAATCACAGTGAGAGCACGCAAGCGTCCATAGGAAAGCATTGTAAATGCTTTCCTATGCGACCGGCTGAATGCGCGCGCAGCTCTTGCCGCGCGTGCGCATTCAACCGACGGGGAGGATCGGAGGCAGAGAGCTCCCCGCCCAGCGCTGGAAAAAGGTAAGTTTTACCCCTTTTCCCCTTTCCGGAGCCGGGCGGGAGGGGGAACCTGAGGATGGGGGCACCCTCAGGGCACTATAGTGCCAGGAAAACGAGTATGTTTTCCTGGCACTATAGTGGTCCTTTAACCTTTCACATAAAGATGCACTCATTCAATACATCTCTATGAAGAGATGCTGACTTGCCAGGTGGTATTTCTCACCACCCCCTTCCCCACCTCCTTGGCTGAGATAATCAGAATGGTGATCATCCTATAGGAAGCATTGGATTGGCTGAGATCATCAATTCTGATGATGTCAGCCAATGAGACCGATCGGGGGCAGAGCCAGTGCCGGCTGACTATTTAGGGGGGAACCCAATAAATAATGCCCTGTATCTCTGTATCCAGCCATTATAATGCTTTCCTGATTGGCTGAAATTGGCAAGGAGGGAGGGGGCGGGGAAAAACGCCGGCTTGGCCAATCAACACTTCCTCATAGAAATGCATTGAATCAATGCATCTCTATGAGAAAAATTCAATGTCTCCATGCAGAGTGTGGAAACGCTGAACAGCAGTGCTCCAGTAACAGGAAGCACCTCTAGCAGCCATCTGAGGAGTGGCCACTGGAGGTGTCCCTAGGCTGTAATGTAAACACTGCCTTTTATCTGAAAAGGCAGTGTTTGCATGAAAATGCCTACAGGGAATAATAATAACCACCAGAACAACTAAATTAATTAGTGTCCCTTTAAATTAATTCACACTGGCAGAGAAATAGCAAATTTTAGGGGTTCAGCATTGGTGGGTCTGCAGGGAGACTGTGAGGGGCTTTGCACCCTCAATCTACAAATACAGAACCCCACTGTATAGGCCCCAGACAATTGGACAACATATATAGTTCCAAACCTGAAGGTCACAGCTTGCTTGTTATAATGCTACATGGCCTGTCATTGAAATAGGACCCACACTGAATCTGGGGGGAGAGGGGATTGGCCTATAGTACTCCTAGCCCAATTTAGGGAGCTTGCAGTTTTCTCCAGTGAAATTATATATTATCACTAGGGAGTCTACTAAACAAGTGGCAAACAAGTAAACAACTCTATTTTAACAAATCGTTTGTTTTTCTTATCATATGATCTTAAAAGCCACACCAGATTTTTTGTGGGGGATTCGTACCCCACATACTCTCGGTTCCTACACCCAAGTGACTTTGTTGGAAATATAAATATATCTCTCTCGGAGCCTTGATGGTTGTTAGTTCATCACAATTCACTGTTCAGAGAATAAAGTGTGTGTTACTTGTTGATTACTAAGAGGGGGAGAGTGGGCAGTCTGCACTGGGTGAAAGGTGATAGGGAACTGGGTAATTAGTAGAGACTGATCTCTGCAGCTCCCCGGTGGACACTAGGGATGAGGTTCCACTCCTGTTTTTTATTTAAAAGCACTTAAGGGAGGCTGGGTGAATATTATGGTCACCCAGACCAATTTATCTGATTGAAGTGATCTGGGTGCAGTGTGCCTGTCCTCTTAATCCTGCAATGTAAAACAATGAAGTTTTTGAGAAACCCCAATATTTACATTGCAGGTTTAAGTTCACCTCTAGTGGTTGACTGTCGGTATGAGAGTTAAAAATCAGACTTGTGACGAGGAAGCCGCGTAAGAGAGTATTGAGTCAACGTTGAATTCTATGTGTTGCTTAGCTCAGAAATGCTTAGACTTGAGGAATGGAGGATCTCCTCTAAGCTTGTCGTTCCAAAATGATGTTAATCGAATAAAAATTGATATTACAAGATACTATGTTCATCTGTTATTTTACACCTACATCACTGAACAAGAATAGCTACAGTATCTGATCTAATATATATTTCCTTACCTAGCTATATTGTCAGAGAGACTTTAACTTCCAGACCAAAATCAGTGCCATGCTGATGAAACCCACAAGGTTGAAACTGCAGTCCATGGCTGGTTTCTGGTCACTGGTCCTTTTGGATCAGTTAAAAAAAAAGCTGTGTTTGAAACAGTGTCCATTGCTAAGGGTTTGTGCAGAAATGCAATATGAATTTTGAACCACAATGCGTGTCTGTGCTTAATTGCACGTCAAGCCGGGCCCAGCTTACAGTCAGTTTGCCCCTGCACCAAAAAGTAGGTAAAAGCGGGTGCAAGATATACAATATGGGTAAAATCACTGAAGTGACTATGGTGCTTGGAGTAACCCTTTAAGTCTGATTTAGTGTTTTTTTTTTTTTTAATAAAAACAAACAAAAAAAAAGAATGTTCTGTAATAAATAAAAGTTCATGGGGTACATCCTAATTAAATTTGCCGCCTAGGGGATCTGTACTTGGACCCATTCTCTTTAATATTTTTATTAGTGATATTGCAGAAGGTCTTGATGGTAAGGTATGTCTTTTTGCTGATGATACTAAGATATGTAACAGGGTTGATGTTCCAGGAGGCATAAGCCAAATGGCAAATGATTTAGGTAAACTAGAAAAATGGTCAGAATTGTGGCAACTGACATTTAATGTGGATAAGTGCAAGATAATGCATCTTGGACGTAAAAACCCAAGGGCAGAGTACAGAATATTTGATAGAGTTCTAACCTCAACATATGAGGAAAGGGATTTAGGGGTGATTATTTCTGATGACTTAAAGGTAGGCAGACAATGTAATAGAGCAGCAGGAAATGCTAGCAGAATGCTTGGTTGTATAGGTAGAGGTATTAGCAGTAGAAAGAGGGAAGTGCTCATGCCATTGTACAGAACACTGTTGAGACCTCACTTGAAGTATTGTACACAGTACTGGAGACCGTATCTTCAGAAGGATATTGATACCTTAGAGAGGGTTCAGAGAAGGGCTACTAAACTGGTTCATGGATTGCGGGATAAAACTTACCAGGAAAGGTTAAAGGATCTTAACATGTATAGCTTGGAGGAAAGACGAGACAGGGGGGATATGATAGAAACATTTAAATATATAAAGGGAATCAACACAGTAAAGGAGGAGACTATATTTAAAAGAAGAAAAACTACCACAACAAGAGGACATAGTCTTAAATTAGAGGGACAAAGGTTTAAAAATAATATCAGGAAGTATTACTTTACTGAGAGGGTAGTGGATGCATGGAGTAGCCTTCCAGCTGAAGTCGTAGAGGTTAACACAGTAAAGAAGTTTAAGCATGCGTGGGATAGGCATAAGGCTATCCTAACTATAAGATAAGACTAGGGACTAATGAAAGTATTTAGAAAATTGGGCAGACTAGATGGGCCGAATGGTTCTTATCTGCCGTCACATTCTATGTTTCTATATTTACATAGTGAAAAACAAACCTTGCAGTGTCAATTATTAATTGTATTTAATACCTTTCTGTGCTAAAGTGTAGTTGCTGAACTAGCAATATTATATTTTTTTAATGACATCGGTTGCTGATCTACCTATTCAAAGATATTATTTTCACATTTAAGATTGATGTATAAATTTACTTTTAGAAACTGGCAATGGTCTGGACATATTTGCCAAACTGTCAGAAATGTTATCAGGACATGTCTGCATTTTGAATGCCTGTCCCTGAATAAATTGTGTCTTAAAGGAATACTCTAAGCACCATAACCACTACAGCCTCGAGTGTTATTTCAGTTTGTCACAGGGCCCAGTGCCGTAATCCTTCTTATTTTAATCCCCTGATGAGATTGTCTGTGATATTATTAAAGTAATAAACGTGTCATATTTATTTTGCTGGTAGCTACTAGTTAATTGGTAGGAGATGGGATTTGAGTCACTCATCTCGGATTCTTTCATGATTGTTGCTGGAAGGATCAGGGATAAAGATGGTGGACACAGATCTGCCAATCAGAACAGGTACAAGAGTACCTAACATCACGTGATTACCCTGACCCTGCGATCTTGCTACCCTACATTAGTTTCTGCTATCTGACTAACGTTGCAACCAATGAGAGCCAAGCAGGTTTCTTAAAAAGATTAGGTAAGAAACAGGTTTTATCCTGACCTCGGTCATGTTAAAAATTTTCTGGACATATGAAGTTAGTTTGTTGAATTTAATTGATTAAATATTTGTTATGGAACAAGGAGGGCCCCTTTTATTAGTTTTTTTTTTAAATCCCACCATGTTTTTCTGAACACACATATTTTCCTTATGTTAATGGGCAGAGCAGGAATAGTGCTGCCCTGCAGCATGTAGAATTTGTATACATAACGATTTCACAGTGATTAATGGGATATGGATTAAAACTGATCCCTATGTTTTTAATGCATTATATAAGTAATTTATGCCTACGGAGCTGTTCCAATCATCACTTAGGATGATTGCAACTGCTTTATAAACAGATAGAAACATTACTGCAGCTGTTAAACATAATAGTTCACTGTTCAGTCAACTGGTCTATCTGACTGGCAGACACATACATCTGCAGCTCAACCTGTTTTACAGGAAGGAGAGAGAGAGCTTAATACAATTAGGTCAAAATTCATGTTAAACATTCTGACAGCCTTGATTGACAGCATTGAGAGGTTGGCTTACAGCTGCAGTGATAACAAATTGCTACAGTTCTACAGTTCAAAAACCACAAAACAGGCCAAGGGGATATAGAGCATCACAAAACAGGCCAAGGTCAAGGGGATATAGAGCATCACAAAACAGCCCAAGGTCAAGGGGATATAGAGCATTACAAAACAGGCCAAGGTCAAGGGGATATAGAGCATTACAAAACAGGCCAAGGTCAAGGGGATATAGAACATCACAAAAACCACAAAACAAGCCAAGGTCCAGGGATAGAGAGGATAGAATACTCAAGGATTAGTCAGAGCAGATACCAAGCAGGCAATTAAAAGGAAAACACACTCTCGGTTACTAAAACAGAAACGACGACGAAGCAATGACCTGTCCGTAACGAAGTTTAAACAGGACATGCATCACCATATTAGTGAGCGTCACAAGGTATAGTCCAGGTACGACGTTGAACCTTCGTCTGAAAGGTGACATTGGCATGGAGCGGTATAAAAGGACACATGGCTTCCTGCACTAAACATTACGCCAGCATAATGCGCAGTGCAACACTGCCCAGCAAGGTGATGAGGCATAGGAGGAAGTACTGGAGGTATCATGAAACTGGTATCTTTAAAGGACCACTCTGGGTACCATAGCAGCTTCATCACCTGATTGTTCTGCCCATGTACTTTCTTTGTGTTGAAGTTGTTATGGTGCCTAGAGTGTCTCTTTAATAACTTAATTTCTCCTAATGTACAGAACATATATGCCGACAATCAACATATATAATATATCTCCCAGAAAATGTGGTGGAACTGGCAATGCTACAATAATCTATTGTCAACTACTCAGCATCTGCGATCAAAGTCATGTGGTAACGCAACAAAAAGTCACCTCCCTTTCATTACCAATAAGCCATGACCACAGTTATTTAGAATGGATTAAAGGTTGGTTGTTTTTTTTAATCTTTTTGCAAAATGTCCACATGAATGACTTCTCTGCTTATCTCCCTAAACATTCACAGCAAGCCACACACGGCAGAAGTGTTAACTACGAGTGAACACGTATATGTTTAATGTGACATATCTGTATAGTTGCAATCTGATAATACAGCAACACTCTAAGAAAACACAAACATTTCATAACCCACACCCCAAAATATCTTAAAAAAGATTAAAGGAACCTTTTATAATAAAACTTGCATGTGCCATTGATCTATTATTAATAATGTTTTAATGATAAGGATCAAACATTATATTATGCAGCACATGAAACATGTCAAAGACAAACACACAAATACTCATACACCACCACTCATAACGCACGAACTCAACTGACACATGCACAGAGAAAAAAAAGTAAAAGAGGTCTGCTAATGTTGAATGTTTATAACTGTTGATTAGTGATGTCCCGAATGGTTCGCCACGGATGGCGAACATATGCGCTGTTCGGTCCGCCCCCTATGTCATAATTGAGTAAACTTTGACCCTGTACCTCACAGTCAGCAGACACATTCCAGCCAATCAGCATGAGACCCTCCCTCCCAGACCCTCCCACCTCCTGGACAGCATCCATTTTACATTCATTGTGAAGCTGCATTCTTAGTGAGCTGTCCAGGAGGCGGGAGGGTCTGGGAGGGAGGGTCTCATGCTGATTGGCTGGAATGTGTCTGCTGACTGTGAGGTACAGGGTCAAAGTTTACTCAATGATGACGAATAGGGGGCTGACCGAACAGCGCATATGTTCGCCATCCATGGCGAACCGTTCGGGACATCACTACTGTTGATATTATACAGATAGTGCGTTGAGATAAAGCATATCTGAAACCGAAAAACTTGTAAACTTTCCTCAATAAAACAATGACTGACAAAAAAAACAAATACTCGTACACATTGTGACAAAATACAAAGCAGCATTGAAGCTGACCTGTCTTACTTGACTTATAAAGGTTAATTTGTTCTGAAATACTGAATATTTATTCAATCTAATGCCAAAACATTCAATGGTGTCTCATGTATGACTACGGGGCAAGGCTAAACCTCTCCTAGTAAACAATCAAAAACAGGAAGGTGTGCAATCCACCAACCAGAGAAGTGGAGCGTGTAAGGTGTACTATAGGATACGCATACCCTTTGTTGGGACGTAGGGATTAAGCTGTAAAAAAAAAAAAAAAAAAGGGACTAATAGTGTAATAATTTCAGGGGTATAAGTGGACTGTAGGTGTCCAATTGTCCAACTCACATTGGCTGGCTCAGATCGTATAGGCAGAAGTTTACTAGGTGACAATCCCCTCTTCTGTCCGCTCAAATATGGTATATGAAACGAAAAAGAAGTGGGGAAACCAGTAGACTTCTGGTGTAGTATGTAAGGTATGATAAAACAGATATACAATAAAAAGATCTTGCTAACCTATTCCAGAGCCCTTAATGCCTGGCTCAAGGTGATAGCGCTCTGTGCCTTTGAGGGGGCACACCCTTCTTTTTAAGCAAGCAGGCAGGAGTGATTTATAGGACTATATTATTTAATAAATATAACAATTAAAAACAAAGTGTACACCGATTGAGAAAGCCCTAGTAGAGGGTGAAACGCGTATCAGAGGAGGAACAAGGACAACTTGTTTGTATTCTTGGCAGCTAGCTTTTTATTTTTGTTACTTTGTTTTTAATTGGTATGTGTATTAAATAATAAAGCCCTATAAATCACCCATGTCTGCTTGCTTAAAAAGAAGGGTGTGCCCCCTCAAAGGCACAGAGCGCTATCACCTTGAGCCAGGCATTAAGGGCTCTGGAATAGCAATATCTTTTAATTGTATATCTGTTTTATCATACCTTACATACTACACCAGAATTCTACTGGTTTCCCCACTTCTTTTTCGTTTCATATACCATATTTGAGCGGACAGAAGAGGGGACTGTGTCACCTAGTACACTTCTGCCTATCCGATCTGAGCCGGTCCTGGAAGGCTCATTCCCATGTGAGTTGGACCATTGGACACCTACAGTGCACTCATACCCCTGAGATTATTACACTATTATTACCCTTTGTTTCCTTTATTTTACAGCTTAATCCCTACGTCCCAACAAAGGGTAGGCATATCCTATAGAACACCTTACACGCTCCACTTCTCTGGTTGGTGTATTGTACACCTGCCTGTTTTTGATTGTTTGCTCTCAGGTGTGGGGCGGAATAGGGGGGACATCCACCTGAGTGTAGTAGCGTGTGAACTTGTTATATTTTTATAACTATACCTAAGCGCCTATATATTCACAGAGCACTTTGTGTTTAAACCTCTCCTAGTGCACAATGTAAATGGATGTCATGCCAATTGTATTTCTCTCTCTTTCCTGGGTCTGGCATTACAGTCCAATTTTGGTGCCAGACCAGAGCTCCTAACGCGTTTCGCGCATTATCCCACAACTCTGGGTTTGTTCTCTGGTGTCACCAGAGAAATCTCTCTAATAAAATCATTATACATGCAGATCGAAACAAAAATTTCTGCTTATACTGAGCACGTCAACGGATGCAAGGGCACATTTCTGAGGGGGGGAGAGGGAGCTAACATTTGATCAATTCTTACATAAAAAATGTACACACTGACACACACATAATGAAAAAAGATGTTTACATTTGAAGTTCCTGAATTTGCAACAAATTCACAGGTTTTGCAGCTTTAACAGTGAGGTCAGCCCAGTCCAGAGGGTGTTTTTTCTTATTTTTTTTTAAAAGAACACTATAACCGTAAGAATACAAACATGTATTCCTAACACTATAATTTAGGCGTCTGTCCCCTCTCCCCACCCTATCAGGGTTTAAAAAAAATGTAAAAGGTAAGATTTACTTACTTTACACCTTGCAGAGCGCTGATCTTGCTGCCTTCTTCCCATAGGTAAGAATTGGGAGGTTAGTGCTCATGCACAACAAATCCCCTTGCTCCATCAATCAAATGCTCTATACTAGAAGCATTGATTAAATAACTATGAGTTTCGGTGTCACGTGACCGAGCTTTATTCAGTGAGTGCAGCAGAAGCGCCTCTAGTGGCTGTCAGGAAGATGTTTAATCCTGCAACGAAAACAATGTTGTTTCTACAAAATGGTAATATTTTACATTGCAGGGTTAAAGCTGAGATTAAGTGGTCTGGATGCCTTTAATGTCCCTTTAAAAATGATGATGGATTTTCCACAGCAGTTCTGCACAATGCAATGCTTTATGTGCACAGCAATACTTTCTGGGAGTTGCAGTTCAATTGTCAGCTTTCTTCTGTAGAACTACTGAAGTACAACTGCTCACAATCCTCAGACTTAGCCGTCAATGCTTTAGCCTATGAGCGTAGGCAGAAATTGTTGACTTACGAAGCACAATAAATTAAAAAAAAACTTTAAAAAAAATTAAAAAATGACACCCACCCAGCATAACTATCTGTAATTCAACCAACACGCTGCATCTAATATATATGGCTGTATGAGCCATTTAAATCGATTTGTTGTTGTTTTTTTTCTCTGTGCTGTGTAATAAAAAATTGCTTTAACAATTAATTAAATCACTTTTTGCACTTTGCATTACTGGCATTTTTTGAATCATAGAAACAATTTGGTTTTCTTCGGTTCATTAATGTGGCTGGTAATTATGTCATATAGCCAATAAATATAATAAGAATTAAATATAGTTACTGATTATTCCAGGAGAAAAAATAAGAAAAAGAAACATGTGCTTTAGTTCCCCATTATATTTCTATTATTTTTCTGGTGATATAAACTGCCCCTCAATCTACAAGGTAGAGAGAGAGATAAGCTATGCTAATTGTGGTGGAAAAGATCTGTATGCATAGCTAGAACTCCATTCGCTGAAAGTCTCATACAATATGAATTATTGATATAAATTGATTGATACTTAAATAACAACAATGACTATGCTTATAAGTGCAACTGTGCTCTGACTGAACACGCTTGCAGGTAAAATAGTGGATTTAGAAAGTAAATCTCCAACTCAGCTAGGGTGAAGATTGGCTATATTAGCCTCAACTTTGCAATATCGGATTTCAACACCCAACAATAACATAACAGTTATTTGATAAACTGTGAATTTTCAGGAATTCACTGAGAAATGGCAAATTTAAAGGAACACTTCACTGGAGATTATTTTATATTTTAGCAATTTTTAACCCCTAAGAAAACATGCATGCGGCCTTTGCCAGCCCTCGCTTTTTTCCCCAGCAGAGACTTTCAGTCTGTGTCAGGAATAGCACACGGAATCGCAGCCTTCGTACTCTTCTAAATAATACAATAATTCATCTGTGATACAGCTCACTGAAAAGGAGGGAGAGGCAGAGGCGAACATGCAGCTTCCATTAGCTCGAGAGAACGAAGGTGGTTCTGCCCCAATTCTAAAAGTGCATATTTCTAACGATTTGTGAAATTATGACAGGCTCCAGGCACGTAAAGCACTTCGGTAATCTGGTACTTTAAGGGTGTAGTGTTCCTTTAAGACTAAAATAACTGAGTTGGAAACACAGTAAACTTGGATACATTTCCAATTTGGCCAATTTTGGCCTAAACTTTACAATACCTTGCCCTACTGGCAGTTTATTTATCACATTATTAATTGCAAGAAGCAGACAAGGAAATTATACATTGTAGGCCAAAATAACCTGTCTGGTATAAAAATTCTAAATTCAACAATCTTCCCATTTGGCTATGTATATGTAAATTGTGTGGCTCCCTTTTCAATTCTCTGCTGTAATCATTCAATGAATACGCTCACAATTGTATTACTAATAGAATCTTAATTTACTATTTGTTTGTTCGTGACTGTGTTATTATATCCCCCCATTGTTATAGTTTGCAGTTATTGAAGAAATAAGAAAACAGTATTTATATTTTTTTCCCCTCTCAGTTAATTTAATGATTATTTTTTTACATTTAGCAATTTTTTCTTTTTTTTACATTCCCTCCCCCATGTTTAATTCTAAAGCCCACTAAGACATGATTCTGTGTGTTCCCTGCTAAGCAGTGAGTGTAGTGTAAACTCTCCCCCAGTGACACAGATCTCACTAATACATGACAGGATCAAAGCACACAGCAGCCATTACCATTCCTGTGCTCAGCAGGAGGTAGTACTCAGTCAGAGGCTGGCTGGCTGGCTGGCTGGGGAGGCTGCCTGTTGGAGATGGTAGCCAGCCCAAGGAGGGGTGGCTTGTAGAACACAAACAGTGGTAGGTGCTGTTTGTCATGGGCTGGGGAGGGGAGACATGTTAGCTGCCAGGGAGGGGAGAGGAAGTGCAGCACTGAGAGAGCTCCCTCCTCCTCCATCACAGCCCAGTCCAATCCCAGCTCTACCCCAGCAAGCTCACAGAGAGGGCTGTGAGAGCACATGATGGCAGGGAATTAAAAGCTCTGTCTGCAGTGCACCCCTTGACACCCTGCTACAAACCCACTGCTCCTCTGGGCACACACTGGGCAGCCTGGACCAGCCTGGACATGGAGGACCAGTCAAACGGTAAGTGGGCACAGGGGCTGTGCTAACCCATCTAGGGGTTACTTGAGGGCAACTAGCCCAAATAAGCACAGAGCCAGCCCCTTGTTAAAGAGGACTATTATGGGCATACAGATCCTGGGGCTGCTGATTATCTCACACTGTTTTGTTGCAGCTCATTGCTGGTTCTGTGCTGTGAGCAGTGTTTACAGGGGGATTGCAACACTGTATCTAGCGATTGTTTTGTTTACGTTGAAGTTGCACTCAAACTATTGTTGTTATGACAGGCGATAAGATCATAGAAGCATCTTCTAAAGTAGCCTTCCCAGTGTTCCAGATCTTCACTGGGCATTGGGCAATACCCACACTGGTAGTGTACCTATCTGTCTAGGATTGGTTGTCACTCTGTGGATACATACTGTGCTCTAGAATCGATTGTAAGCTCTTTGAGCAAGGCCTTCTGCACATTAAAGTGGTTCTATTCGTTTTGGATTTCTTTGAATACCCAATATAGAATCTGTGCTATTTATTAGTGCTTTATTAGAATGACCTAGGGGGGGACTCCTTGTCACAGTAATACAGGGCTTGCAATCTATACATGCCTTCAAATATAAAGGGGTAGGTCGCAGAGAGTCCCAGTAAGGTGTGTATATAAGCACCTGTTTGATAACTTTAATATTTAATTTCTGTAAATGTTGATTTACAGCATTTTAAACTCTGTGCACAAGACTGCAAATGGCATGACTGATTCTAGCCTGGCAGTGAATTATCTAAAAATATTCCATTTGATTTCTGTATATATTTGCATTTACAAGCATTACATTTTTACCAATTTGTTTTAGATCTGTGTTTTAATAAGCCATCAAGGTTAACGCACAAACCAAAAGGGAGCAGGAAGTGTTTTTCAGACAAACTAGTGGTTAACATTCTTTGCTGCAGAATTGCATGTGGGAGAGGTGTTTGACTTGCACTTCGGTTATAAACCGGCAATACTTGTCAATTTTAAATGCCATTAAATACTGCTCTCCCAGTAATAACTAGGCAGGCGTATGACCTGCCACTACTGATGTTCTCCGAGATGAAATACATTTTCAAATTATTAGGGAAACAAGTACAATAAACTAAAAATGGTGCTTTTAAGTATAACAAAGTAAAAAAAAAAAAAAAAGTTAGAGGTTGCAGTTGCAATCAAGAGTGTTAAAGCATTTTATAAAATGATGTGACTTGTTTACTGGATATTAATATAATTTACAGGGTTATTTACAAAAGTGAGAATTCAAATGCCAGATTTAAAGGAACATTATAGCGCCAAAAATACAAATGTTTATTCCTAACCCTATAGTGTTCAAAACACTATTTAGGTTGCTGGCCACCCCTTGGGCCCCCTTAAATAGGTTAAAAACTCACCTTTATTTAAGCAACACAAGGGGGTTCGTTGGTGCAGGCCTTGCCCCCGATCTGCCTTCTTGACTGAGATAATCAGAACTGACAATTGGCTGAGATTGCCAATTTAGATGATCTCAGCCAAGGAGGGGGGGTGAATCCAAACACAGCGCTGGCCAATCAGCATCTTCTCTTAGAGATACATAGAATCAATGCACCTCTGTGTGAAAAGTTCAGTATCCCCATGTGAAACGTGGAGACGCTGAATGGTAGGTGCTGCACTCTGTTCAGCACTGACCCAGGAAGCACCTCTAGTGACTGTCTGAGTGACTGCCACTGGAGGTGTCCCTAGGCAGCAATGTAAACACTGCATTTTTTTCTGGAAAGGCAGTGTTTACAGTAACAATCCTGCAGGGACTGACTACACTCACCTGAACAACTACATTAAAGGGACTCCGTAGGCACCCAGACCACTTAAGCTCTTTGTAGTGGTCTGGGTGATGTGACCCTTTTGCACTTACTGCTGCATTGTTAAACATTGCAGTTCAAGAGAAACTGCAATGTTTACATTGCAGCACTACGTAATCCCTCAGTGCTTCCGGAATCGCAACAGACTTTTGGTCCGTTATTTGACGCTGGAGGACCTCAAGCGATCGGGAGGTCTAATGCATGCGGCGTTTGCCACGCATGTGCATTAGACCCCACTCACCGCGGGGCAGAGCTTCGACCCAGCACCGAGGGACATTGGCACTGGGAAAGTAAATAAAGAGTTTTTAACCCTTTATTTACCATGGGGGTGAGGGAGGTCGGAGGCAGAGTAATCGCTAGTGCCAGGAATACAGCTTTGTGTTCCTGGCACTACAGTATCCCTTTAAGCTGTAGTTGCGCTGGTGACTATAGTTTCCTTTAAGATCAGAGCTTGCTAAGAGCATTTTTCCAATTTGGCAATTTTGACTTTAAATTTTAAACACACACTTTAGTGAATAAGCCCGATTAGACATTTGTTTATAACACACACTACGTATAACATAGAAAGCAGAACAAATTATGTATGTGACAGCGTTACAGGGTTACTCTAAACACCATAACCGTTTCAGTGTATTGAAGTGGTCATGGTGCCTGTAGTTTGTCTGTGCAGCTTTTTTGCTGTGAAACACATGTGTCAAGATTTAACCCCTCTACGGCCAGAGGTGTAACTCATTGTGGCGTCATTAGCCATCCTGAAACAAAGGTTCCTGGTGGCTAATGTGAATCCTGTGAAAATCACACATCTGACGTCCTGGCGCCAGACAGCCAGTCTCCGCACATAACCCACCGCCGTGCCACCCATTGCCCTCCTTCTCTCACTTTTAAAAATGTATAATATTTTGTGGGGGGACCTGTATAGGAACGGTTACTCCAACCAAAAACAGTGTTTTCCTAAAAGTACACTTTAAGTTCCTATAATGCTATATCTTGTTTTCTAAAGGGCAGGTAAGGGTGTTTCTGATATCCAAGATGTGTAAACAGCACAATAATGGTTATGAATATAATATAAAAAAATGAGGTAGTTCCCCCACCCCCCCAATAGAATATTGTAAAACAGATTCACTTACCAGTCCTGATTTTGGAAATGCTTTGTATGTCTCAGACTCCCATTCATCTTTTAGCAACGATAGATACAGTTGTGCCAAGGAGGACATTAATATCTTGAAGCTAAAGAATTTGGTACACTGGGAAATATTGTTTTATGGTTTAATAGTAATAATTTTAAATCCCAAACCACAAAAAGTGTATATACTACAAAACCATATAGTTCTAGAAAGTAGACACCCCATAATATTTTACTAGAAGCATTTGAATTATTTTCACGTGAATTTTATCACTAAACTCTGCCAAAATGTATTGAGCCAGGTTTGTGGGGAATCCTAGTTAAATTATACACATGCACTCTATTTAGTAGCCTTTTTTTTGGGGTTGGAATAGCAAACCCCAAACTCCAATTACCCTATTATGAAAAACATTCTCTAATTTTGAATTGACACTTAGGTATTTTCCCATTGACGCTATCTGATGAAGACACTTTATCTGTGTCACTATACTGACCATTGCCAAACTTTGACCTAAATTACATCATTTCATTGTCAACACAGTGTTATTTGGCTTCTAAATTTATTTATTTTTTCTGCTGTTGAAGGCAACAAAAGTTTAGGGCTTTTCAGTTCTTCTTTAAACCCACCCAGGCTTTACCAGTGTACAGTGGTTTGCGTTGTGCCACGAGCACGTTGATTTTAGGGCTGTAATATGCTGGTCTTAAAAATGTCCTTTGTAGCAGTTATATTAAAGTAGCCAGTTTGGCTACAAGTATGTGCATATCCCTCTGGTAAGGCTTCAGGTAACATGTGACATTTATAATCTAATGAAAATAAAAAGGAAATGGCCATGCGAGAAAATTGTTCGTATTTTTAAATGTGCTGATTTTTTATTGTTTTCACGTTTGGTATTACCACACACAGCATGATATTACTGAGTGTGGCTAATGATTCTCTTAGAGAAACGTCGTATTCAGTGCTTCGTCATGAGAAGCACAGGATTGGTGGCGCGTGACAACTGCCTCCCCTGCGCCATGTGTCTGCCATGCATTTAGATGAATCACAGTTCAGCGGGCTTAATTTTCTCACCGCGGGTTGATTGGACATCTGGAACCTGGATTCTACTTTTTTTTTTTTTTTTCTCCTTTCCATAAGATGGGAGGTCTGAGTGACTGCCACTAGATATATTACTAAGCAGCAATGTAATGTGTTTACATTGAAAAGCCTGCTGGGACATACTATACATACCAGAACCACTTTATTAAGCTGTGGTGGTTCTGGTGACTATAGCATCAATTTAAGAATTGCATTTTTTATAGCTGAAAATAAAGCTTAGTTTGTTCAAATCAATGCTGGCTCCTATAGAAAATGTGTCAAGCCCTGTTTTATAGTATCTGTTAAGGCAGGCGTAGGCAACCTTCGGCATTCCAGATAATGTGGACTACATCCTCCCTGAGGCTTTGCCAGCATTATAGCTGTAATAGCTTTCTATGAAATGTAGTCCACAACATCTGGAGTACTGAAGGTTGCTTAGCCCTGTGTTAAGGTAATGTTCACTTCCTGTGCAGCGTTGTCACTGAAGGATTGTGGGTGTTACAGTAAGTGACTGAAGGGGTTTTCACGCATTCAGCAACCCTCTCTGCTCAGTCCATTCTACCTACACAATACTACTGGCCCTGCTTGAGGATACATCTTCTCTTGAGCAGGGCAGTGCTCCTGATGATGACGTCAATGCCACTGCAATGCTCTATAGTTGCTCCTTGTAGGATGGTTCTCCTGCTCTCTCTCCTGTCAATCAACTCTATTATGACTCTATGACAGAAACATTTATTGACAGATGAGTAGGGACTAAAACTTGATTTAGGTTTTAAAGAAATGTTGCATGTTTGTTAGGAATTATGAGTGCACAATATAGAGATAACGTTTTATTTGCAATAAGTGTGTACCAGACACTTTTGGTGCTGATCTCTGCCACCTTTCTCAGTAAATTGCTCCTGTTATGGCAAACATGACTTGGTCAAGCAATCATTTACCCGTGTCTTCTCTAGAGATTATCTAGACATTGTGAAGGAAAGTGCCCATGTATAGTCCAAAAGCCATTTACATTTTTATTATGGGAACGATGTTCTGTACATTATTTGGAAATTCAAACGACGTCTGATCATTCTCCACGTCCATTGACAGCTGCCATGATGGAGGAAGAGATCTTCGGGTAGTTCTATCATTTTATCGATTTGCTGACAATATCACTAGCACAATGTATAGATTCAATCTTTACCCACCTCGAGGTAAACTTGCAATTCACACATTCCGTGGGTGACAGGTTTCCGTTAAACATGTTTTGTTGTCTTTACTGTTATCCTTACCTCCCACAAATGAAATGTAGTTTTTCCTCTTCTGCCTACCAGCTCCAATTCAACCTGAATTAATGTAAAATACATATACATTTTTTAATGCTTGTTTGTGTATCAAATAGGATTGAAAAAACAACAAGCACAAATCACTTGTAAGCTTCCTGAATAAGTAATGTAAAACCAAGATAGTATGCCTTGACATATTACAAGTTTACTAATCTGTTCTCAAACAAGAAAAATAATTAAAAAATCTGCCCTAATGGCACTTGGGAACCGGTTTCTGAAAGTCAGTTCTGTTTTAATAGTTTGCCTCAAACATTGCTGTGAGTGTGTATCTTACATTTTCTGTTTCTACAAAGCGTGCAGGATTTCATGTACCCACCTGTGCTTTCACAACCACACGATCAAAGCCATGTCTTCCATATGTGAAATCGGGGCGGATCTTTTTATATTTCTTTATGTTTGTATAGACTGCTACAAAGACATCTCTCCTGCACTTTCACATTGTTTGAGTCTTTGTGTCATGTGAGATGTCCCCAGAGATATTTTCCTTCTTCTTTAACCCCTTGGTCAATCTTCCAGCGCTTTATCATAATTCCTGTCTGGTTTTCTTTATTTATTTTAGATTTTATTATTTTAATGGAGCTACAACATTGAAATGCAGAGAAGAATTGCCCCCCTCCCTCCCATTCTTCACATAGGGATGGTCAATGGGGCCAAGTAAATTAATAGACCTGGGGCCTCTCTCTGACACCTGAGCCCTAGGCAGTTGCCTATGGTCGCTTTAAGGTTAATCCTGCTGGGTTTAAATATATAATGGAGTCTTCATGTCAATAAAATCAATACAAGTGCCATTTTTGGCGGTCTGTTGATTAAAAAACAGATTTAAATAACCCAGTGCAATACATGGCCGTCCGGACTTTGAAATCCAGATATTTGTTCTAATAATGTATCAATGTCCAGGTATTGAAACGTAGCCTGCAAGTTTGAGTGAATGTAGGGAGAATTTTCGCCTGTCAGTATGCAACCGAATGGCTGATATTGTGAACAAAACTAAGCTCACAAAGTTATTACTGATATTAACATAGAAACATAGAAAGTGACGGCAGATAAGAACCATTCGGCCCATCTAGTCTGCCAAATTTTCTAAATACTTTCATTAGTCCCTAGTCTTATCTTATAGTTAGGATAGCCTTATGCCTATCCCACACATGCTTAAACTCCTTTACTGTGTTAACCTCTACCACTTCAGCTGGAAGGCTATTCCATGCATCCACTACCCTCTCAGTAAAGTAATAGATGCATATATATATATATGATTAAAGAATATAGTAGGTCACCTTAGGGGGGGGGAAACCTATGAAGATTCTATTTAATATGTATTTCTGCTTATTTTAAAGCTATTAGTGAAATCACCCTTTTGAAACACCATCATTTCTGCATTGCATCTAGGAAAAACTAAAAGGATACTACAGTCATAAAAACCACTTCAGCTTAAAGGACCACTATATTGCCAGGAAAACAAACTCGTTTTCCTGGCACTATAGGGTTTTTGGGTACCCCCACCCTCAGGGTTCCCCTCCCGCCCGGGCTGAAGGGGGAGGAAGGGGTTAAACACTTACCTTTCTCCAGCACCAGGCTCTCTCGGCGCTGAGGACTCTCCTCCCTCCTCCGACATCATTCGCTGAATGCGCATGCGCGGCAAGAGCCGCATGCGCATTCAATCAGTCCATTGGAAAGCATTACTCAATGCTTTCCTATGGACAGCAGTGTCTTCTCACTGTGAAAATCACTATGTTTACAGCTGCAGGGTTAACCCTAGATGGACCTGGAACCCAGACCACTTTATTGAGCCGGCTGGGGAGACCTAATGCGCATGCGCGGCATTGCTAGACAGCCGCTAGAGGCACTTCTGCGCTTCTCACTGTGAAAATCACAGTGAGAAGACACTGACGTCCATACGAAAGCATTGAGAAATGCTTTCCTATGGATTGATTGAATGCGCGCGCGGCTCTTGCCGCGCATGTGCATTCAGCGCTGAAGTCAGAAGAGGGAGGAGAGTCACCAGCGCCGATGAAGCCCGGTGCTGTAGAAAGGTAAGTTATTAACCCCTTCAGCCCGGCGGGAGTGGGACCCTGAGGGTGGGGGGATCTATTAACACTATAGTGCCAGGAAAACAAGTTTGTTTTCCTGGCACTATAGTGGTCCTTTAACCTCTACCACTTCAGCTGGAAGACTATTCCATGCATCCACTAACTTCTCAGTAAAGTAATACTTCCTGATATTATTTTTAAACCTTTGTCCCTCTAATTTAAGACTATGCCCTCTTGTTGTGGTAGTTTTTCTTCTTTTAAATATAGTCTCCTCCTTTACAGTGTGTATTTCCTTTATGTATTTAAATGTTTCTATCATATCCCCCCTATCTCGTCTTTCCTCCAAGCTATACATGTTAAGATCCTTTAACCTTTCCTGGTAAGTTTTATCCTGCAATCCATGAACCAGTTTAGCAGCCCTTCTCTGAACCCTCTCTAAGGTATCAATATCCTTCTGGAGATACGGTCTCCAGTACTGTGTACAATACTCCAAGTGAGGTCTCAACAGTGTTCTGTACAATGGCATGAGCACTTCCCTCTTTCTACTGCTAATACCTCTCCCTATACAACCAAGCATTCTGCTAGCATTTCCTGCTGCTCTATTACATTGTCTGCCTACCTTTAAGTCATCAGAAATAATCACCCCTAAATCCCTTTCCTCACATCTTGAGGTTAGAACTCTATCAAATATTCTGTACTCTGCCCTTGGGTTTTTATGTCCAAGATGCATTATCTTGCACTTATCCACATTAAATGTCAGCTGCCACAACTCTGCCTTTTTTTCTAGTTTACCCACATCATCACAGAGGAGGCTTGGCCTTCTCCATTGATGTCAAATCCAATACTCCTCATAGACAAGCATTGAGGACCTAGTGCGCGTGTGTGGCGAGTGCTGCATGTACATTGACACTTGAATCAATGTGATGGGGCAGGGTTAAGAGAACATGACCACTTCATTACGATGAAGTGGTCTGGGTGACTATAGTGTCCCTTTAATTTCTAAATGACAGGGAATTAAGCAGTTAGACCACAGCAACCTGAGCTATGCACCCAAACTACTGTATTTAAACTAAAGTTGTTTTGGTGCTTATAGTGTTTAAAGGACCACTATAGTGCCAGGAAAACATACTTGTTTTCCTGGCACTATAGTGTCCTGAGTGTGCCCCCACCCTCAGGGTCCCCCTCCCGCCCAGCTCTGGAAGGGGGAAAGGGGTAAAAACGTACCTTTTTCCAGCGCTGGGCGGGGAGCTCTCCTCCTATCAATGCTTTCCTATGGACGCTGGCGTGCTCTCACTGTGAAAATCACAGTGAGAATCACGCAAGCGCCTCTAGCAGCTGTCAATGAGACAGCCACTAGAGGCTTTGGGGGAAGGCTTAACCCATTGATAAACATAGCAGTTTCTCTGAAACTGCTATGTTTATAAAAAAAAAATGGGTTAACCCTAGCTGGACCTGGCACCCACACCACTTAATTAAGCTGAAGTGGTCTGGGTGCCTAGAGTGGTCCTTTAAGTGGAAAGTTCACAAGATGTTCACCAGTCTCCTTCATGCTGGAGGCAGCAACACAATAATGAGATGGATACTTTCTTGTAAGGAAAAGCTGTGTACATGTGTGATGACCTGAACCTTCCTTGCCAATGAAAGTCTCCAGCAGTGTAAAGTTTAACCCTTTCCACTCGGATAAAATTTCAGTGTCGTTCACCAAATTTATTCATAGAAATCACTTCGTGGGTGCGTTTTTTTTATTTCCCAAGCCGCCTTTATCCGATAACATTATGTACCTCTGGGTGAGCCATACGGTCGTCAAACTTGTATGCTATTCATATATCCCACCACGTGGGAAATACGATCGGAATGAGAAAATTAAAATGTCCCACCCTGTGATATAATCTAAAATACACATATTAATCTATACTTCACGTTTTATATATATATTTTTTCTATTTTAGATCTGTTTGGCTGATTACAGACTGAAATATTTCTTATTGTGACTTTATTGCGAGGTGTTCCTGTACAATCACTTTGACTTACAATGTGTAAATTTAGCCATAATTTGTTCGACAACATTCTTGGAGAAAAACAAGGCATGTTATGCTTCCTGTTACGAGCCCAGGGTTTACAGTAATTGCTGTTGAGTACTTTGTGCACAGTGACAGGCACACGATGTTGTGAGTCATGTTTATGTTTGATACAAAAGATTATTTCTCACTTATAGCCAGTGGACTGTACAGATCAGTGAAAACAGATCAGAGGTCCTGTTTTGCATACCTCTCCCATATGTTTTAACTCAAAGTAAAAGATGTAAGATTGAGCCCAGGTCAGGTTGCTATTAGGGTTAAAGCGACACTATAGTCACCAGAACAACTACAACTTAATTTAGTTGTTCTGGTGAGTAGAATCATTCCCTGAAGCCATATTCATGCAAACACTGCCTTTACAGTGTGTCACGACAAGTGACCCCAACACAGAGATATATCTATCGCGAGACAAATAAGGCATTTGCCTTGGGCGGCAATTTCCAGGGGGGGGAGGGGGGTTGGCCACCTTTGGGCTCCCCTGGGGTAGGCGGCCAGTTGTTTAGCGGGCGGCGAGGGGACACTTTTCCCTGAGCTCTCTCTCTGCTCAGGTCCCTTGCGCGACTTGCACTGATGTGTGCTGGAATATGACGTCAGTCTGGCTTCCAGCATCATTCTGCGGCGGGCAAGGAAACTGAGCAGAGAGATCACAGCTCCCTCGCTGAAAACGTAGAGCGCTCGTCCGCCTGCACGTCAGGCCGCCTTCCTGCTCAGCAGCCCCACTGCACTAGGGTAGCACCATTTCAAAATACACCACAGCTCCAAAACGCAGAATAGTCTAGGTATGGCCAACGTCAAGGAAAACCAGAGATCAGGATAATGAAAAGGAGTAGCCGAGTCAGGAAACCAGAAAACAGGAAAAACGAGCCGAGTCAGGATACTAGAAAGCAGAATGGTCAGTATAACACAAACTAAGTCAAATACCAGAACACACCGACCAAAATCAGTATAGCACTAGAGGGAACAACCAGTTTTGTGGTTTTTGTGGGTTTTTTTTCATTTACCCTTTTGTTAAATGAAAATCTCCAAAACGTCAGGGAGCGTAGGAAATGCGCCGCGTCATATAAGGGGGCGTGCGTGGAGCATCCGGCATCAGACATTCGGTCGCAGGGAGGAGTTGGCAGTTGGAGCTTCAACTCTCAGGTCAGCGTGATTAAGGTAATTTATCATGACACAGTGTTTACATTGCCCCCTAGGGATACCTCCACTGGCCATTCCTCCGATGGCTGCTAGAGGTGCCTCCTGGGGCAGTGCTGCACAGTGTCTCCACGCTCTGCATGGATACGCTGAATTTTTCTCATAGAAATGCATTGATTCAATGCGTCACTGAGGAGCTGCTGATTGACCAAACCGGTGTTTGGGCCCACCCCTGTCCCACCACCTTGCCAATTTCAGCCAATCAGCTTTCCCTATAAAATTAAAACCTTTTTAAAGGGGTTGAGGAGGGGCAAGCCACATAAATGATGGTTTTAACACCATTGGGTCAGGAATACATGTTTGTGTATTTAATGCAGTGACACATTAAGATGAGCATACAAATGGCTTTATTATAATATTTTGTAATAATTATAAAGTGTTCTCGCCTATCAATATAAAACAATACATGTTTTATATACAGTAACCCATTCCCTATCCGATGTAGGGAATTTCTGTTATCTCCAGTGTAAAAATGAACTTGAAGTTTGATAATACAGTGAGTAAGGTAATTAGCTGCAACATTCGGCCAAACATACCTGGATTGCAGGTGTCATGAAAAGAAAACCACAGTTTGCTGTGGTCACTTGTGGTTTTGGTTTGATAAACAGCTTACATGACAAAGTGGCAGAAAATATTAACCCCTAATGAATCTGGCGCTCAAAAGGGGATCAAAAGAGGGGTACCAATTTTGCACCAGTGGATCTACTGCCAATTACATGTTCCCTTTTTCTATCCATTTTCTTTTCGTCTGGACATACTTGTGCACATGCGGTGTAACTTCACCATTCTATATCTGCAGAGATAATGACAAATTTAGAGGGCCTGGAATTAGAGAAATGAAACAGCATTTTTTTTTATTTTCCTCTTGAAACCTCAACTTTGTTGCATTTCTTGTAGTTTCCTAAACACATGAACTATTTTACAGATCTGGTGCTGTATAAAGGTTATATACTGTACGAGGACCTTTGTCGTAGATGCACAAACATCCACAATACAAACAACACATTCTCTGTCCTGATAGCATTTTCTAAGTTTCCACAAAAAGCCCCAATATTGAATGGATGTTCTATAGGTTGACTTACTGTATACGTATGTTACTCAGGAGTCGATTGACACACAAATTGATATGGTCTTTGGAGTCTTTACTATTCAATTATCCTTGATGGGATTGATCCAGGATAATTTATTTTGTTTTATCCTTCTTTCACTTGATTGAAAGAAGATTGACGGAGCCACGTTGAGGGTGACCCCTGCCAGAAGACTATAAAAAAGGAGCAAGCCTCACTCCAATGCACACCCAATATTGGTTATCAAACAGGAACCAGCCAGCACCTCACCTACCTCCCTACAGTTAGACCCGACAACCATCATGACCTGGCGACACCCTCCATTCAAAATCATTGGCGTTGTAAGCGCCCCCACCTGGGAGCCTTTTCTTCTCAAAAGGTGCTGGTGTCGACCTAACGCACCACTTTTAATCCAATGTTATCAATGCAAAAAGTCAACTTGTTCTTCTCTGTCTCTTTACAGACAACTGCTATGCCAACTGTACTACGCTTGCTGTATGTATTTATGTCCCTTTAGTTTGTTTAATGTTCTTGAAAACGATCTTTATAAATGCTACATAAAATATCAAAATAAAGAAATTTGAAGAAGAAAAAAAAGGAGCCAGCCCTATAAAATGACAGAGCAACTCATGTCGAAACAAAGGTCCCCACACTGCCTTCTTGGAATAAGATTCCAAAGCACTGCTCGCCAGCCTGTAATCTCATCCAGCGCATGTTAGTAGGTGGGAAATTCAGCAATGCTCAGCATGATGTAGCCGCTGGACTAATAAAGAAGCTGTTAGATACTCAAATAAAGCCCTGGATGGTATCATGATATTCTAGACTGCAGTCAGTTATGGGTAGATTCTGGAGACCACCACTCATTGTATCTGAGATCCTGCAGCCACAATCCTTTTTGGTTCATCTTCCAGCCCAACCATCCAGTGTCCTCCCATTGCTCAGGGTTTTCATTTCCTGTATGTGACTTTTGGCAAGTTACTGTCCTTTCCATAAAGAAGGGGACACCTGGCGTGAAAAGTGTGCGCACCTTGGTTATTGTAATCCTGTGTTTGTAGTAGTAAAAAAAAATAATCTTATAAACTTTAACAGAGTTATAGCCTAGCAGAGTACAGCATGATAAACCTCATCAAATTAGTAATGCGTGTTGTGTTATTTTCAGAAGTAAATGCCAAAAGTCCCTTTTACTACTCTATATCAGTTATTTACAAAACCACGACCTTTGGGAAATTACCAAGGAATGTTAAGGATAAAATATCTGCACATAGATGAATTGGAGTTTTTTTTTTTTTTTCTAGTTGGGTTATTTTAGTCTTAAAAATCCCCCACGATTAAATAACCTTATATGTGTTCTCATTGATAATGAGTAATTGGTAATCTTCTCAGCATGAAACTGTACCCACAATATTCATATACTGAAATTACAATTATTTAAATAGCCCCAACGTATTCCGCAGTGCTGTACAATAGGTTAAAGACAAACAATTAATTCTAATTGGGCTGTCGCTGAAAAGCCATTCTATACGTTACACAAAGTGAACCATTATCCAAAGCACTGTTTGTTTTTATCTTGTAATTTGGTGGGTGATGTTCTAACGTTCTTGTCTATGCTCATGTGAATTTGGGCTGTGTTTCCTGTCATAATGAAAGAGGAAGTTGTGCTGTAAATGATATACCCGTGACACTTGCAGTTATGACGACGTTGCAACTTTCCTTACTCTCGGTTTGAAAGAACCTGCACAAAGCTACAGTTTGTGTCCCTTCTTGACGTGGTTCTGTGCCGGGTAGAGCTATAGATTGTATTGAATGTTCCAGGAATTCTTGATTCAAAAAATGTCCGTTCCCCCTTCCAGTGTTGTGCAAGCAGTTTCCTTATAGCCATGAGCACTTATCAGATTGCAAGCCTGTGTGTTGGTGGCCGTCCCATCGTGTTAGCAGATCTCTAATAGAGACTTTAAAGGTGTAAACTAGCAACCAGGATTAAAAATAACCTTGCACCATAAACATGCAAGCATAGCTCCTGAATGAAACTAGTTATAAGTGCAGAACTAATCTCCATCACTTCAAGGTCCCAGCATAACCTTCATCTGTGCCACCAACAATGGCAATGAAAATTATTTTTAAACTGTCACCCCCCTGAAAATTTCGTATTTCATAATGAAATACTCATTATGTCAGTGTTGGAATTTCACTGAAGTAGGGACTACTTTGTCTGTGTATTTCTCCTCCACCTGACTTTCTTAGACTCGGGGCAGATTCTAAGTGTTAATCCCGACACCAGTGTCGGCTTCAGGGAGTTGGCTGTGTCTATGGAGGGTCTCAGGGGATGCATGTGCGACAGTACAGCAGTGATGCTCCTGTTGCTTCAGCACCAGGGCCAGATTAAGAGCCCAGTGGGCCTGGTGCCGACAATTATGATGGGGCCTAATTACAGAATCTTATCGACCAAAAACAGTCATACCTCCCAAGCGTCATGTATCTAATGGACATGGTGTTGGAGGAAAACTCAAAGGATACTCTATGCTAATCTCGTTATCTAATTTATGCTTTCATCTTTCAAGTAAATCCATACCTCCTTACAGCAGTGTCCAGTGAAGCAGGAAGTCAATGGGTGGGGTAAAAGGGTGGGCCACTGACACTAATCAGACCAGAACTGCCAAAAGGGGCGAACATGCCCAAAATGGGGGCATGTCTGTCCAAAGAATTGGAAGGCCAGCCTGGCATCAGTGTCCCTATGTATCACAGTGTCAGTGTCCCCGTTTCACCCAGTCCCTAGTCTCCCAGTGTCTGTGTCCTCATTTCTCCCTGAGTCCCCATGTCTCAGTGTTTGCAGTGTCACTAGGATACTAGGGGGCACTGCTACACCAGGGGGACACTGATACACTTGAGGACACTGGGAGACATGGGGGCACTTGTGGATACAGACATGGAGACACTGTGAGACATGGGGACACAGACACTAGGGACACAGAGACATGGGGACACAGACACTGGGAGACATGGGGACACTGAGACACTAGGGAAACTGGCTGTGAGGCATGGGGACACTGAGACACTAGGGACACTGGCTGGGAGAAATGTGGACACCGAGACACTAGGGACACTGGCTGGGAGACATGTGGGCACTGGGAGACAGATATTTGGGGACACTGGGAGACATGGGGACACTGAGACACTAGGGACACTGAGAGACATGGAGACACAGACACTGGGAGTCTAGGGGACACTGGGAGCAATGGGGACACTGGGGACACTGGCTGGGAGACATGGAGACACTGTGTCTCACAGAATCCCCATGTTTCTCAGCGTCCCCTAGTGTCTGTGTCCCCATGTTTCCCTGCTGCCTTTCCCCCCCATCCCTCACTTCCCTGAGCTGTAGTCTGTCTCTGCAGACTGGGAGCTGCTGTCTGAACTCTCTGTGCTGTGTAGCTGCTCTCCCCTGGATCAGTGAGTAGAGAGAAGCAGGAAGGGATATGCTCTAACTTCCTATCCCTGCCTCTCTCCACACACAGTGACCCCTACTGGCCGGTGCTGGTATTGCAGAGTAATCTCCGTTTATACTGAGAAAAATATCTGCATTTGTATTGCCGGTATTACTGCAATGCCGGCACGGCTAGGCACCCACAAATACCGGCTGTGCTGGTAAAATACCAGTCAGGTGGCAAACCCAAGAGTAGTGTGTAAAAAAAAAATGTAAAAAAAATTTTGTATTTTTTTTTTTTTTTAAATGGGCCTATTCCATGGGCCTGGGCCTGGGCCTGGAGCTGCAGCTCCATCAGCCCCTATGTTAATCTGGCCCTGTTCAGCACCATAAGTTGAATAGGAGCAATGCAAGGAAGATGGCAGCGATTGAGAAAGGGACAGGTTCAGGTAACCTTACTCTTACTCTTTTCGTGCAAAGCCTCTTTCTTTAGTTTCCATATCACAGGTTGTTTTGTCAACACCATAAGCGATCACACTCATTCCCACAGTAATTATTTTATTTTGATTTTGAAATCCACCACTTCAGTATCTGCAACCACAAAATCATTCCCCTTCCTCTTTGCTGGAGGGTGTAATACTTGTTGATTAGCAGATAATACTTGGTACCAAAACCACAACCTTACAGATATTTCACACAAACAAAAGACAGTGTGTGTTCAATATTGTAACTATTGTACTGGCTGATAAATGCAAGTACATAATCTCTGTAGAATGGTGATCTAAGATTTTATTCTTTGATGAGAATTTGATTAATATCCAAATCATCCACCTTGGTCTTCTTCCAGTACAAAATTGGTATAATTAATAACACACAACGTGGAAATAGTCTCTTTACAGAGCAGCTCTCTCACACAATGCTAGGAACTAAGGCTGGGGTAAAGTGTCATGTGATCTTGTGTTTAAAGGTACATGGATGAATTACAGATAATTTCAGGGCATATGCAATCACCTTATCAGTACTCAGAATTTGGGCAGCTCTGATTGGCTACCACGCTGGGGAGCATGTCATCTTACGTTTAGTGTGGTGACCTGTACCTTTTATGGTCAGGCACAGGGCTCGTAAAGCAAATTACGTCATTGTCTCTCGAACCCATCCTCCTCCTTCCACAATCACAGTCCTAATAAACCTATCCAGTAACAGATTGCATTTCGGGGGTAAAAAAATATTTATTTATGTTATCTGTACATCTAAGTTTATTTTATTAGCAGGAAATTCTCATATCATGCGTATTTTTTGTTTATTTCCAGCGTTGTAGTCCTTTTAAATAAACGATGATTAAAAAGGTGGAATTGAGAGTTAGTTTGCGTTTATGTATCATATACATGAACTGTTTAAATGGAGCGTTTATACGGAGTACTTTTCATTTCACATGGCATATTGACTCCGACAATGTGAAAGACATAACATGACAAAAAAGTATTTGTGTAAAAGTTTAAATTGATTCTACTGATGTCTGCCATCCTTATGTAACTCTTAAACAGCCTTAGATCGTGACATTGAAAATTAAGTCTTGCCTGGGCATGGTTTCAAAGCAATTAAAAAGAACATTCTTTTTGGAGATATAAAACATTGTCTATCAGCCATCCAAGGACAGAAATGCTAAACGTAATTATTCTGTTGAGAATCTCACGTGAGGCCATTTAAAACCATGTTTACATGTTTAAGGAACATGTCCTATCATAAGTGGTGGTTTTGGTTAAACTGTTATCTCCTGCAGTGGCCAGTTCATCCTTTTGGAAGTGTGGAAGCTTGTTAATCTGGATTTTTTGAACCATAAGGTCTGTTCTGTTTATTGAGGGGTGCTGACATTGTAGCTGATGGATAATAAAGACTTTGTTTAGAATTTGGTTTGGAAGACGATTGTTAATCCAATCTTCTTCTTGAAACTGAATCCCGAACCTGTCAGTGTTGTCCAGGAGAAAAGAATCTCACTGACTCCACCCTTGGTTTATCATCATCCTGAAGCGTATTCATATTCAGGTCTAAAATCTGATACTACTTCTATTTTTCCTGGATAAGCGCAAGATGATCTAAAACCATCATGATCAATACTTGTTGCTAAAATAACTTTGATCAGAGTGGGAAGGTATATGATTTGCTACATACAAATAGGTAGGGGAACATAGAAAAATATATCTGGATGATATCTCCTATCATCTAGAAGGATTTGGTTGGGATATAATCCCAGGGGCTACCTCAGCATATTACAAAGTATATTTAAGCCAAACATGACTTAATATCTGAGATTAGTAGAAGACATTTGCAGTTGTCTCTGCTAATTCAGTCCCACACCCCTTACTGATATACCAGGAGAGGCGATGACTATGGAGACAAGCAGTGCAGGGTTGTCTCCCCAGCTCAAGTCCTGTTGGACTTGATGGCAAAGTAAAATGGACTGAATTAAGGAAAATAACTCACACCAAACTCAGAATGGAAGATTGTATCCAAGATTAATGGAACCCTAGATTTTATTATAAAAAAAAAATACACAACACCGAAGCATGTATCTGGGTATATAATATTATCTCATGGTTTAAGGCTGTGGAGACATTTCCATAATACATGCTGCAATATTATGTATTAGAAGAAACAAATAGTGCATCAGTCTCGCTCTTTGATATGACCTTCGAGTAAAGGGGGTGCTTTTCTGGTTTTGGCAAGGCTAGAAGAATTGTGCTTCTAGAACCTCCTGCTGATAAAACCTGTGAGGCTGAACGTGTTGCGCTGTGGAAGATTTACCCATTAAAACTGGTAACTGATTTTTGATGGGTTTTGGCATCTTTTTTAAAGAGCAAAACAACAAATTTTTGTACTTGCTACAAGTGCTAATGATTTATGCAAAGCAAACTCTGAAGGCAGGTGTCCAAACATATTTTGCACATATAGCCATGCATTTGACTTTATTTGTATATTCCTGGTACCCTCACTATTCTAAACATTAGTAGTTACGTGAATTCCAAAATTAAAAATAATAGCTTCCTGAGTCACTCCCAATTAGGATAAATGATAAAATGAGCTTCTGCCGTGGACTTGACAGTTGGCAAAAACAGAAGGCGTTTTTCATATTTTGACCTTCACAGTGGGCGCTACTGCATCTGTCGCATTACGGTTAGTGTCCTCGTGTGAATGATGGCTAACTTAAGCAAAATCTGTCATTTTCACCTGTTATTTCATTCATGTTCTTTTTATTTATTTATTTTTACTTTTTTTTTTTTTGCACTTTAAACTAGAAATAAAATGTGAATATTTCTTTCCTGAACTTGCACAGCCTGTCACAGCACGCCAAGGAAGGTTTTTATTTAGCCATAGCCTTGCGTGCGGCTCAGAATTCTCTTTATAGATGCGATCTGATATTTGTTCTTCGTCGATTCAGTCACTTTCTATAAATAATGTTTTGTAGGAGATATAAAACCAGGCCAAACAAAGAATAAAGCATGCCAACCAGCCCCCGACGTACATGGTCTGTTTAATACAATGCCAGATAACGTTGTTTGTTGGGAATCTGTAAATCTTTCATATCGAAATAATAATTAACCATACTTCAGGTGCTGTAGAACAGCAAGGATTCATATTACAGGCTCTGCTTGTGGCTTGTGTTTACACACGGCACTTCATTTGCCAAATCACTCTGCCACGCCATCGAACTGGATGATAAATGCTAAAACTAGCAAGGTGAAAGGGTTCTCTACAGTTTGACCATAACAGGTAGGGGAACCTGTGCTTAACAGCTGGTTTACTATGACTAACAACAACTGTAGCCAATCTGATAGTCCGGACGTAGCAACATTTGTACTGCCAGCTAATAGTCCAAAACTCCCACTAACCTCAACCAACCTAAAGATTAATGCTGGGTAATGTGGCTTCTTTTTATTTTCACAAATCTCAGTCATGTCCAAACGTGGGGCAGTGCTGGCTAGCTCTGGCAAACCTGATGTATGTGAACGGCTTGCTTAGCCTTATGGGATAGGTAGCTCACAAATGTACTGGGGATCCTAGAGATGGCTGTCGGTGCTCTAGTGGGCAATGATCCAACGGTTTTGTTTTATACGGGGTTATACTCTCCCGTGTGAATTATCGTGAATTCAAAATCTATTTCAAACTGTAGGCCAGAATAGCAGAATTTGAAAAGTTATCAACAGTCAGCTGTGTTTTCCGTTACAAATTTTGAGATTTTATATTCACATTTCTTTCTTTCTTTTTTTTTTTTTTATTTAGGTTGTGCATAGTTGTGCATTTAGGTTGTGAGTTAACAAGCAGATGTGCACTGCCACAATAGCTAGTGCAATCATAGCAATAAACATTAGTGATCAACAGTGTGGCTGTAGATACAATGCACGTTTATTTATATATATATATATATATATATATATATATATATATATATATATATATATATATATATATATATATATATAGTTAGTAAGTTAGAAATACAGGTCTAGACTGTGCTTATCATACATTTGTACGTAAGGTTTTGCAATCTAGACTGATATTAGGTTAAAGCAAAAATGCTAATAGTTATACATGCTTGAATGTGAGCTATACAACGTGTGGGTGCAAATAGTGTTTAGTCGAATAACATCTATTGATGCCCCCCCTACGATCCCCTGGATGATCATAAATGAAATAATAAGTTCACTAGAGCATACATAAATCTTATGAGAGTGTTCATCTGAAGCATAGTAAGGTGGGAGATATAGGGCACTTTGCCTGGTATTAAGTCCCAGTCCTGGTTCAGCCGATGCTGTGTGTATTCCCTCCGCTCTGTTCGTTGCAACTTGCTCCGTCTCCAGGGTATGGGGAAGCGTGGAGCCCCTGTGCCGCGAGGCGGTGTGCTTGTCTGAGGATATTTCCTTATATTTATTAAAGGATCACTATAGTGTCAGGGAAACAAAGCGGTTTTGCTGACACTATAGTGCCCTAAAGGGTGCCCCCACCCTCAGGATCCCCCTCCCGTGGCGCTGAAGGGGTTCAAACCCCTTCAGCAGCTTACGTTATTCCAGCGCCAGGCTCCCTCGCCGCTAGTGACCTCTCCTCCCCGTCCAACGTCAGCGGAGCCGAATGCGCATGTGCGGCAAGTGCTGGGCGCGCATTCAAAGTGTCCATAGGAAAGCATTTCTCAATGCTTTCCTATGGACGCACTGCGCGATGGAGGCATAATATGCCTCCAGCGTCGCAGATGCGCCTCTAATGGCTGTCCGGAAGACAGCCACTAGAGACTGGATTAACCCCAAATGTAAACATAGCAGTTTTATTCCAGAAGTTTGGTCCTTAAGGGGGTTAAAGGAACACTATAGGGTCAGGAACACTAACAAGTATTTATGCCCCTGTAGTGCAAAATCCACCATTTAGCACAGCCTGAGGGGAGAACATTTGTTGTCGGGCACTAACATGCTGGTGCTGGTGTCAGAAACTAATTTTGCACAGAATTGTCATTAACCAGCCCAAAACATTGATCCGTGTTGCCTTACGATGATGTAAGTGGTGGAGGTACACCTCCAACCGCAAAGGGGTTCATCTCTGTATGTGCCGAATTTCAAAGCAAAACACTGCATATGCAGACTCCAGACACCATGACCTCTTCAAATCACTGAAGTGGTTGTGGTGCTTGAAGTAACCCTTTAATGTAGATTAGTAACACTATCCTCCGAAAGTAGAAAGACCTTGTTATTTTATATATGTTATTGTGGGATATGGGGCAGTCCCCTTGCAAACACTGCAGTGATATTATGTGAAATATACAGTCTATGCCCACATTGTTAGAGATATCTTTGTATATTGGGTGTGACCCATTTCTGCCTTAAATTAGAATTCTTTATGGCATGAATTTAGCAATGTGCTGGAATCCCGTGGTTAGTTCAAATGTTGTTTATTAGCTGTCATTGTATTCTGTAAATAGCTAAGCATTCGTTCACCCAGTTTTTGTTTTATTTAATTTTTTTTTCTTCTTCTCAGATCGGGCCCAGTTGCCCAGAAATATGATTGAAAATAGCATGTTCGAAGAAGAGCCTGATGTGGTTGATTTGGCCAAGGAACCCAGCATAAATCCCTTAGAATCAGAGGAAGCTGAATATGAACCGAGAAGCTCGCGATTACTGGTTCGTGGTTTGGGGGAACATGATTTGGATGAAGACGAAGAGGATTACGAATCCTCAGCAAAACTGTTGGGCATGTCATTCATGAATAGGAGTTCAGGACTCCGAAACAATGGTTCAAACTTCAGACAAGTTCAAGATGGATTATGTCCAGTGCCTTCTGTAAGGACTGTTATTGTGTGCGTGGTAATCGTTATAATTGCAATTGCTGTAGTTACAGTGGTTTACTTGCTACCCAAGTGTACTTTTACCAAAGAAGGCTGCCATGCAAAAACCCATCCAATGGAACTTGTCTATCCTATCGCCACTAACGGAAAAATGTTCCCATGGGCGAAAAGTAGACTGCCGCATTCTGTCCAGCCAATACAATACGACATTAGTTTGCACCTAAACCTGTCAAACTTGGCATTTACTGGCACTGTTCACATAAAGCTAAACATCGTTGAAAACACCAAGAATATTATACTCCATAGTTCTGGTCTTCAGATCACAAAGACAAGCGTAACTTTAGCTGGGAAATCGTTGGAAAAAGTTGAGGTTCTGGAATATCTGAAGGCTGAACAGATCGCTATTGTTTTGCCTGAAATTGTTACAAAAGGGAAAGAGTGCGTTCTTGCTATGGAATATATTTCCAATTTTTCCAATACTTACTATGGCCTTTACAAAGTTTCTTACAAAGAAGACAAGGACGCAAGGTAAGCCATTTTCCATATTCTTGCAGTATGTGCTCTTGGTGGTGCATGCCTCTGCTTCTACTCTCTGTTTGTAGGAGAATACTGTAAGCTACTGTGCAGATCTAAGACGAGCCATGCAGGGTCATGCTTATTGGTTGAGAGTGTCCACTAAAGGCTCTCGTCAAATGAGCTCAGTCTTGTCAGCAGTGCTTTGCTCTATATAGACATTGGCATCTCCTGCAGAAGACCAGTTGCCCAGGGAACTGGGTAAGTTGTCAAACCATATAAAAAAAAAATGTGTGCTGTAGTAGGTATGGTGCTTGAAGTGTTCTTTAGGAGCAGAAAAACTACAGGCATACCTTCTCCGTCATTGATTGATTATTCACTTTAAAGAAACACATTAGTGTTAGGAATGAAAATGTGTGTTCCTAACACTATTATTCCTTGGTGGCCGTTTAAAAAAAAAAAAAAAAAAAAACTGTAAACAAACGGCAAAATAATCAAAAGAAAATTTTAAAAAGTATATAAATAAAATCAATATATAAAAATTAAGTCTTAAAATAGATATATATTTTTCTTAATATTCAATTTTTTTTAAAAAAAATAAACAAATATTAAATCATTTGAAAAGCTAATTCAGAAATATTAAATAAAGACCAGTGTAGTCAAATAATTTATAGGCATTCCGACAGCGTCAATTATAGCATCATGTATAACCACCATGTATATGAATAGGTAAGACAAGAAGCAGAGCGTGTACAGGGAAGAGATGAATTTTTGAGGTCTGTCTGTAGATAGATTGGTTATTTTAACTTTTTTTGTAGTTTAAGTTATTTTTATTTTTTACATATATTATTTTAAAATACTGCTTGTTGTTATGATTGGCATACAATGTATAATGTATATGCTGCTTTTATTCCAAAGGATGCTAGAGAAGATTAAGGACATGTTTTTTTTTTTTGTTGTTTTTTTTTAGACTTAACTGAAATTGTCAAATGATTAATAAATATTATTAAAAATACTTCATTTAAAAAAAAAAAAGAATTCACACCACCTGTTTGCAGTACAATATGCATTTCCAACTACTTTTTACTTACAATCTGTTGCATACATCTTCGCAACGATAAAGAAAATTTGCTCCAAGTTAACCACTGCCAACCATAACCTGCAGATGTCTTGATGGTTTTTTTTTTCTCTTTATTGCTTTTATCTTTATTCTTCTTTTTATTTATTTTTTTTCCTTGTGTGTTTTACAGACTTTCTATGTTGGTTTATATATTTGCTTCTAGATAAGAATTAGGTACTTTTTTTAATTTATTTTTTTAAATCTGTTTTTATCATCTGCTTTGTACTTGGTGTTTCATAGATGCCAAGTTATTAAAAGGACACTGTAGGCACCCAGACCATTTACGCTAATTTAAGTGGTCTGGGTGCTGTGTCCACATTGCAGCACTAAGTCTGCCTCCAATGACTTTCTCCTAGACAGCAACTGGAGGCGCTTCCTGAATCCTAATGGACTATTGGTCCGGTAACTGATGCTGGATATCCTCAGGCACTGCATGAGGACATCCAGCATCAGATTTTTTCCAATCAGAAAGCGCGCGATGTCGGAGGAGGCAGAGCCACAACCTAGCGCCTAGGGTCATCGGCACTGTGGTAAGGTAAGTATATGAATGGTTTTTAACCTTTTATTCACCGACTGGCGGGGTACGGGGAGGCAAATGGAGCTATAGTGCCAGGCATACAGTTTTGTATTCCTGGCACTTATAGTATACCTATAACACAAGCTGTCACTGGACATCAAGACAGTCACTAAGGTTATTTGTTTTAAAGGTACCTGTTGATCTCCAGTCCAAATGCAGTAGTCAGATTCAATTAACAAATTCAGTACTAAAATATACACTTGTAATGGCTACACTTTATTTTCTCCGATGTTCTATTAATACAGTCTGCAGGCCTCCGGGATTGGGAACTGAGGAAAGGGACACTAGAGTCACCAAAACATCTTTAGCTTAATGAAGCAGTTTTGGTGTATAGATCATGCCCTGCAGTTTTCACGGTCTCTGCCATTGAAGAGTTTAATTACTTTGTTTATGCAGCCCTAGTCACACCTCCCTGCATGCAACTTACACAACCTTCCTAAACACTTCCTGTAAAGAGTGATCTAATGTTTACACTTCCTTTATTGCACATTCTGTTTAATTTAACATTTCTTCTCTCCTGCTCTGTTAATAACTTACTAGACACTGCAGGATCCTCATGTGTGTTTACAGTTCTATTTACAGAGCAGGAAATAAAAACGTTTAAAGTAAGTTAACATCTGATTGAAAATTAAACCAGTTTTTTTTTTTTTTTTCATGCAGGCTGTGTGAGTCACCGACAGGGGAGGTGTGGCTAGGGCTGCATAAACAGAAACAAAAATGTTTTAACTCCTAAATGGTAGTGGATTGAGCAGTGAGACTGAAGAGGCATGATCTATACAAAAAAACTGATTCATTAAGCTAAAGTTATTTTGGTGACTTTAGTGTCCCCTTAAGTTGTAATGTTGTAAACTTCAGTGGTTGTGTGTCCATAAAGGTTAGTTATTGTACGTCTCTGAATAGGAGTTAGAAGGATACAAAACACCACTAGCCCCACTCGTTTTATCATTTCAGTACTGGATCAGTGCAGTAAATGCATTGCTGGCAGAGTGGCACAATTCTGGCAAAGACAGCATAATAAAATATTACCTAATGCTTTGTGAATTGAAATTAAGGTTATAGATTGTTTAATCTTACAAAGTAAACAGGGCAGTGATGAGCCCGATTCTGTTAAAGTGAGTTTATCCTTATAGAGAGAGCTCTCTGACCAAACCAAGAACAATAAGTTGAGGGAAGTGTAATAAACTTGAGTAAATTAGGGAGGGGTAGGCGTCATCCGTTGATAAAGGTTTGCCTTGTAATTCTCAACCTCTAGGGAATACAATGATTTTTTTGAACCCATTGTGTTCCAAGATTGCAAATGCCCAAATGGTTTTACAGTGAGTGAAAAGTGTGTGCAATCTTACACACTCACTCACTGTAGATTACCGTTTGTATTTGTCTGTGTGTATATTGTAATGTCTCTTCCCCAGTTGTACATACCTACTGAATATGTTGGTGCTTTATAATTGCGAGGAATAATAATATATAATCACTCAAACATTAATGTTAACAAACTGTTTTTAAAGAGTGGTTCACATACAGCATTGCTGGGACCTGTTATGTCAATGTATGTTTTTCTGTCCGTAGCTGGCTTGCCGCGACGCAGTTTGAACCCCTTGCAGCAAGAAAAGTGTTTCCTTGTTTTGATGAACCAGCATTTAAATCTGCATTCCAGATCCGGATCAGAAGAAGTGAAGAACACATTTCTCTTTCAAACATGCCGAAGGTAATCCAATAATCTTACTCTGCTGTTTTATCTTTGCCAGCGCTTGCGTTATCTGGAAATTCTTTACTCTGAGGCTGAACAGAACACTTCACAAGAACACAAACTTGACTTGGCACCTTTTTGTTAGGAATTCTAATTGGGCCACATTCTAACTGAGGATAACCAGTGCCGTGTAACAGAAGTTGTAAGGCTATGATGACTTTAAAGTGACTCTGTCATAAGTTCTGGTTTCCTTGTCCCTCGTGTAATTTAGTGATTGTAACCACCTCCCTCCCTGCCTTGATTTATAATCTTTCATCCTTCGGAAGCAATACCACCATTGCATTCCATTGTATTCCATATGGTAATCATGGGAGAAAAATGCTGGTCCAGTCACCTGTTCACTCCGGCCTATAATTGCCATCTAGAGTGAACAGGCGGTATTGCATTATCCATGCAGTTAAAGAGTAGGGCAAGCAGCAGGTAACTTTCAACACATTTTCTGTGAACGTATGTGGGGAAGTGACAGAAACTTTCATATATCTTCTTAATAAAGCTGGAGAAGTAAGATTTTTGGAGTAAGAGACAGGATTTGAAGAAGGATAGCAGGTAGTCACTCACCAACTTTGGCACCCTGTCGTCAATTTTGCCATAGTCTTCTATCTAGGCGCTATATCATTGTCACTTGGTCTCGCTTGCATCATTCCCATCTTGATCACTCTTAAAATGTTGCAACCCGTGACCTTGGCACCTTTAATGCATTTTGAGATTACCGCTCTCTTAACGCACTGCACTTGTGCATATTGACGCAGTTTGGGACTAGTTGATCTTCTGTCTTGTTAGGTCAATCCACTTTTGTGGTTTCTTGCCCGCTTGTTTCTGATTGTGATTTCTGATTTTGTGACCTGGTTTGTTATTTGGTTCCTGATATCTGACCTGGTTTGTTATTTGGTTCCTGAAATCTGGCCTGGTTTGTTATTTGGTTCCTGATATCTGACCTGGTTTGTTATTTGGTTCCTGATATCTGACCTGGTTTGTTATTTGGTTCCTGAAATCTGGCCTGGTTTGTTATTTGGTTCCTGATATCTGACCTGGTTTGTTATTTGCTTCCTGATATCTGACCTGGTTTGTTATTTGCTTCCTGATATCTGACCTGGTTTGTTATTTGCTTCCTGATATCTGACCTGGTTTATTTGGTTCCTGATATCTGACCTGGTTTATTTGGTTCCTGATATCTGACCTGGTTTATTTGGTTCCTGATATCTGACCTGGTTTGTTATTTGGTTCCTGATATCTGACCTGGTTTGTTATTTGGTTCCTGATTACTGACTTGGTTTGTTATTTGCCTCCTGATATCTGACCTGGTTTTGTTATTTGCTTCCTGATATCTGACCTGGTTTGTTATTTGCTTCCTGATATCTGACCTGGTTTTGTTATTTGGTTCCTGATATCTGACCTGGTTTTGTTATTTGGTTCCTAATTGTGTTACCTGGTTTGTTATTTGGTTCCTGATATCTGACCTGGTTTTGTTATTTGGTTCCTGATATCTGACCTGGTTTGTTATTTGGTTCCTGATATCTGACTTGGTTTGTTATTTGGTTCCTGATATCTGACCTGGTTTTGTTATTTGGTTCCTAATTGTGTTACCTGGTTTGTTATTTGGTTCCTGATATCTGACCTGGTTTGTTATTTGGTTCCTGATTTTGATACCTGGTTTATTTGGTTCCTGATTTTGTTACCTGGTTTGTTATTTGGTTCCTGATATCTGACCTGGTTTGTTATTTAGTTCCTGATATCTGACCTGGTTTGTTAATTGGTTCCTGATATCTGACCTGGTTTGTTATTTGGTTCCTAATTGTGTTACCTGGTTTGTTATTTGGTTCCTGATATCTGACCTGGTTTGTTATTTGGTTCCTAATTGTGTTACCTGGTTTTTTATTTGGTTCCTGATTTTGATACCTGGTTTGTTATTTGGTTCCTGATTTTGTTACCTGGTTTGTTATTTGGTTCCTGATTTCTGACCTGGTTTGTTATTTGGTTCCTGATTTTTGACCTGTTTTGTTATTTGGTTCCTGATTTTAATACCTGGTTTGTTATTTGGTTCCTGATATCTGACTTGGTTTGTTATTTAGTTCCTGATATCTGACCTGGTTTGTTATTTGGTTCCTGATATCTGACCTGGTTTGTTATTTGGTTCCTGATTTTGTTACCTGGTTTGTTATTTGGTTCCTGATATCTGACCTGGTTTGTTATTTGGTTCCTAATTGTGTTACCTGGTTTTTTATTTGGTTCCTGATTTTGATACCTGGTTTGTTATTTGGTTCCTGATTTTGTTACCTGGTTTGTTATTTGGTTCCTGATATCTGACCTGGTTTGTTATTTGGTTCCTGATTTTAATACCTGGTTTTGTTATTTGGTTCCTGATATCTGACCTGGTTTTGTTATTTGCTTCCTGATATCTGACCTGGTTTATTTGCTTCCTGATATCTGACCTGGTTTGTTATTTGGTTCCTGATATCTGACCTGGTTTATTTGGTTCCTGATATCTGACCTGGTTTTGTTATTTGGTTCCTGATATCTGACCTGGTTTATTTGGTTCCTGATATCTGACCTGGTTTATTTGGTTCCTGATATCTGACCTGGTTTTGTTATTTGGTTCCTGGAGCATTAATCGCTTTGCCGGTTCCCTGATATTGATACCTGGTTTGTTATTTGGTTCCTGATTTTGTTACCTGGTTTGTTATTTGGTTCCTGATATCTGACCTGGTTTGTTATTTGGTTCCTGATTTTAATACCTGGTTTGTTATTTGGTTCCTGATATATGACCTGGTTTTGTTAATTGGTTCCTGATATCTGACCTGGTTTGTTATTTGGTTCCTGATATCTGACCTGGTTTGTTATTTGCTTCCTGATATCTCACCTGGTTTGTTATTTGGTTCCTAATTGTGTTACCTGGTTTTTTATTTGGTTCCTGATTTTGTTACCTGGTTTGTTATTTGGTTCCTGATATCTGACCTGGTTTATTATTTGGTTCCTGATATCTGACCTGGTTTTGTTATTTGGTTCCTGATATCTGACCTGGTTTGTTATTTGGTTCCTGATATCTGACCTGGTTTGTTATTTGGTTCCTAATTGTGTTACCTGGTTTATTTGATTCCTGATATCTGACCTGGTTTGTTATTTGGTTCCTGATATCTGACCTGGTTTGTTATTTGGTTCCTGATATCTGACCTGGTTTGTTTTTTGGTTCCTGATATCTGACCTGGTTTGTTATTTGGTTCCTGATATCTGACCTGGTTTGTTATTTGGTTCCTGATATCTGACCTGGTTTTGTTATTTGCCTCCTGATATCTGACCTGGTTTTGTTATTTGCTTCCTGATATCTGACCTGGTTTTGTTATTTGGTTCCTGATTGTGTTACCTGGTTTGTTATTTGGTTCCTGATATCTGACCTGGTTTGTTATTTGGTTCCTAATTATGTTACCTGGTTTTTTATTTGGTTTCTGATTTTGATACCTGGTTTGTTATTTGGTTCCCGATTTTGTTACCTGGTTTGTTATTTGGTTCCTGATATCTGACCTGGTTTGTTATTTGGTTCCTGATTTTAATACCTGGTTTGTTATTTGGTTCCTGATATCTGACCTGGTTTGTTATTTGGTTCCTGATATCTGACTTGGTTTGTTATTTAGTTCCTGATATCTGACCTGGTTTGTTATTTGGTTCCTGATATCTGACCTGGTTTGTTATTTGGTTCCTGATTTTGTTACCTGGTTTGTTATTTGGTTCCTGATATCTGACCTGGTTTGTTATTTGGTTCCTGATATCTGACCTGGTTTGTTATTTGGTTCCTGATATCTGGCCTGGTTTGTTATTTGGTTCCCGATTTTGTGACCTGGTTTGTTATTTGGTTCCTGATATCTGACCTGGTTTGTTATTTGGTTCCTGATTTTGTTACCTGGCTAATTTATTTCACCATCAGTAATCTTGAATAGGATGTATTTGGTTCTAGTTTTGGTCTTACAACTTCCTATTTCCATCTCAATGTCTGGCCTGGCCACTCTAAGGTCCCATAATACCAGCACAATCTCTTTCTATATTACCAAATGTCCATTAGTTTTCTATCTATTTACAACAATCTAATTGCCTTTTTAGACCAATACCACCAAAATCTCGGACGGTCTCTTTCAAGATGAATTTGCCACAAGCGTCAGTATGAGTACCTACCTGGTTGCCTTTGTTGTAGCTGAAATGAAGAATATTTCTAAAGAATTAAATGAAACGATGGTATGTATGTGATAATGTATTGATCGTGTTTGCTTAATCATCATTAATATGCAAACCTTACTCCAGAGTTGTTGTTGGGTTTTTGTATTTTTGGCTTTTTTTATGGTGGGGTTATCTTTGGAGACTCACAAAAAAAGGTCTACAACCAATGTTCATTTCTGCTGTTTATTAGATCTACTACCGCATAGAATGGCAGTCGCTGTCGCATTGTAAAAGCTTTTCTATGGCAGAGGTTAATATATTTGTTTTTGACCATTCCGGGGGTAACATCATTTTATTTTATTTTACAAATACACTTTTTGTATTTATAAAAAAAAAAAAAAAACTTTGCCAAAATTATTTTTTTTCATAAAACCTATGAATTTGTTCATCTTGGTTTTGCAAATTGTACGTTTTCCCAAATACTATTGTATTCTTATGTTTCTACTTTGTTTGGAACACAGGTGTCTGTCTATGCAATTCCACAGAAAATGGATCAAGTGCAGTTCGCACTGGATGCAGCCACGAAGTTCTTGCAATTCTATCAGGATTACTTTTCATTTAGCTATCCTCTCAAGAAGCTAGGTTTGTACCAGTCAGAATTTTCAATGTATAATGTCATAACGTTTTCATTGCCCATCCATTTTATAACGAAATAAAAAAACATTCGTGCAGAGTTCGTCTTCCTGTATACAAATACAAATTGAACCTGGCTCTATAAATAATTTATGGCCATAATGAGAGAATGATTAATATGTGATCTGTGTTGCTGCTTGGCAGTCATCCGGCCTAAAGGTGATTTATCTCTGGCTTAAATTAGGAAAATAAAAATATTAAGACAGATTGGCTTCATTTGATAAAGTGATAGTATAAAATGTAATTTAAGAATGAAAGTGAAAAAGAGTTTTAGAATGGTGGACTATTTAATTTAATAACATCGCTAACACTTTATTGGTGTTTATTTATATATATATATATATGTATATATATATATATATATATATATATATATATAAAGTGTAGCAATTTTCTATATACATATAATTAATAGCATTATTCTGTTTAGCTACAATTTATCTGCCTCTGTGTCCCTGCTATCTAGCACTAGGTACATGAACATTGTGGTGTGTTTAATTAAAGATTCACAAAAGATGGGAATTTGTGGTGGTGTTGTACTACTTAATTGTCATGGCCATCACAGTCCTGTAACAATCTCATCGACAAAGCTAAAGTATAGTAAGTGTGTCATCATGGGATATAAACAATAAGCTAGTAGAGAAACCAGGAATCTACCTAAGAAATATTAGGGTAACTGTGTCCCATGGGATATCACAAGAATTTAAGTAATTGTGTACTTGTGGAATGTCACTAGGTTGTAACAGGGTAACTGCGCTCCTATGGAATGTCACAAAACTATATTTGAATGACTAATTGAAATTGGCCTGCACAGTGATGACCCCCAAATATGGTTACTGGATAACTCCAAGAAATGATTGTGATTGCGTTTTGTTTTTTCTATGCTTCTCAATTCTGTGTGTAAAGTTCGATTTTTATTTTTTTTATTTTTTTTATTTTTTTTTAATTTTATTTATTTATTTTTTTTTAACTAAAATCGTGAATAACAAATAGACTATGTGAAATCTCTTGGTTTGGCAAAAATCACATTTTTAAGACCTTTTGAGGAGTGACAATCATGAATATATTTTTAAAAACCCATATCTCAGACTATGAAATGATATTACATTTCATCTTTTTTTAGATCTCAATGTAAACAGCTGCGACTATTCCTGCATATTGTGTTTTGGCTCCTTAATGCCAGAGTGTGTATAGCTGCATGTTGTCAGTTTATTAAAGGGACACTCCACTGCCAATTCAAATAAAAGCATTGTTTAGTATATATACCCAAATGAAAAAATGCATGCATTGTGATATATCGAAAAACATTTTGCAAAAGTAGCATATCTCTTGTCTGCAGCCTTTGCGAACCATCCCCTTCTAACCCCGCCCAGACATTCTGTGGCTGTCCAATCACAGACTTCCCAATGCAGCTCAATGAGAAGTCTTTGCAAGGCAGGTGCTCTGGGCCATTGCTGTCTCTTGATATTTTTATTTTATTTATTTTTTTGTCAATGTTTATTGCAGTGCTGAGATGTATATACAGTCACCAGTCTTGTCCCAACAACAAGAACAGGCGTATGCGAGAATTCAATTATACATATAGCTTGATAACAGGATATAACCAAGCATGCCAGTGAATGCTACATAACTCGACGCTAGTTAGTCAATAGTAACGGTAATAGAAAGTCAAGATATTTGATAGGCAAACAGGCATTTCATTGCATTGCACATTTTATATTATATATTATAATGTTATTGATGCATAGCAAACGTACTGCCTTTTTGAAGGTATTATGAGGTCGCAGGCTTAACTGATGCAAGTCTTGTCTGCGTGCTTCATAAAATAACAAGGTTTGGCATTACTAAGGATTAACTGCTTATACTTTTCAGGGGGCCTCCACCCTATGGTGGCCACAGGTTCTCAAAGAGCTGGGGCATGAGACTGCATATATATCAGCAGGATTTCACATTATGGAAAGGCAGAGAGCAGAAACTGAAACAATAAACATAAGATTAAATAATCATCAAGCAGCATGTCTAGGTAGGGCTTTGGCCCCTTTACTGCTTAGACCAGTGATTCAAGACCACCCTCCCAGTCTTCACTCAACCCCCCCCAGTGGAATTGAAAGCATGGGTGCTGCGCTGAGGCCTTTCTGGTCAGCACCGTGATATTCAGTACGGTAGATTCAAACTCCTGCCTTATATTAGGAAGGGTTGTCTCTGGCAAGGAAACAAAAAATATCAGGTCATCGGCGTAGGCGCCCACCTTATGGGTCCCACTCGGAGTCCCTTGATGTCGGAGTTGCCTCTCACAGCTTGGAGGAACGGCTCAAGGGCAAGGACAAAGAGCAGCGGCAACAGCAGACAGCCCTCTCTTGTGCCATTGTGGATCTCAAATGGGTGGGTGAAAGCACGGGTCTTTATGGGTGGGATAAAGACCCGTGCCGTAAGGTTATCGTACAACACTGTGATCTAGGTGTACCCATTCCCAGTGCCTGAAGAGTGCGACAGAGGAAGTCCCAGCTCATTCTGTCGAAGGCCTTTGCTGCATGCGTGGAAAGCAGTAGAAGGTCCTCCCCAGTCCTCTGGGCTTGATGAATCAGCGCCAGTACTCTCATGGTATTATTTCTAGCTTCTCGGAGAGGGACAAAGTTTACTTGGTCCGTTTTTACAAGCCTTGTAGCTCAGATTTTAGCGAAGAACTTCAAATCGCAATTCAGAAGGGAGATCAGCCAGTAATTAGCGCACTGCTCCAAGTCCTTGCCCTCCTTGGGTATCAACGTGATGTTAGCCGTCAATGTCTGGGAGAGGATCCTCTAACCCTGGGTGAGTGAGTTGTATGCCTCCGGGAAATGTGGGAACAATATGCCCGTGAATTGCTTATAGTAACGGATAGTGAGCCGTATAGTGAGCCATTTATTGGTCTATTTTGGCGCAGCCTTTATTGTTGTTTTTATTCTTCGTATAGTGAGCCGTCCGGTCCTGTGTTCTTGCCCTGTTTCGTGGCTTTGACCGCCGCCACCAGTTCTTCCATTGTCAAGGGAGCCTCCAGTGCTTCAACCGCCTCTATCGGTAGTGTCTCTGAGATACGCGTGAATAGGCTCCAACCTCGGCGTACGCTGTGGGGAGTCCGGTATGGGTGTTTTCGAATACAGTGTAGAAAAGTATCCACGTGCCACATCGGCTATTCTGTCAGGTTTTTGCTGTGGTCAGCCTTTGGTACCCAGTAGGCAGGCTATGTACCACTTTTTTCTCTTTATGTTAAGAATGTGGGCAAGCAGTTTGCCACATTTATCGCTATTAATGTAGAAATAGGCTTTGGTATGGAGCAGGGATCGTTGCAGGTGGTGGTGGAGGTGTGTAGCCAGTTTGCGCCTCATGTCGGCCAATTCCTGGAAGGTGGTCAAAGCTAAAGGTGCTTTAGGGATCCGAAGTGTCCTTTTAAGGGACGTGCTAGAACAGACCTGCACAACTTGGCAGTATGTAGGGGCCAAAATTAAAATATGCTAAACTTCATTGGGCTGCAGATAGGTTTTTGTGCCTCACTTTCCAAGTAAAGGTATAAAATTGCATATAAAAATACAAATACACACACACGGACAGACATACAGATATCCACACGGACAGACATACAAATACAGACACACACACACTGACAGACATACAGGTCCATACACAAACACACAGGGATAGACACACATATACCCACACACACGGACACACACACAGATACCCCCACACACACATACACATGCAAGTCAAAATATACACTTTTATAGCCACCCTCCAGTTTCCTACCTTTTTGGTACTGGTTCCTTGATGACCAGTTTGCAGGCTGATGATGTTGGGAGTTAGGCACTGGCTCTTGCAGCCTGCCCCCACTCCTCTCCTGCCTTCTCCTCCTCCTCTGGTTCCTGTCTCTCTTAGCCTGGCCCCATTCTAGCTCCCTCCTCCACGCATCTCTGGGAGGAAGTGACTCGCAGCCCTCACTTCCTCCAAGGAAGTGAGGGTAGGTAAGGGGCATGGTCGCGCTGTTAAAGGGCCACAGCGCTCAACCGTGCCCCTGCTGACAAAGGCCCATTGGGTGTCCATAAGTTCAGGGACCACCCGATGGGGCTCCTTAGTGTGCGGGCCACAAAAAATGCTTTGGTGGGCCTCATGTTGTGCCGGCCTGTGCTAGAAGGGCAATGGTACGTTGTAGTTCATCCTTCACCACCTACTCCATGAGTCTGTGTAGCTCAGAGTGAATTAAATGTAAAGCCCCTTCACTGAGCCTTTGTCATCTTGTCATTAAGATGCAAGAATGCAGTTATTTTTTTTTTTTTTAGATATTTTTTTTATTTTTTTTACATTATTCGTTTATCACATAGTCTTTGAAACTAAGAATACTTAACATTCTAGCTTAATCATGAGTGAAAATATAATCATTCTTAATTAGACTTTGCATGTATGTTTTTTTTTTTTTGTATAGATTTGGTTGCTATCCCTGACTTCCAAGCAGGTGCAATGGAGAATTGGGGGCTCATTACCTTTCGGGAAACAGATCTTCTCTACAATGAGAACACTTCATCAATTATGGATAAACAATTAATTGGTCTGGTGATTGCGCATGAATTGGCTCATCAGGTAAATTATCAAAAGTACCAGACTTAAAAACACTGGTTTATTTCCAATTTTGGTCCAAAGCCCCAACATGGACAGCAAAGGTTTTTGTATGGCATCCATGGTTTCTGCTTACAATAGTTTTTATAACTTCATTGTTTTGTTACGTCTGACCTATTAGTATCAATGTCTCTTTCATCTACCTTGTGCTGCAGGATGTGGGGATTATTTTAAAAATGTTACGGGGTCTTCTAGACCATCTAACTGTTACCATCAGTTAAATCAACATCTAAATTAAGTTGTTATGGTGCCAGGTCATTGGCACTTGCTGAATGTGTTCTAGTGCTGGACCTCTCTTCCACCTGTCCTTCTGTTTGCTGAAAAACCTCAAGAAGGAAAATTATGGCTGCTGCTGGCAGGGGCATCGCTGGTTGGCACAGTTTGGTCAGATGAAGTTCTCAGCCAATATGTAACTCCCTGTTTTTATAAGTGGCTGGCTTGAGTAACTTCCATAGTTTTCTCAATCAGCAGCATCGCTGCCTGCTAAAGATCCAGCTCTGGAACACAGGCTTTGTGGTTAAACTGTTCGTGAATAGCTTAACCACCCACAGGAACCACCAGGCACCATATCAGTTTAAATGAAGTTGTTATGGTGCACAAACTAGTCTTTTAACATTAAAGAACATCTATAAAGACTGTATATCTGCTGTATCTTAAGAAAGGACCAGGTGATCCTGACACATATCTTACCTAACCCCTGGAACTAACCATAGTGAAATTTATCCATACTTTCAAGGACATTACTAATATAGATATAGTTTGCAACATAAGTAGATTTTTACCACCAGATTGTTGGAACATACTTCTATTTTAGCAGTCCTATATTGTCCTAAATTTAATTTGAACATGCATGGACATCTAATTTAACTTGTAGATAAATATTCTTTAAATTGAGAGATGGTATTTGTAAAGGAATCTGTTGGTATGTCTGTGCATGGGATTCCTAAAATCCCAGCAGAATGTAGAAACTATATGGAGATAATGACAATATAAAGTCAGGGGTGTAGTTTAAAATGTAGAAACACCCACACATTTTTCTTTTTAAATGTATTTAGGATTAAGCAGTGTTTGCATTTTTTTCATGTATTTAGAACTGAGCAGTGTTTCTGTGTTTGAATGTAAGCATGTGTTTGTATGAAGTATGTGTGAGTGAATGTAGGGGTGTGTTTGCATGTAGTTTTGGCATTTGAATGCACGTGTGCATTTTTATGTAGTGTGTTTCTTGAATATGTGGTGTGTTTTTATGTAGTGTTGAAATTTGGATGCAGGGGTGTATTTGTGTGTAGTGTTGGCGAAATGCTGAGATATATGCACATATACTCAAATATACACACACTGACGCACATGCAGATACATAGACACACAGATGCACACACTGGCACATACAGATACACATGCAGATACATAGAAACACAGTCATGCACAGATATTTCTAACTGGATGGCTGCCCACTTCCTTAAACTCAACTTGACCAAAACTGAAATTCTGGTCTTTCCTCCCTCAAGTGTTACTACTCCTGAGTCTCCCTCCCTCCAAGTCAACGGTGTTAACATCAGCTCCTCCATGCAGGCTTGTTGCCTAGGTGTTCTCTTTGACTCCGACCTCTCCTTCACGCCTCATGTTCAATCTAAATCCTGACACTTCCATCTCAAAAACATTGCGCACATCTGGCCCTACTTCACGCCAGATTTGACTGTGTTGGTCCATTCCACTGTCCTTTCTAGCCTTGACTACTGTAATCCGCTTCTCAGTGGTCTTACGTGCTCCCAACTTGCGCCATTACAGTCCATAATGAATGCGGCGGCGAGGCTCATCTTCCTGTCCGCCCGCACTGCCCACGTAAGATATAGGGCTCAATTTAAAATTCTAGTTCTTGCTTTCAAATCTCTACATAATGCTGCTCCCACCTATTTTTCCTCCCCAATACACAAGTATGTCCCGTCTAGGCCCTTAAGCTCTACTGAAGACTTATGTCTATCTTCTGTCCGTACTCCCACCTCTGATGCGCAGACTTTGAGGTGGTGTTTCAAGAAATAAACTTACCTTCTTTATCCTGGAGTGTTGCCTGTATCCTTCTGCTCATGTGATTAGTCTAATACTATCCTTACCTTTTGTGTCATTTTACCCCACTCCCTCCAGCATGTAAGCTCATTGAGCAGGGCCCTCAACCCCTATTTTCCTGTGTGTCCAACTTGTCTGGTTACAACTACATGTCTGTTCGTCCACCCATTGTAAAGCGCTGCGGAATTTGTTTGCACTTTATAAATAATAACATAATATACAGAGAGACGCACAGATACAAACACACATATAGATATACACACACACGTACACACACAAACAGATACACACACAGGTATAAGTGTGTGTGTGTGTTTATTTTATTCAGTGTGTATTTTTGAAGTGTCTGTGTACTGTATGCTGTGTGTGTGTATTGTTTGTATGTGTGTGTGTGTGTCCCTTCCTGACTCTTACTTGTGTCCAGGGAGGGGGGACACACGACATTCCCTGGTGGTCCGGTGGCACAGTATGGTTGCCCAGTCAAGAGGGGACCAGGAGTCTCCACATCCAGCAGCAGCATGTCCTCTGTTCTCGCAATGCGAATTCTGAAAATGCGCCCCGGGCCCCCCCAGTGAGTGGCACTCAGGGCGGACCGGTCCCCCCTTTCCCTCTTAGTACGTCACTGTATAAAGTAAATACAGAGAATGGCTAATCTGGCTTTCATTGGACAGGACACTATTCCCTCTCACACTTGTCTGTTATTGTGTGGCCTTGTACAATGAGCTTGTAAGCTCCTATACAAAACACAAGGGGTGACATGTGCAGGATTTGAGTGGATGGGCTTGGTAAGTAATGCAAAATGAAACAAAGTTTGCAGAGAGATGGTTCAGAGATGTAATTAACGTTTTCTTGTTTGCACCAGTGGTTTGGGAATCTTGTGACCATGGAGTGGTGGAATGATCTCTGGCTGAATGAAGGATTTGCAACTTACATGGAACACGTGTCCTTGCGGAAAGTCTACCCAGAGCTGAATGCTGTAAGTGTACTGTGACAAATTCCAGATAGTACGATCATACTGTTAAGAAAACATGAAGCAGTGACACATTGACCTATTATTTGTACGCAAGGAGGCAAGCATTTTTTTAAAAAAATCCGAGTTACCTTATCCAGAGTGTTACACATAAAAAGTACTGTTAGTCTTTAGGGAATGGCTACAGAGCTAAAAGTCCAATACGCCACAATTTAATTGACATCTGTACATCATAAGGAAGGGAAAGCTGAAATAATAAAATTAAACGGATAGTACTCTTTGTTTAATGTTTAAATCTCAGCTGTATCACATCATAACTTACTCATAGGGTTCAGTCCGCCAACCAGGAACAGTTGGGACCCTGATGTATATAAGAATATCCGCTTCTAGAAAATTAATGGGGATCTTCCGTAACAGGGCCACCTTAATAAATGACAACTGCAAAAGTAATGAATATATAATTTATTGTAAAGATAGATGATATATTTCATTGCTTTAGGAGTTAAGTTAATACTTTTGCTGCAGCAACTCTGACATTACAGAGGGCTCCCGCTCCCATGTATGTCTCAACCCTCTCGTACTGAACTGACCCCACTGGAGAACTCTTCTATTCCTCCCCAAGGATGCTGATATGCTAGTGTCACTCTGTTCATATGAATATGAGAGTGACCGATTGGTTCTGACACTTGCAAAGCACAAGACACACTCACCAGAGGGATATCACTGCAATACCATTGTGCACAGCAACTACACTACATGCACTACATATAATAATACACTACATAATATAATACACTACATGTAGTTCCTGTGACACTGTGCAAGAAAACTCTATAAGAGAATTCTCCCGTTCTCCGTGTTACTTAGTTATCACCACAGATGTTTATACTTCTGACATGTGGAAAGGACCATATTTTAAAAACGATTTCTCTAAACAAATATTACTGCTAGCACAATATATAAATGTTTGTGTTTTTTTTTCTTTCATTTAATCTAAAGTGTTGTGAAACATGGCTATCTCCTTTTTAAATGTTTGGGGCAGCAGCGTAGGGATAATCGAATGTTTCTAAATATTTGACAAATCATTAAAATAACGCAACATTAATTTAAAGGAGTATATAGTCAACATTTGGACAGCGACTACAGTGTTTGTAGGAAATGGAGGTGTATCTCCTTGTTTTGTGCATTTTTATCACTTTAAATATTTTGTCACAGATGGCAAAACAAATCTGTCCAACTGGTACAGAATTCTGTACATTAATACTTAACCTCCCCTTCCAAATTTCTCTTAAATTATACATGTTAAGATTTATCATATTCTTACCCAATATTACCAGAGTTTGCTTTGGTCAGACAAATAAGTAATTTTTACATGTGGTCAATCACCGCAATAAAATATTCTAAAAACATGAAGGAATGATCATCAGTTATCTACATGATCATTAATACAACACAGACATCCAATTCAGAGGCAAAAAGTATTTAAACAATTTAATGCACAAGTTGCCAGCACAAAATGCCAACAGTTTGAAACCCATTTCTTGTGCCTCCTTTGGAAACCATAAGTTTTCACGTTCTCGAACACGAGAGCAAATTGATAAGAACCAGATAAAGAAGTGTGCAGACACAATGACTCCTGGGGACACACACAATGCACTGTGTGCAAAAATGTTGTTGGTTTTTAGGGATATTAATATCTGTCTATCAAACATTTGTCCAAGCTGCAGCTTTCAAGATCTGGGCAGCTATAGCCTGTTTAATCACGTTTTTAGTACACATCCCATTTGCATCAGGACAAAAGGGGATTGTTTATATACAAATTGTAATTTGTTCTCATGAATCATACATACATAGGAACAAAACAAAAATGTGAAACAAGCCCGGCTAAATAACTGTATGACGCAGGCTCAGTCCTTGGTATCAAAATGGTTCAACACAACCATGTAGAACTACGTTTTAATTGTGCCTTAATAATTTATTGTTGCAAAAGCAAAAATTCCAGAATCCGTTTTTCACCATCCTAACATTTTAGTATTTGTAAAAATGATCTGTGATAACACACGTCTAGTTTATTTCTGTGTGGGAGATTTTAAGGAGTGCTGTCTGACCTTTCAATTTTAGGAATGATTGTCGCAAGCTATTTCTGTCTTGGTTTCCTTTAGAAAAATCGTATTATTATTATTTAAGGTCCTTTATTTTTTATTTATTTTTGGATCATCTTGAATCACAAAACCACAATCAATGCATTGGAATTCTGAATTCTAGATTGAATTAAGATCAGATAATACCAGAATTCAGGGCTGGCTTACCAACTAAGAAGCCACCCAGGCACTCAGGAAGTGGCCCCGGCCCTTCTCGAGCCGTAAGGGAGTTTAAAAATTCTCTCTGCTTGTTCCTATACCCCTCCACGTCACAGAGGGAGCATTGTGGTCTGTACCAATATCAGGTGCGGATCGCTTTAAGGACACTCTTGAAACTGATACAGACACGATGGAGCTCCCCCACCACCAGGGATCCAGCTCACCCTCCACTGGACCACCAAGGAAGAGGTACGCTGGATTCACACACATACACACTCAGACTCCCCTATGCACAAATAATTGAGCCACACTGAACCAGCACAGACACACATTCCGCCTCCTCCACACACAACACCCTGCCACTACATACGCATTCACACACCCAACACTCATTCAACACAAACACCACACACACAAACAAGCCTATGGATGTAGGAGGGGGCCTAGCTCTGTCAGCATAAGATGAAATCACCCTACTATTAATAGGATGGAGCTCAGACCTAACCTTCCTACCTATCATTATCCAGATCACAGTTAGACCAAAAGTATTTCCATTTGTAGCAAACTTGCCTAAATCAATAAAATCCCCAAATTACATTTTTTTTACGGTTACCCATTAATGTTATTTTAAATTGAAGGGTATGGGATTTTGTGACATAATTGTCAGTTAAACGCATATACTCCTTTATAATGAACCGGCACCAGCAAGACAGTGACCGTTCCTCTTTCAGCACCGGAAAGATAAGCGTATGGGTATTCACAAAGTGCCTCTCCTCTTGCGTGGAGTCTCGTGTCTGTCTGTATTACATGCATGTGGCAGTAAATAATGCTGAGAGGTCTGTTCATCTTCAGAGTTCTCCTAAGTGGTTTGATTCCCCCCACACCACATGTAGCAATGCATGCGAAAATGTAACATGTATCTTTGGGGAGGAAGTGAATTTCCTTCCATTTTTCTAAATTACTTTTTGATTTTACAGTGCAGTGTTTGAACATCATTATGTTGGCGCCATCTTGTGGCTGAAAATGTTATATGGTGATTTAAAGAAATACTCTAAGCACCATAACCACTTTGATATTGAAGTGTTTATGGTTCACAAACCCTATTTCTGCAACTTTTCAGCCAGTATTCTCTTTTCCTTGCTGGCAATATCAGGTTTGCACAGCTTTTCTGTCAGTTGTTGGCATGCACAGATGATACCCACAGGCATGGTGGACAGTCTGTGCAGTTTCTCCAGCTTATCCCTGTGGCTGTCACCCAGCCAGCAGTAGTTATGGTGCTGACTATGGCAGCATAAATATTTCTTTATAGCTGTACAAGAGGACTGTAACTATCACCCTTAGCCCTAAGCATGTAATTATTCTATTATTTTTATAAACTGCAATAATTACCTACTAGGGTTAACTCCTCCTCTAGTGGCTGTCTACCAGACAGCCACTGGCTGGACTTCCAGGCTCGAATGCGACTTTTGGTCACCTAAACGATGCTGTTCATCCTTACGCTATGCATGAGGACTTCCAGCGTCACCGGAATCCCCATAGGAAAGCATTGAATAATGCTTTGCTATAGGGAAATCCTAATGTGAGCGCGGCTCTTGAATAGATAAGTGACACACTTGCCATGCATGAGCTTCTCATCCCTAATTCTTCAGATCGGGATGAAGTTGCAGGAAAAGGAGGGGGGAAAATAAGTATATAAAATACCCTCCCCTCCCCCCAATGTTTTTATTGCAGTTGGCGAAGAGGGAGCTAAATCTAAATTGGAACTAAAGAACTATAGTGTTAGGAATACATGTCTGTATTCTTAATGCTATAGCTTTCCTTTACAGAATACTGCATTATTAGACATAGTTTCAATTTAAGGGTCCATTTTCAAGCTTTCTTTTATTACATAAGCACTATTTTACCAAACCAGGAAACCCAAGGCAAAAAAGTTATCCGGACCCAAAACACTGGCCGCCTGATTTGATGTTTTTCACAAAGACTATGATTGATTGGCTTTTAAAAAAAAAAAAAAGAAAGGGAAATATATATATATATATATAAAAAACAAGTTATACTCTTTTTAACACTGAGGGAGATTAATCAAAGAATTGCCTTTTTTGGCAATGTATTAAATCTATGACTTATTTTATACTCTAAGCATCCTCTTTTTTTTTTTTTTGGTAAAACAAATTATCAATTGATATCTTATCCATTCAAAATCTATTTTTTTCAGCAACATGGTGGGATTTGGGCTTGGAAAAAGACACTTTCTAGACTGTTCAGAATACTGGGATATGTCTTCCCTTGAAAGTTTTTACTGATCGGATATCCTAAGCTGCATTTTTACTCGGACACCATCTTGAAATCCTATTAATTTCCATATTATTTTTCTTAGGATGACCTCTTCCTGACACAACGTTTCAAGGCCATGCAAAAGGATTCATTAACTACGTCTCATCCTATATCTACAGATGTTCAGTCTCCAGAACAAGTTGAGGAAATGTTTGACGACCTTTCCTATATTAAGGTATCAACTCATCTTGCGTATAAAGATTTATTGTGTGATGTGTATTTAAGATGGGTTTCTGAATCAAGGTTGAAAGGACACTCCACACATCTATGCATGTTAGGCACCTTGGCCAAGTTAGGCTAAATCACTTTAGTTTTTTGTTTAATATTAATAATTATTAGTTTGTTATTAATTTGACTTATTTTTTGGAGATAAAGCAATCAGCTCACAATAGCTGCAGAACTAGCTTCTGCAGCTACTGAAAGACCTTTCATTTTTCCCCTATCACAGACTGCCTTAGCTCCACAGTGTAGCCAGGGAGTTAAAGGGCCACTCCACCCGTTTTTTGGTGGAAACTTTTTTTTTTTTCCCTATTAAAAATGCCCTATTGGGCACTATTATTTAGGCCCCCCCTACAATGTCTTGCTGTAAAACATGCAAAAAAGATTTAAAAAATAAAATAAAATATATATATTTTTTTTACTCAGGTGGAATCTAGCACTAGGCAAAGCTCCCAGCACTGCCTTCCTTGCGTGTATCTGGCATAGGCAAGGGCCTTGTGCAGTCCAATTAGAGACTTCCCACAGATATGCCTTTGATTAGACTGTTTTGCCGGCTCAGAGCGCATGCGCGCAATCTGAGCTGAAGATATAATCTTTAGGAAATAATCATACTGACTGTGTTGGAATTTCACTGAAATTCCAACCCAGTCAAAAGATATACAAAGTATGAACTACTCTATCTCCGTATGTTTTCTTATACCTCACACTTCTTGGCATTGGACGGAGCTACCACCGTCAGGACGTGTCAATCGCCCAGCTGTCACCAGTGACGGCTGCAGGGAATTGGTCTATATACCTCAATGCTGTACTCTCACGCATGTATACTCTTGTCTTTACAAATTATGCCTACCTGCAAGAGAGAAGCTCAATGCATCCATTGCCAGTGTGCAGTATGCAACGATGACAGATGTAGTTTATGCACAGGCTTGACATGTGGCAGTCTGGAACAGAGTTTTGGGCTGCCAAAGTCATGTGTGCCGGGGGTGTAACATACTCTGCATGTGCAGCGTTTCAAGCAGAAAGTGCCCTTTTAAGGCAGGTGTGCTCTGGGACAAGCACGTTCTCCAGGGATCTAACTTGGCAGTATAAAAATATCTTCCAGCTGGTTGACTGACAGCCAGGAAGGTGTAAATGGTTAGAATTATCAGAGTGACCATCCCTATTGAAATTGTGTAATATAAAACAAACAAACAAGGGACACATTTTTCACACACAAAGTATTGCAAACTGAAGTGCTTTATTTGTTTGGAGTATATATTTTAAGTGATCTGCAATACTTCCTGGTTTGGTGAGAGCTCGTTGTAGAACTTGGTTTGTGAATTTGCAGCAATTTCAGGAACTTCAAATACAAGCATTCTTTTCTATTTTTATGATTTTTTTATTTACTATTTTGTCTATTTACATACTCTGAAATATTTCTGGAGTGTCTTTTTTTTTTTTAACTAACTGATTGTTGCAGTTTTAAAATGTACCAGCAGGTGGCAATAATGTACAGATGTATGTATACCCTGAATATTCAAATGTCCCTACGCGATAAATTTAAGAAATGAAATCACGTGCAACTATATATTACTCCTCTTTCTTTTGCACTTATTCATGGAAGAATAATATTGTACTTTTTTCAAACATTTTATAAAAAAGCAGAGTGTTAAGAAATTACCTGTCTTCTACTTAGGGAGATATCTTTTGATAATAATAATTCTGTTTGCTAAGGTTTTGTATCCCGTGCACATGATGACAATTTTGAATAAAAAAAAAAAAATACTTTGAATACTTCCAATTGTTTATTTGTCTCCATAAAAATACTAGAATCTCATTGTGTTTGGCCTGGTGGGGAACTCACAAAGGCTGTCAGTTGAGACCAGATGCCTCTCTGTTTCCCATCCCAATTCTCGAGGAATAATATCTTTTACCCCCTCAAAGATCTTTCATCAGCTGCACAAGGCTGAGAAATCCAAAATATTCCACTTTTTGAATCCAAACACACCAATTATCATTAATAAACCAATTCTAGACTTGCACAGGAAAGACTTGAGTTGTGTGTGGGAAGTAGAAGAAATCACCGATCCTTAAATAACTCCTAATCAGAATAGAGGAAAAAATCTGTATAGTGTAATATCGTATGGTAACAACATTTGTCTTTCAGATTGCAAAATGCACCAAATTAAATGAGAGCAAATAAATTTAATATCCAAGACCACCTGTGCCCTGTTCGTCTTGATGGAAATCTTTACTCTTCCTTAATTCACTTAATGTCAGAGGCAACATTAAGTATCATATTTGTTTATATTGCAAAGTGGATTTATTTCATGCACTGAAAATTAACTGGCCACTCAAAGAACCATAAATGATAAATGCTGTAGCTAATTGTAGTGGTCATGGTGTCAGAGACGACACCCCGCCCTGATTTTTCCCAAACCGTCGTGGGATGGTTTCCAGCTTAGCCACTCTCCCATCAATAGAAATTCTCTTATATAATAACTGAATGAGCTGTTGGTGCATGTAGATCTTTAGGTTTTGCCAAACCACTCCAAGTCAGTTTGACAAAAAAAATGGCACCTCGGACTTGTTCTGCAATAATCTATGTGGTTGGCACTTAGAGTGCCGTGTAAAAAAAACACACAAAAAACAACCTGTAGGGACTGTGTCCTGTGCATTTTGTCCTGTGCATTTTAGGTAGAACTATATGGGTGTTTCCCTCCATGGAACTGAGACATCTGATTGACTCCTAAATATACAATTCCTACACTAGCTGGCCATTGGTCCAGCCATGGATGGGGCTTTTTTGAAATGTACTTCTCAAGCACTGTAAGTGAGTTTACTTAAAATTTTATTTATTTGCTTATCTATAGACTGCAAACTGTATAGCTTTAGCCACTATCCTATTTTAATGTCGGTTTTTGTTTTGTTCACAGGGTGCTGCTGTTTTGTTAATGCTAAATAACTTTCTCTCGGAAGATGTTTTTCACACTTGCTTAAAAGATTATTTGAAGATGCACAAATATGGCTCCACAACGAGTGATGGTTTGTGGGAAAGTATGAATATGGTAAGTTTTCTACTGAAACAAATTGGAATTTTTTTAATTTATTTTTTGGTATTAGACTTATGCTCATACATGTGTTGGTGGGCCATACCTTATTAACAGACCTATAAAGAGCTGTATTTTACTTTATTCTGTATCACCAGGAAGACCTCTTGCAAGATCTTTTGTTTTTGCTTACATACAGGTTCTTAAAGCTGCACTGTCCCCCCACCTCCCCCTGAAAAATGTGTATTTTATAAAGATAAAATCTTTATGAAATACTAATTCAGTGTGTTGGAATGTCACTGAAATTCCAACCAAGTCAAGAGATCTATTGAGAAACAGTAAAAACTGCTCTGTTTCTGTATGTTTCCTATACCTGACACCTCTAAGCACTGGTCGGAGCTACCGCCGTCTAGTCCAACCCCTAGCCATCACCATAAATGGCTGCAGAAACTTCCTCTGTCTGTGGAGGAATCCGCAGTCTTGAAGGATCCTCCATAGACTTCAATGCTGTCCTCTCGCTCATGTGCAGTGATTGTCAGCTCCTGGCCCCAGGAGCTGAAGAGGACATGGCAGAAGAAGATGTCTCCAACCGCGAGGGACAGGTTCAGGTAAGTAGAACTCACCTGCCCCATCCCCTGGACCTCCAGCAGTGTTGTCACTGTGTTGTCAGTGCCACTTTAACTGATATCATGTGTTCAGTAAATCAAGTGACATGTTTTCAAGAGGAATCATACTGTGGTTTTGCACTGACTTTCATTAGGAAGTAAATTATGCAGACATTCTTTGTCACAGTTATGGACAAGTCCAATAACCACCATGTTGATGTGCTAGGACAGAGATTGGCTACCTTCAGCACTCCAGATGTTGTGAACTATATCCCCCATAATGCTCTTACACCCATACTGGCAATGTATCATGGGAGGTGTAGTCCAAAACATCTGGAGTGCTGAAGTTTGCGTATGCCTGCGCTAGGAGATCATGTGTTTGCTATGTCCTAAGTACTCCTATCCTTTAATTTTTATTTTATTAGGATCTTCACCATTTGTTTTAGACAGCTAGACTTTGAATGTAGAAACTATTTTTTTTGTGGTACATTAAAGTTAATTAAGAAAGATATTTGCTGGTTGCATAAGTGTTGATCGTCTGTTTCTACTTCTGATAGCTACCTTGGAATACATGTACATCTATGAAGCTTTTGGGTTAAGTGTCTACTAGTAATTTATTTGTGGATCCTGCAGTTTTTGATTATTTTTCTTGGATAACTTGTTGTCTCGTCTTTTCCCTTTGGCAAATCCTAAATGGGATTTGTTACTTATTTATTTATATGTTTATTTTTCTGTTATAGTTATAGTTGTCCTTGGATGTTTTCTCCCTTCTCAGCCGTGGATCTACCAACTTCCTGCATAGTTACCTTTGGCATCTTGATTGCATATCTGACTAATCCACTACCCAACCCAGATTGTTTGTTTAGGTAAACTTTCTAACAAACTGTGGGACCCTACAGAAACTGAACTCTTTGTCATATCCATCATATTCCTCATAACGGAACAATATTTGCAGTGTGTCAGGGTGCATTATCCTGCTGAAAGAGGCCACTGATATCAGGGAGCACCATTGCCATGAAAGGGTGTACGTGGTCTGCAACAATTTCTAGGAAGGTAGTACATGTCAAAGTAACATCCACATGAATGCCAGGAGGTTTCCCAACAGAACATTGCCCAGTGCAAAACACTGCCTTTGCCGGTCTTCTTTCTTCCCATAGTGCGCCCTGTTGTCATCTCTTCCCTAGGTAAACAAGGCACTTGGCCATCCACTTGATCTAAAAGAAAACATGATTCATCAGACTTGGCACCCCTTTTCAATTGCTCCATGTTACAGTTCTGATGCTCATTTTCCCATTGAAGGTGCTTACAGCAGTGGAGAGGGATCCTCATGAACACTTTGACTGGTCTGTGGCTACGCAGTCTCATACGCAGGAAACTGTGATGCACTTTGCTTCATCACCTTTCTAGCATTACGTTTTTCAGCAATTTGAGCTACATCAACTCTTCTGTGTGATTGGGCCAGACTAGCTAATGCTGGTTCACCGGCTTTCCTTCCTTGCACCAGTTTTGGTAGGTATTAACCACTGCGTACTTGGAGCACTCCACAAAACCTTCCCTTTTGGAAATGCTGTGACCCAGTCATCTAGCCATCACTATTACACCCTTGTCGAAGTCCGATCTTTTTACTTGTAACATGTGAAATTCAAGAACTGACTGTTCACTTGATGCCTAATGTATCCTATCGCTTGGCAGGTGACATTGACATAATATAATCAATGCTATTCACTACACCGGTCAGTGATTTTAAAGGGACACTCCACTGCCCAATTACAAAATAAATAAAAATCACTGTTTAGGAAATATAACCCAAATGAAAACCTTCATGGGTTTAATTAAGCATTTTTCATTGGGGTTATATTTAAAATGAAATTGCAAAATCTGCAGTTTTATTGTCTGCTGCCTTTGCAAGCCCTCCCCTTCTTTTCCTGCCCAGACTTTCTGTCGCTGTCCAATCACAGACTTCCCAATGCAGCTCAACGAGAAGTCTTTGCAAGAGTTTTAGATTAAAGGACCACTATAGTGCCAGGAAAACATACTCGTTTTCCTGGCACTATAGTGCCCTGAGGGTGCCCCCACCCTCAGGGACCCCCTCCCGCCCGGCTCTGGAAGGGGAAAGGGGTAAAAACTTACCTTTTTCCAGCGCTGGGCGGAGAGCTCTCCTCCTTCTCTCCTCCTCCATTCCTCCTCCTGGGCTGAATGCGCACGCGCGGCAAGAGCTGCGCGCGCATTCAGCCCGTCGCATAGGAAAGCATTTACAATGCTTTCCTATGGACGCTTGCGTGCTCTCACTGTGAAAATCACAGTGAGAAGCACGCAAGCGCCTCTAGTGGCTGCCAATGAGACAGCCACTAGAGGATTAGGGGGAAGGCTTAACCCATTCATAATTATAGCAGTTTCTCTGAAACTGCTATAATTATGAAAGAATGGGTTAACCCTAGAAGGACCTGGCACCCAGACCACTTCATTAAGCTGAAGTGGTCTGGGTGCCTAGAGTGGTCCTTTAACCGAGCTAGCCAAACTAGGAAATAACAGGATATGTTATCCGATTGACAGCCAGTGGGTATAACCATGTTCATTTATAAAAGTGTCAATTTCTATTGAAATCTGCACTTTTTGCAAATTAAAAAAATTGGATACTCTCTTCACACATACAGCTTTTCAGCAAGCTAATAAGGGGTCTTTAATGTTGTGGCTGATCAGTGTATTTTGGTGTTTCTTAGCAACAGTGGTGAATACTTGAACCTTTTTATATAATTCTCTTTGTGTCACAAAGCAAAATATTTAGCATTTTCAAAGTGCTAGGTATGTATGAAAATCAATATATGGAATTGAAATAGATTTTATTAGAAATCAAGGCTTCAAATGTTGAATTTTGAAATCTATGTATTGTAAAATAACCTTCAGAGAATTCAGCATGGGTTAGGGGTCGGAGCGAGCAAAAGAGAGCCATTAAAAGCCACCTCCAGCCACATGATGAATTAGAATACAATTAAAAATCTTTCTTAAAATCAGTTATATAGAAAACTTTTGCCATTTCATTCCTCCCCCCCCCCCCCTTAAATAAATTTGCCAAAATGCTTCACTTTTATTATTAGTAATTATTTTTAATTTCGGACGTAGTTGAGTTCAACAATAATCCAGGCAGACACGTCCATCTTTTCTCTGTTTGTTTAGCTAACGATCCATCTATTTCATTCATAAGTCTTGTGATATCGGCATGCACCGCTCAAGTCAGGAAATAAGTTAATTAAAAAAATGAGTTGACTCAAAGTTTACAGGGATATTTCAAACAATACAAGACTACTATTTCTACATCCACAGGGCACGGGGAAAGTTATTCATGTCTGTCGAAGCTTGAAGATATTTAATGTTTGTTTTGTCCTCTACTTTTGGTGGGTCAGAGACTCTGGGATCATGCATTGGGTCTTTGCATTAATATTGCGATGTAATGAGAATTCTATTATTCTAATCCTGGAGTTATAAAGGAATATGGGAGAGTGCACCTTCAAATAAAGATATTGATCTGCATTTTAGATTGAGTTGGAATCTCTTTAAAATTGTAGCTGTTACTACAACTTTCAGTTTTAATAAACCTGTACAATTTCTGTGGTTTTTTTTTTGACAATTACATTACTTTATGTAGTTGCATAGTAATCTAGGTTGAAAATCACTCAAGACAATCAAATTCACTCTTTAAAACACATCTTTTTACGTAGTTGATCCAAAAGGAGGCAAAAAAAAACCCAAAACAATTTGAAGCGATGGCCAATTAGGCCTCAAAAATGGGGAAAATAAATTTCTTCTTGACTCCATAACGGAAGTCCAATTTTATCACGACTGATTTGTTTATCATTTGTTGGTAATGGGGTTTTTATAACTCTACAGCTGGAATACAAGGGTCTGTTGTGTGTTTGTGTTGACATGGTTTATATGACACACATACATTCTGCTTGCAGCTGTGGATTACATTGTGAAATAAATCTCTGAGTCCAGGCCTGTCACTTTATTACGTGATATAATCTCATCTGTCTGGTGATGGGAGCACTTTTCATCAGCATGTGTCCCCTCCAAAGAGAGACATTGGATAGTTATATGTATATTAAAGTCCCTTTAGGGAAATGTTAAAGCTCAATTTTGATTTGTTTGTTTTATACAATGATTCAAATTAGTTTAATGCAATTTTAAAATGGTACATAAAACTGTACCGTCAATGAGAGGTACCAATGCATTTTATTGCACAGCCTTGGCCAAAAGTATATCCCAGATGTTGTAGAATTCACCTAACATAATGGCTTACCACCCCTAATACTGAGGTCTACCTTTAGAGCTAGCTCTACAGACCTACAGTTACAGGTTTATAGAAATGTTTGGGGTTTTCTAAAGCAGGGTTCACTTAAAGAAAAATCACAGCAACTACCCAATGTGTACTGTGTAGAATCACAGCAACTACAGAATGTGTAGATGCCAATATATTCTCTGTTTAGAGTACTAAACCCACCTATATATTCCAGGTCCTTGAGATTCTCCTCACTGCAGGTCTGATCCACCTCTTGTTAAGTCACCAACACTGATAACTTGTGTCCAATCAGATGTTTCTCATAGAGAAGCAATGGGGCAGCACATGGTGAGGGCTCAACACTCGTTGCAATCCAATTCTTCTCCATGAGAAGCCCTCACGTTCATTTTGAACTACAGATGAAAGTGAGTGAAACAGGAAACCCCCCCCCCCACCCATGGCTGTCTGGTTTACAACCAGGAGGTGTTCATAAGGGGATTTATAGAAGTAATGCTTTCTGTTAAAATGGGAACTTTTATAAAATAAGGCAAAGTGCTTTAGGACATTCATGTCCAACCTTTTGGTTTAGCGGGCCACATTGAGCGAAGAGGACTTGTCTTGGGCCGCACATAAAATATGTAATTTATATAATAAAATTTCAAAAGACCATTTCTTAATTTTAATATTTCATTTGTTTAGTAGATAACATCCTTATTTTTTATCCTTAACTACGGATATCCCACACAAGGATAACAAATAAGTAAGTTATCTACTAAAAACATACTCATGTATATGCAAACACACATAATCACAGATATGCACATACACACACAATCACAGACCTATACACACAATTACAGATACACACACACACGCAATCATAGACCTATACACACAATTACAGATATACACACACATGCAATCATAGACCTATACACACAATTACAGATAGATACACACACACACACACAGACACACACACAATCATAGACCTATACACACAATTACAGATGTACACACAACCACATACACACATAATTACTGGCATACACACAAAAATCATATTCATACACACACATTTAGTAATTAAGCAGTCCACCATACTACCTACCTTGCTCTGAGAGGGATGGAATGGATCCTCTCCCTGGTGGTTGCAGCTGTGCTCTTCCTGCACAGGTCCAACATGCGCCCAGTAGTGATGCCGAGATAACGTCATATCCCAGCTGCTGACTCACTGCAGGGATCGCGAGGGAGCTGTGCAGAAACTGCATAGTAAGTAATGGGCTCCCTGCCTCCCCAGAGCCCGGATGGCATTACAAGCGGTTCAGGGCTGCGGATTTTACATGCCTGGTGTAGCAGAATGAAGTGTCCCTTTAAACACAATCCATACATTTGCTAGCACAGTATACAGATCACATTTACAGCTCTCTAGGATGAGCAGAATTGTTTTATACAATCTTCCCAATCTGATCTTTAAATTTCCTCATTCACAACTGAATGTCCTACATTTTTAACAAAAGCAACAATGGGTAGAGCTAAAAATGCTAAGCAATGCAACCCTAGCCAATTAACCATTTAAGGTACCAGTGCGATCAATCAGAAATTGAAGTTGAATTCACTTTACATTCCCAACAATTTCCTGCTAGACGATTAACCACATCAATGTGCAGTAATAGAAGGACTGGTGGATCAATCATTTCTAAAACTTTTAGATCGATGTAGACTCCACCATGCAAAGTCAGGGTTAAATCTCACGTGTGAGTGCAGTATCTTTTGGGCTTGCTCTGTTTTGAATTCACACTATTCTTGGAGAACGCTCTATGTAGTTGATGATGGAAAAGCCTTTACCGTGCTAGTAAATCTATATATTTGTAACTTCTAGATCACTAAATCAAACCCAGATGTGAAAATTTTGATGGAGTCCTGGACCCGGCAGGCTGGCTACCCTCTCGTGACTGTTCAGAAAAAAGGAAAAGAGATCCTGCTCAGCCAGGAGCGATTTCTGCAATTGAGCAACAATACATTAAATATCAGGTGGGTTCTCTATGAACAAGCATCATTTTGATTAGTTTAATAATAATACATTTTGTTGTATTTCTTGACACCTTGTATAAACAACTTTTGGTGTATAGCTCATGCCCCTACAGTCTCGCTGGTCAATTCTCTGCCATTATGGACTTAAATCACTTTTGTTTCTGTTTCTGCAGGTCTCCTGGCTGTGATTCGCACAGTATGCATGGGGAAAAAAAAAAGGTTTAATTTGCAATCCGATCTTACAGCACAGTGTGTTTACTATAGAAGTTTTTTTTTTATTTCCTACTCTGTTACTTGAAGTTTAATCAAGCACAGGACGTTGTGGCAGATTAAATTAACCGAGCAGGAGATAAAACTTTTTAAAGTGTATGGCAAGATAGCTATAATCTTTAGACTCTCTTTCAGGATGTAGGTAGAGCGGCTGTGTGAGTCTCAGCCAAGGGGGGTGTGGCTAGATCTAAGTAAACAAAGGTATGTTTTTATTTACCTCCTTAATGGCAGAGATTTGATCATTGAGACTAAAGGGACATAATCTATACACAAAAGCTGCTTCATGAAGCTACTGTTGTTTTGGTGCCTAGACTATTCCTTTAATTTAGAGTATATTCATGCAGATTAGTTATGCATTTAGTTTTATTTCTGGTTTAATGGAGTTCAAGGTACTGGCGCAGTTAATAGAAACATAGAATGTGACGGCAGATAAGAACCATTCAGCCCATCTAGTCTGCCCAATTTTCTAAATACTTTTATTAGTCTCTGGCATTATCCTATAGTTAGGATAGCCTTATGCCTATCCCACGCATGCTTAAACTCCTATATTGTGTTAACCTCTACCACTTCAGCTGGAAGGCTATTCCATGCATTCACTACCCTCTCAGTAAAGTAATACTTCCTGATATTATTTTTAAACCTTTGCCCCTTTTATTTAAGACTATGTCCTCTTGTTGTGGTAGTTTTTATTCTTTTAAATATAGTCTCCTCCTTTACTGTGTTGATTCCCTTTATGTATTTAAATGTTTCTGTCATATCCCCCCTGTCTCGTCTTTCCTCCAAGCTATACGTGTTAAGAACCTTTAACCTTTCCTGGTAAGTTTTATCCTGCAATCCATGAACCAGTTTAGTAGCCCTTCTCTGAACTCTCTCTAAAGTCTCAATATCCTTCTGGAGATACAGTCTCCAGTACTGTGTACAATACTCCAAGTGAGGTCTCACCAGTGTTCTGTACAATGGCATGAGCACTTCCCTCTTTCTACTGCTAATACCTCTCCCTATACAACCAAGCATTCTGCTAGCATTTCCTGCTGCTCTATTACATTGTCTGCCTACCTTTAAGTCATCAGAAATAATCACCCCTAAATCCCTTTCCTCATATGTTGAGGTTAGGACTCTATCAAATATTCTGTACTCTGCCCTTGGGTTTTTACGTCCAAGATGCATTATCTTGCACTTATCCACATTAAATGTCAGTTGCCACAATTCTGACCATTTTTCTAGTTTACTTAAATCATTTGCATTTGGCTTATTCCTCCTGGAACATCAACCCTGTTACATATCTTAGTATCATCAGCAAAAAGACATACCTTACCATCAAGACCTTCTGCAATATCACTAATAAAAATATTAAAGAGAATGGGTCCAAGTACAGATCCCTGAGGTACCCCACTGGTGACAAGTCCAAGCTTCGAATATACTCCATTAACTACAACCCTCTGTTGCCTGTCACTCAGCCACTGCCTTACCCATTCAACAATATTGGAATCCAAACTTAAAGATTGCAGTTTATTGATAAGCCTTCTATGTGCAACACTGTCAAAAGCCTTACTGAAATCTAGGTAATGAGGAAATCTGCTGCAGCCACTGCATGTATCTCAGGCGTATCCGGTTATAACCTGTGTGCAAGGTGCTTGTGAACTGCAAATCCAATGATTCGTTGCCTCTTACAGGTTTGCAAGGAATGATAGGAGTCACAGTCCAAAAGGTATGCAGCTCAAACATGCTCTGCACTTACCATTAGGTGCTGCTAATGAAATACTCTTTATTAATTGACCATCAGCATATGTGACCACCTCTATAAAAGCTGACGTTTTAGCATGATCTGGAGCATTCAGTTGTGTTTTAACACAATGCCAAGGAGGAACGGCATCAGCAATGATTTTAGAGAAGCAATTGTTGTTGCCCATGAAACTGTCTGGTTATAAGGCCATTTCCAAACATGTTAAATTCTATCATTCTATAGTGAGAAAGATTATGCAAAAGTGGAAAACATTCAAGACCGTTTTAAATCTTCCCAGGAGTGGATGGCCCAGCAAATTCACCCCAGGGACTCTACAAGGCTCCGTTAGCATGTTAAATGTTAAAGCTCAAGACAGTACAATTAGAAAAAGACTGGACAATTATGGTTTGTTTGGAAGGGTTGCCAGGAGAAAGCATCTTCTCTCAAAAAGATTATGGCAGCACAGCTTAGGTTTGCAAAGTTGTATCTGAATAAACCACAAGACTTCTGAAACAATGTCCTTTGGACAGACACTACCAAAGTAGAGATGTTTGACAATAATTCACAGCGCCAGGTTTGGTGAAAACCAAACACAGCATATTGGCACAAACACCTCATACCAGCTGTCAACCACAGTGGTGGAGGGGTGATGATTTGGGCTTGTTTTGCAGCCACAAGACCTAGGGACCATCCAGTCATTGAGCAGATCGTGAACGCCTCTGTATCACAAAGTATTAATTCTAGAGTCAAACGTGAGGCAATCTGTCAGACAGCTAAAGCTTGGCCAAAATTGAGTCATGCAACAGGACAAGGATCCCAAGCACACCAGCAAATCTACAACCGCATGTCTGATAAAGAAAATAATCAAAGTGTTACAATGGTCCAGTCAAAGTCCAGATCTCAACCCAATTGAAATGCTGTGGCAGGACCTTACGAGAGCTGTGCATAAACAAATGCCAAAAAAGAATAGTGGTCCAAAATTCCTCCACAACGATGTGTGAGACTGATAAAGTCATACAGAAAGCAAATACTCCAAATTATTGCTGCTAAAGGTGGTTCTACAAACCACTAAATCATATAATGTACTTAGTATTTCACCCATGGCTTCTCCATTTGGCTTTATTTTTCTAAATAAATTTTGACACGGTGTAAATGTTATGTGTTGTTACATCTGAGGTTGTATTTACCATATTTAAGACCTGCTAAGGAACAGATTATGTCCTGATTTGTAAAACCATACACTTCGACATGTGACTTATCCTGCATAGTCCTCTCACACAGGGCCACAATGTTGGAGGCAATCTGACACCCTGCTGGTTCGAGAGATAGAATATCATAGGCCTTCATATGCTGCGTGGGACTATGCATTCCCTATACAGGGGGTTGGCTAACTACATCCTGGGACATGAGAGAACTTTACAGGGCGCTATACTACTGTCTTGGGGGACACTCTCCATTACATGCCATAAGTATATGTAGAACCCAAGAGTCTTTCTTTGTTCAGATGCATGAATCCTATTCTTTTCCTATATATAGTTTGATAAAATACATAGCCTGAGAATGGTATCAAACATTTTGTTTTACTGACTCACATTCTCTTGTTTCTGATTTTAAAGGGAAACTCCAGTGCCAGGAAAACAATCCGTTTTCCTGACACTGCAGGTTCCCTCTCCCTACCACCCCCCAATCCCCGGTTGCTGAAGGGGTGAAAACCCCTTCAGTAACTTACCTGAGGCAGTGACGATTTCCCACGTCGCTGCTTCTCCCTCCACGCCGCTCCTCCTTCTGACTGAGTCGGCCGGTGTGCGAGACTGATCCCGCCCACCGGCCGGGAAGACCTAATGCGCATGCGCGGCAATGCTGCACATGCACATTAGCGCTCCCCATAGGAAAGCATTGAAAATGCATTTCAGTGCTTTCCTATGGGGAAATGAGCGAAGCTGGAGGTCCTCACACAGTGTGAGGACGTCCAGCGACGCTCTAGCACAGGTTTCCTGTGCTAGGAACCAGGAAGTGCCCTCTAGTGGCTGTCTAGTAGACAGCCACTAGAGGTGGAGTTAACCCTGCAAGGTAATTATTGCAGTTAATAAAAACTGCAATAATTACACTTGCAGGGTTAAGAGTAGTGGGAATTGGCACCAGACCACTCCAATGGGCAGAAGTGGTCTTGGTTCCTGGAGTGTCCCTTTAACTACACAAAGTGCAGTGTCTCTGGCATTTAATGTTCAGCCTGATTTCAAATCTTCTGATTTTTATTTCAGTTTAAATGTCCATGTATCCAAATGTTCTGTTTCACCATGCACAACAAAAATAAAGATTATTGAAAAAGAATTCAAAGAGGGTGCACTTTCTTTTTCCCATAACTGTGTGTGTATGTATGTGTGTGTGTAGATATGTATTTGTGTGTGTGTGTGTGTGTGTATATATAAAATCCAAGTAGAGAGCACTCTGGAGTCTCAATAGTAATTTTAAACTGTTGCTTTATGTAAGCAATTACAGTGATACATGTAAAAAAGTCGACGTTTCAGTCTATTCAGACTTTTATCAAGAGGGTCTTGATGAAAGTCTGAATAGACTGAAACGTTGACTTTTTTTTACATGTATCACTGTAATTGCTTAAATAAAGCAACAGTTTAAAATTACTATTGAGACTCCAGAGTGCTCTCTACTTGGATTTTATATTTGGTTGGAGACTGCACCGGAGCAACTGAAACACCGGGAGCATCGAGTGCTGGGACCTGAGAGAGAGAGAGAGAGAGAGAGAGAGAGAGAGAGAGAGAGATAGAGATACTTTCATATATATATATAATTTTAAAAAAAATTTTTTTCTATTTAAAAGTTTTAGAATGGCTTGACTTCTTACCTGGGGTTAGATGAGTGCTGCTCCCCGCCTCCACTACAGCCAGCAGAATGTCTGAAGCTCCTGCTTAGTAGTTTCCATTTTCTCTACCGAGCTAAGACTTGCAGTGGCCAACAGTGTAGGCTGATCACTCTTAGCCACTGAGCTAGGCTGTAGCGTAGACTGGGAGCGATGGCCATCCGACTGCCATCTAAGAATTCAAGCTGATCTAAAATGGCTCTAGGGAAATCTTGGCACCATGATTAGTACAGGGCCTTGTAGAGGTCATGGTGCTTGTTCCATCAAACAGGATATGATGCTATATTTTTAATTAATTGGCAAGTTAATATGAGATTGGTGCGATATTAAGTATTTATGAAATTCAGAAGTAATAATGTGATATTTTGTCTTTACTGTAGCACTGTATGGAACGTTCCTCTCTCCTATATCACAAGCAACTCTTATGGAAGCAGTTCTACCTACCTACTAAACCAAACAGCAGGTAATAGCAGTCTTGTTTAAATAATATAGAATAATGCAATACAAACAAATAGGTCATGTTTGACTATAAATATCTGCTCACTTTAATGACCTAAATGAGCAGTTGTCACCTTTTTGTAGGTGTAATTCTTCTTTTACTCGCCAAATGCTAAATAGGTTGACACGTTCAGTGGATCCCTGTGCAGTTGTGCTGTTTGATGGATGCATTGATGGTGACCCCTTACAGTAGGCACTCTCACACTTGGGATTTGTTCTTGCCAGTCTGTTCTCTGCATTAAGGAGTGTGTAGACCACAGGAACGTTATCAGGTTCCAGAAACACCTGAGGCTTGAGGTCAAAGAAAAGCTTTGATGACTCGTACACTAAGAAAGAGCTGGAAATGTCATGATATATCCCCTCTTCTCTATGTTATGTTGCTGCCTTTCAGTGTTATTTGTTCTGTCCTCCAGCACCTTGCCCCGTCAACAATAACCCAGGGGAATTGGCCCAATCCCTCTAGGTAGCTTGGATTACCACTAGACTAGTGATCTTTCATTTTATAATAGGTATCTGATTTGAGAAGCCTGATGTAAAAATAAAAACAAAAAACACTTATAATCTCTGACCTTCTCCATAGACTCTAGGCTGTAAAGGGCCCCACATACAGAGCTTCAGCCTCCGACCCTTCCCCTTCCCCTTCCACTTTGCTAGCAACCTTTTACTATATTTTCCTATTAATCTGTTTTCCGGTGAATGACAATGGAAGCCAAGACCACTATGACATAGCCCCTTTCCCAAACCCCCACCCATGCTACATACTACTTGAGATATACTGTGTATATACTCCTATAACCTCCGATCCAGTACCAGCACTTTATTTAGTCTACCTCAATACAAAAAGAAAGCAGCTCGATTCTCCTTTTCCTACAAAGTGCCGCAATTGTGGAACGACCTCCCGCACACTTTTAAATCCTCCCCAAGCTTAAAGTCCTTTAAGAGATCCCTCTCTACATATCTCAAAACAGAATGCACCTGCCATGGTTGATTATAATATATTTCCAACCTGTACTAAGTTAAATTTTGTATATATTGTGTAGTGATATTATTTTTGTATTTTATTGTACCCTATTGTATCAATGCAATGTTTTGTGGACCCAGGACATACTTGAAAACGAGAGAAATCTCAATGTATCCTTTTTGGTAAAATATTTTATAAATATGGTATATTGAGATATAACCATTGTGATGTACCCATGCAGCATTAATTGTAGGTGTTGACTCTTTCCTGCTTAGCTGATATAAGCCACAAAGGGGTTATTTATAGTTATCAACTTTGGAGCGTTATGAAGTAATACACCACTTGTTACTTTGGTTGTGTTTAATTTAGAGATTTACCTTATCAGAGGAACCTTCTAAAAAGAACCGTATAAAGTCAATTATAATTTTATTGAGCAAGAGCAAAGGGTATCAATAAAAGTCACATCAACATAGCATTAGAGAATATTCCACATAAAGCAATAAGGAAGTCACAATAAAATACAGCGGGAATCAATAAAACAAATGTTGCCGTATACAGGGTTAGTAACGAAAGTGAAAACTCCAAGTCAATTTCAAACTAAAGGCGAAAGTAAAAGAATTAGAAGCCGAATTTTTGCAGTTCAGATATTTTGACCTGAAATTTGAAATTTACTTTGAATAAGCCTGATTGTTTTATCAAGAAGATTAAACAAAAGTTATGATGTGGCTTAATCCTAACCAGTCCCTCTCTATTCTATTTTTTTTTTTTTTTTTAATACAATTACAGAACACAGCTCTAAAATGACCATGATGTAGTTATAGAAGAAAACACTGACAACAAAACTAAATTTTGTCCAAGATATATATAGATTGGGGCATTGTATTTTTTTGAACATGAAATAAATCTAACACAGTAATTGAAAAAAACGTGGAATGCACCATATCTTTTGGAAAAAAACAAAAAATATATATATAACTTTAAAGATATGTATGAAGTTATTCATTCACAAGAAACTAGTAGACATAACATATAGAAAGGAATATACATTGGTACCTCGGTTTCCGAATTTAATGCGTTCTCCGGGACGTTTCTTATTGGGAAACATTTGTAAACTGAAACGCGGTTTCCTATAGGAATGCATTAAAAAAACAATCCGTTCCGGAGGTCAGAAAAAAGTCAAAATGAGCTGGCATGGACACCAACTCACAATGCAGAACACACAATAAAAGGCATGCAAACGACAGCTCAGCTCCCTACCTTTCCACCGCTTGAGAAATGCACAAAAAAAGTTCTAAAATGTCCCAAAACCACTGCAAAAATTTTCCAGAATGGCTCCAAAACTCAATGCAAAAGCTGCTCCAACACCTCCACACTCGAAGCCACATGCTACCCGCAGGCTCCAGCATGCACGGGGGCGGCGCTATAAACCTCCCAGGCGCAATGCATCCTGGGGAAACTCGCTTTGTATTGTCAAAAAAATTTGTAAACCGAGGCTTTATTTTCAATGGATTTTTTTTTTTTTTGTATACCGAAAATTGTTAACCGAGGCGTTTGTAAACCGAGGTCGCACTGTATAAGGTTTTTCATTCACAAAGAGACAGTTTAGTGTTCACAAAATTTGTTTTACTGATTTCCATTGTATTTCATTGTGACTTTCTCATCCATGTTTTTAAAATGCCTAACGCGGAAATGTCACCGCGGGTGTAGTGGGGTGAATAATGCAATGGAGGTAAATAAATAAAAAATAAAAATTACCTCCACTGCACTTCCGCCATCGTGACAATTATGTCAGTAAATAAGTTAGTAACTCATGTTTTTTTTTCTCCATAACAGGTAAAATAATTCTACCAAATGAAGAATCTTGGGTAAAATTCAATGTTCGAATGACTGGATACTATTTAGTCGACTATGGTCAAGAAGGCTGGATTGCACTGATTAGACAACTTCACGATAATCACACCGTTCTCTCTCCAGACGACCGAGCAAATCTAATCCATGACATATTCTTAATTGGGGGGTATAACAATAAATTCCTTCTTTTTTTTTTTTTTTTTTTTTACTTATGTATTTTGAATCTGAATTTTTATTATCGTTGTTTTTCAAGTACGTTGGCAACTTTTCATGTAAAAAAAAATATATATTTAAAAAAATTTAAATAAGAGAAGTTTTATAATCTCTCTTGCACTTTATACATGGGAAAAGTCAGATATTTGTCTTTCCAGAGCAATATGTTTCATTGCATTTTGGAATGTTCGTGTGTTTGTTTCATACTGGACAGGAAATGATGATTGACCTCAACCTAGCCCTGGATATTTCAACAACCAGTTGATTTATTGAAACTGCTAAGTGAACAGAATGCTGTATCTTGTGGTTTGTGCAATGCACGTAGCTCTACAAGGAAGATTTTGAATGATGATTTTAGTTAAAAATATTTTAAGGACTTTTTTTATTTTTTTTTAAAAACAAGGATGAGTAATAGCATGTCAGATTTTTATATCTCTTTTGTCTACTAGTTTAGTATTAAAAGATAAAATGTTTCTGTGCTGTTGGAATTACTCATGTTTTTGTCTTCCTAGTTGTGGTCTCCTGTTAGTTTCTGTGCCGATTGCTACTAATTTAGCAGCTTGGCCAAGAATCCTTATGACTTGATAAACTAATCTCCTGGGTAACCAGATGGCTTGGATATAAAGTTCCTTCTGTTTTAACTTCCTATTACTCTTATTTCTTTATAAATGTACATTGTGACACACTGCTGCTAGAGAGTTGTATCATGGAGTTATTTGAAATGAATTCAGCAGTAATAGACTTGTGCAATAATTTGTTGGACGGGATTCACCCGAATAAAATGTCCTGTTAATCAATACCAGAACAAATCGTTTCGATATTATACAAGAGAGATGTGCCCAGCCTCCCTGAATAGCCAATGAACGTATAACTATATTATTATTATCACTTTGTATCATATTGTGCTGTAAATAAATGTGACACAAGTCACCTAAAGTGCCGATGCATTAAAATACATGCACTTTTACAAGTATAAAGCACAACAAAGGTGTGCTAGTAGCACTTTCCCCCAAGGTCCACTTATCTCCAGACAGTCCTGTTCTTTACTGCTCAGTTGGTAGACAAGTACTCCTTGAAGAAGGCCTTAGTTCTGGCCTTAGTCCAGATAAGATGAAACGTGCCAAGCTTATTCTATACATGTGGTGTGGACAGGAGGCTTGCAGACCATAAAAGAAGTAAGGCAAGGACTAGGATCTTCTTCACTGTGGACCAGCTGAGCAGTAAAGAGGGGGACTAATTGGAGATAAATGACCCTTGGGGCAAAGTGCTATTCACACACTCTTGTTGTGCGCTTTGTATTTGTAATAATGAACCAGCACTTTAGGTGATGTATGTCACATTTATTTACATTGTCCACACATTTGCTCCAGACACACTTTTGGTGTTTGCTGTCCTTGCATAGCCATCATTAAAGTTCATTGTGTAGGAGTGTATTATAGAGCTCTGGGGTATATGTAGTATTCTAGTGTTGTAACCACTACTTCACAAATTCGCTGTACACAACCCTGTCAAATTAATTTGCTTGGTATATTTCTCTTCTGATAGGTTGGGGAAAGTCAGCTTATCAAACGCTTTTGATCTAATATCATATATTGTAAACGAAACCGATGTTGTTCCCATTAAAGAAGTGCTACATCAACTTCATCACATCCATGCGATCTTAGACAAACGTTCGGAGATTGAATTGGCTAACAAAGTAATGGTATGTATATCACTTGGCTCGGTTTTATTTACATAAATGTAATCATATATTATTGTAATTGTGATATTATCTTGATTTCGTTGCATTTATTTACTTAATACGTCTATATGAGCCCCTTGGCATGTATTTTTATAAATTTAATAAATTGAATTGTACCAATTATTGGCCAGAATTCTCACATTTATTAATCTGTGTGAGCTTTAACCGTCACCTCCCTATTAAAAATCACTACCTACATCCCTTTCCATATTCAGGACATATTTAATTATGCTTCCATGTACACAATGGAGGGACTGCAGTCATGTTGAATTGGAATAATCTACTGTGTAAAGGTGCAATATACCACTGGAGTGGCAAGGCTCAAACTATCATTTCTACTTTACAGGAAAGTTGAGGCACCTGAGATTATTAAAAAAACATTTCGGCCATGCCGTTGTTGTCTTTCTCAAGCTATAGCGCTGACTTGAGAAAGGCTACGTGGATCGTTTGGCTGAAACATTGTCTCGATTGCTTGGATGTTTTAATTAAAGTCTGCGTTTTTAAGAATCTTGAGTGCCTGGACTTTCCTATATACTTCATTTTGTGACCGGAAATGAAATCAAACAGTCCACCCAGGCACTTATAAAGAAGATTTAAAAGAAAATCAAGGAAACTTGCTTGTACAAAAATGCTATATATATTTTTTCCCCATAATGATAAATAATACACAGACCCAGTGTTCTCACACTCCTCTCCAAAAACATAATATTGTGCAACCTGATGTTTTGCAGAGATAAAGGAAGCAGCTACTATAGTAAATACATTGTTACACTTCATTACATACATCGATGTGTAAGCATTTGGTTCATGAGCATTTTTGTCCACGTAGCTCAAATAAAAATGATCAATAAAGTTTGTCTTTTATATGACACTATTTTCAAATGTTCATGTGATTTCAGCAACGTGGTTTGAGCTTATTGAAGGCCAGAATTGATAATCAGACCTGGAATGACGAAGGAGGTTTACCCCAACGAGAGCTGAGATCCACCCTTCTCGATTTTGCTTGTTCTTATGGCGATAAAGAGTGTATAATTGTTGCTACAAACCTTTTTAACCAGTGGAAGAACAATGGAACACAGTAAGGACGGGGCACGTGGTTTCCAGCCATTGTTGGATCCAGTGTGATGTGACACACATTTGATGAGATATTTCATATTGTTCTATACATATAAAATATGTTATTCTAAGTTCTTTCTTACATAGACACTAAAACCAGCAATTTGGCTGCATGACATAATCTACAGCTTTCTTTTATAACATTACCATTTCAACATGCTAATTATATAGCATAAACTATATATATCACATGCTCAACCCGTATATTAGATGAGTTGCTGGGGGATCAGACTTATCTGGACTGGAGTCCCCTGCAGAGTCCTGAAAAGCTCCAATTTGACTTTGGAATCCTTACATTGGCCTCAATTTAATAATGTTGGATACGTTTTTCAAATGGTTTAATATTTTTAGGATAAACATTTATAATTATTTTTTCAACATATTAAAATGTAAAAAAAATATATCCCCGATATAAAAAAAAAAATATATATATATATATATATATATATATATATATATATCCATATTACAAAATATCAATAGTTTTTATAATATTAAATTATTTCAGAAGTTTACCCAACAATATTAAATCAAGGCCATGGTAAGTACCAAGTCCCATGTAACATTGAAAGAGAAATAACACTTCAAATTACACAATTTGTGAAAGTGACACTTTAAGGTTTTATATTCAGACTTAATAATACAGCACAGTGTGGGGGTATTGCTGTGTAAACAGTGATTTAATGCTACAAATTTAGAATTAATTCACTATAGAGTTAATACAATATAGTGTAGGGTTAATACAGATTTTTATAAATGTAGCTTTATAAAACAATCTGAATTAATTTGACTACTTGGTGTTATAATGTTATTTACAGAACATATTAGGGTTTAGTGTTTGACTTAGGATGTCAGATACAGCTGGGTTTTAGGTGCTTTAAATTAAAGGGACACTATAGTCACCAAAACAACTTTAGCTTAATGAAGCAGTTTTGGTGTATAGAACATGCTCCTGCAGCCTCACTGCTCAATCCTCTGCCATTTAGGAGTTAAATCCCTTTGTTTATGAACCCTAGTCACACCTCCCTGCATGTGACTTGCACAGCCTTCCATAAACACTTCCTGTAAAGAGAGCCCTATTTAGGCTTTCTTTATTGCAAGTTCTGTTTAATTAAGATTTTCTTATCCCCTGCTATGTTAATAGCTTGCTAGACCCTGCAAGAGCCTCCTGTATGTGATTAAAGTTCAATTTAGAGATTGAGATACAATTATTTAAGGTAAATTACATCTGTTTGAAAGTGAAACCAGTTTTTTTTCATGCAGGCTCTGTCAATCATAGCCAGGGGAGGTGTGGCTAGGGCTGCATAAACAGAAACAAAGTGATTTAACTCCTAAATGACAGTGAATTGAGCAGTGAAATTGCAGGGGAATGATCTATACATTAAAACTGCTTTATTTAGCTAAAGTAATTTAGGTGACTATAGTGTTCCTTTAATATATGTGGATGGGCCATACAACTTACTTGAGCTGACAACCCAGGTATTTTGCCACCAAGTATGTATGGTCTCACAGGTTCTCCTTATAAAGGTTAGGGGTTGGTAAGGGCCATGATAATCACCAGACCAATTTTACTTAATGAATCCGTTTTTGTGTACAGATCATGCCTCTGAAGTTTCACTGCTGAATTCTCTGCCATTTTGGAGTTTATTCACTTTTTTTGTTTCTGTTTTATGCAGCCCTATCCACACCTCCCCTGCCTGTGACTGACACAACCTGAATGAAAACAAAATGGTTTCAAGTTCAATCAGATGTAACTTACTTTAAAGGTTTGTATCTCCTGTTCTGTAAATTGAACTTTAATTACATATGTGCTTATGGAAGGCTGTGCAAGTCACATGCAGGGAGGTGTGACCAGGGTTCATAAACAAAGGGATTTAACTCCTACATGTGATTAAAGTTCAAATTAGAGATTGAGATACAATTAATTAAGGTAAATTACATCTGTTTGAAAGTGAAACCAGTTTTTTTTTCATGCAGGCTCTGTCAATCATAGCCAGGGAAGGTGTGGCTAGGGCTGCATAAACAGAAACAAAGTGATTTAACTCCTAAATGACAGTGAATTGAGCAGTGAAATTGCAGGGGAATGATCTATACACTAAAACTGCTTTATTTAGCTAAATTAATTTAGGTGACTATAGTGTTCCTTTAAGGTATTATTGTTATTATTATTGCCATTTAAATGGCGCAAACAGGTTCCATAGCACTTTACAATATGAGAGGGGGATTTAACTATAAATAGGACAATTACAAGAAAACTTACAGGAGCGATAGGTTAAAGAGGACCCTGCTCAAACGAGCTTACAGTCTATAGGTAATGCTCCCTTCCTGTGTCACTATGATTGACAGTTCCTCTTGCCCCCTTCAAAATGTTTGGCTTTTTTGGGGGATTCTCCCCTAGGCTGGACAGGCCATTCCCATGTTGCCAACATCCTTGGCATTTCAATTTGTGTCCAAATGAGGTGACATCTATCACTGAATTCCTATACTTCTCTAGGTGAAGTATGGTGCTCTTGCTAGACGAGTAGTCATAACAGTGCCGTGTTGGAGAGCAGGAGAACCACTGTAAGGGTGCTTTACTGCTCTTCCTAGTTAATCAGTTGTTGAGATTGAGGTCTACAATGATTCTATGCTGAAAATAAATTGACAGATTAGGGAAAGTCCAAAACTTTTTGTAGATTTTAAAGAGTTTATGTATCTGCTAGCACAAGGTATAGGTCAAATGATGTCTCTCATTAACAGTAGAGCTGTGTGTACCACAACAGGTACACTTTAAATTAAAGGAACCGCCAATTCCTTTTTTTTTAAGGGGACTAATGAAGCAGATTTTCCCCCCCATAAATGTAAAGAGATTTTTGTTTAGGATCCCGGGGAGGATGATTTAAAAGCCTGGAAACCGTTGCCCATTGAATGTGGTTTTGCAAAATTCCAATTATATTTCACATACTGGCATGTGAAAATAGTAACAAATATTCCCAGACCTACTGAACATCATCTTGCCACCCCTATTCTAATTGTATTACGTGAACACGCGCTTCTATAAATTAGAACACAGTGTATTTCTTCTTTTCTTCTTCAGACTTCCCACGGATGTAATGAAAGTTGTGTTTAAAATTGGTGCACACACAGACGAAGGCTGGGCGTACCTCTTACAGGTATACATGTCTTCCTCGTACGCAGCAGAAAAGTTGAAAATATTGGAAGCACTTTCAAGCACAGATAATGCCAAGAAGTTAATTTGGTATGTACACAAGCTCCCGAAAATGCAAATGAAGTTTGTGTAAATTGGCAAAAAAAAATGTACTCACAATACTGACGTATAATTGGATAAGCTGGGTGGGTAGGGTTTTTGGGGGGAGAGGGGGGGTTTGAAATTCTTAAAATAAAAAATAAAAATCATTTTTTTTCTTCACTATTATTTTTGTGACATGACTGCTTCAATGTTCCATTTCAATTCCATTAACCAAGTGGGCGTAATGAACTGGTTGATGCTAGAATATAATAGTGACTTTAGCAGAAAGAAATAGATTTGCAGAAAAATGCCGCAACTATTTTGTTCTAGAACGTCCTGAAAACAACCTCTTTTTCTCCTCCTTAGGTTAATGCAAGAGTCCCTCCGAGGACAGATGATAAAGTCTCAGGATCTGCAAACGGTCATTGCTTATATCTCTAGGAATGTACCTGGCTTCTTAGTAGCATGGAACTTCGTGAAACAGAACTGGGATGAAATCACTCAGAAGTAAGGGCACAGTTTACCACGTGGACAACTAGCTTCTCAGAAATGTATCTTCTGTCCGTCTCTTGCAGTGTTACTCCAGTAATGCACACAAAGTGTACAGTTTAACGGAATCTATTTGTGGAAAAGCTTAATTTCAATCGCAACAAATGTTTTCTACCATTACCACCACCTACAGGGGGGGGAAAAAAACAGGGAAAGGTGGTCTGTTATCAGGCTCTCCATTTAGTTGTACCCAGTTGAAGGCTGAGGAACGTTTGCGTATTGCCCAAAGTTACTGAATTCCTATGTAGTAGATATGCTATTGCATTAGGTTGAATGTATGCCTGGATGATTAAAACTGTGATCATGATTATTTATTTACTTGGATTCTAGATTCCAGCCTGGATCATTTCCCATACAGACAATTGTCGCCAAGACCACGTTCAAGTTTTCTACAGAAGCCTATTTAAATGAGGTCAGTAATAGCCGAGTAATGTTAATTCGAAAGTATTGCCTACGGTTTTTCTTGGCTGATCACAATATTTTGCACTAAACCTCATTGTTTAGCTTTCCTAAAGGCAGGAAAGCAGAATTGCCACAGTTTCAGGATTTTGGCCAAATTCTACATTTATTAAACCTTGTGATAATTAATACTGGCATATGATGAGATGGTGATGGTCTTTACATCACATAAGTGAATAAAACAGGCCTATGACCCCGACTAAACTGAGAAATTTAGCATTTGCTAAGAGGATTTTATAGTGACCAGTAAGGCTTGATAAAAAGCCTACCGTCCCCTGTGATTTGGTATTAAAGACTTAGTTTATGTAGCGGAAACAGCCTTGTAGCCACTTCTCCATCCCCTAGGTGTGGGTTATGGAGGAATAATATCTGAAATGTGGTAGATTTAAGTCATTTTTGAATGTAGCAAGATGGAATCCTGAGACTATTAAATGTATATTCTCATGTAATTCCAATTTGGTCAGCTGTTTATTTAATTTTACGGGAGACAGGAGATGTTGTCATTGTGCAGTGTAAGAGAAATGGAGATTATTCCATATTTTACTGGTTCTACTGGTCCATATCGCCTCTCATGAAGTCACAGACAAGAGGACTTCCTACTATGTCTGGCATCCTCTTGCACAGTGCAAAGATTTACGTGTGATATTTCATTGTACACCTGTTAGTCTGTGTAAGAACTCTTCAAACTTAGCAACACTCTGGCCACATCCATGGCTGGCAAGGGGGTGCATTTCCCCAAGTCCTAGCATACAGGTTACAGCCTCACAGCCCCATTCTCCTGCAGATTAAGGTTGTGGAAAGTGCTTTGGAACATCTGTTGGTGCAGGAGTGAGGCAGCAGGCAGGATTTGTGCAAGGCCATAACTAGCCTGACGTATGGTATGGATTTATGCATGGACTGGTCCACTTGGATATTTCCTAAAATAATACAGTATCTGGGACTGGCCAGGCTGCATGACCTATATGACCCAGTATGTCTGATGTCCCTATGATTATTATTTTTTATTATTATTATTTATAAAGCGCCAGCAAGTTCCGTAGCGCTGTACAATGGGTGGACTAGCAGACACGTATTTGTAACCAGACGAGTTGGACACACATGAACAGAGGGATTGAGGGCCCTGCTCAATGAGCTTACATGTGAGTTGGGTATAGTGACACAAAAGATAAGGGTAGGGTAGAAAGGTATTCATTGAGGGCTTAGTGTTTTGTTTTGATGACAGTTTCAGGAGAGGAATCAGGGTGCGGGGAGGGAAAGCTGTTTACAGTTTAATTGATATGCTTTCCTAAAGAAGTAGGTTTTTTCAAGTTTTTTGAAGGAGTGGAGATTGGGTGAAAGTCTAACAGATGGGAAGAGCATTCCATTGGAATGGTGCAGCCCTAGAGAAGTCTTCAAGGTGAAAATCAGAGGTAGGAGTACGAACAGAGGTGTAGGGGCCTAGATGGGACATATTTAGATATTTGTAAGCAAGTATCATGATCTTAAATTGCGCACTATATCTTACGGGAAGCCAATGTAGGGACTGACAAAGGGGGGAGGCGTGGGAAGTGCAAGCGTACAGGAAGATGAGCCTTGCCGCCGCATGCATTATAGCGGCAGGATTTGGCGATTGATTGGACATGAGGGGTGAAGGAGAGGTCGGAGTCAAAGAACACCTATGCAGCGAGCGAGGACACAGACAAGGGAGTAGCAACACTTGAGTTTTGGACAGGTTTAATTTAAGGACATGAGCAGCCAACCAGTTGGAAATAGCAGAGAAGCCGTCAGAGACACGAGTCAAGAGGGGTGGTGAGAAATCAGGGGAGGACAGATACATTTGCTTGTCATTGATGAGTATGTATGATGTTTACAAATATCAGTAGGGTGACACACCAATTATCGCTGGTTGCAATGGACTTGCAGGAAACAGAGTCTGCATCTCTTAGGCTTACACAGGTCTTTGTGAATGATGTGTCAGAGCTGTGCAAGTCACACCTAACATCTTCAACAGCCTCTATATGTAAAACCCATATTGTGAATGTTCCGCACGAGTAACAACATTCTGTGAGTTTTGTACACAAAAAAATGTCCATTCATTTGTTCTTTCCCCCCCAGCCCAAGAGTTGCCAACCCTCCCCTGGCCACAGCTGCTTGACTTATGTTAGCTTGTTGCTTAGAGAAATAAACTCACTACTTAAATAGCCAGTAATTGCACAAGTTACTGTAAACAAAGTATTAGTTTTTATTAACAAAGTACCAGTTATCATGACAATGTACCAGTTCTTGACAAAACAAAATCACAGGTTTATAACACTTATTTTTTTGTTTAGGTCACAGCTTTCTTTGCATCGACAAAGGGCAAGAGTAAAGATATGTGGTGTGTTAAAGAAGCCATTGAAAACATTAAGGTGAACATCCAATGGATTGAGAAGAACCTGGACAGCTTAAAACAATGGTTGTAGCATTCAACAAGTCAACATGCCCACACTGAAACTGTTGGAGATTCCTTTTTTTCTCCTTTCTTTCTGAAAAACGTGAAGACAAACAAGAAAATCACTGCAACATTGTGTGCACTACAAGAAGGTTTTCGATGGCTCAGGGCGACCACAAAAAAAAATGTTTTTTCTCTTTTGCACGAGTGCTTGTTGGAGTGAGGAGCGTGGTGAGAGAATGTATTTATTACGGTGTAGTAGATACCATGTTGCCTCTCTTGGCTGTGCATTGCAGTATACATGGCTGCAAATATTAAGCAATTTCTCTATGACCACTGTGTTCAAATTTCCGGTTTGAAAAGATTTATATGCAACTACTGCTGGTAGCACATTTTGTCCCAAACGCTGCCGAAAGTCCTTATGGGTAGCTTCTAAAACTGTGTAAATAATAGTTACAGCCATATTCATTATGGATAATGTTTTTGTGCCAGTTTGTTATATTAAAGGTATATGAAGAGGTAACATTTTAGGTTGACTCTCCGAAAGGTATGGACTTGGCTTTCTGTATGTTGAATTTTTTTTGTTTGTGTTTTTGTAAGAAAATCTTTTTTTGGGTGGGGGGGGGGGTGTAAGGGAAGGATTTAAAGTTAGGGACTAGATACTTTAAATGAGATCCATTTAAAAACCAACAATCCATGTTTATGAAGCAGTGATATTTGCACTGTAGGTTAAACATTCACTTGCATTCCTTTAATGCAGAAATTGGGCACGTCTAAAATTCAGCCCACTCAATTCAACTGTAAATCACACGTGTTATTATGAAAGCCTTTTTAGGGATTTTTTTTTTTACATTTCTGTATTCAAACTGCTGTCAGGGGTAAGCTCTTGCTCTGTAATAAGAGTTAATTGAATAAACCGTATACTTGTTCTCTATGAACAAAGAAAATTACAGTAATTAAAAAAAACAAAAACAAACAACAATTATTTTAATGCTTTTTTAAAACATTTTTTTTCTAGGGAATGCTTTCATAAAATAATATCGGCTTGGTATGGGGGGAAGAAATGCTGTATAGTTTTGATGCTGACTTAACACAATACTTGCACAAAATCCAGTGTGTGTAGGAAAGTTACGGCAGACCTTGGCACTAAATATGTTTGTGTACCACATTTCCGTTCAGATTCTGCCAGTCTTTGGGTTAATCTTCCTTTCTTTGGGATGACTGTCTTTTTGTAATACGTTTAATATGATCTGGGTGCTTTTTGCCTAAAGCTCGTAACTGCATCAGAAATATTTTCTTTCTAAACAAATGGCTTTCTAGAGTTCTTTTCAGAAGCTTGCTGGTTTTTTTTTTGGTTTTGATTGAAAATGGTCAAAAATAAAATAATTGGATACAATATCAGTGACTCCTTATTTTTTTGTTTTGTTACTTTAGCTGAATACGACACTGTGTTTCTCTTTCTTAATTCTATATTCTTTTTTTTCATTTAAATGTATCACTTTTTTTTGTCTAGGGATTTTGTATCTTCATCATTTAAGGCTCTTACTAGCTGGAATTATAAAGCCTTTGCTGAAAGAAAAGTGTGAGGTGATGACAGGTGTGAGATGATTAATATTGAAGTGTTGGTCTTTGGCTCTTTTCTATTCTCTTCTGTGAGTGGGTGTGTGGGAGAGGTCTTGTGGCCACATCTGAAATTGTTAAAATGACGTCTGGGAGCATCTGTAATTGTGTATTATACCTAATTTTTGTCTGTCAAAGCATTTATCAGCATATTTTTGGAGGGAAAGGGAAATGTACTGCTAAAAAGGAGAGCCCATTGTGGACTATTTAACTACTTACATATTGTAACTTGTGGGTAAAGAATGTTCTATTACTCATAGGACCTCTGTATTTAGCTTTGGGACAGAACTATGATGAGATGATGGGAATCCAGTGCCTCAGTACTATGAATATTTGCTATAATTTTCTTAAATTGAAAAAAAAAAAAATACTTAAACACTGTTAGTTTTGTTAGATGGTGTAACGGAGCTCCAGTACTCCGACCGAGTACCTCCACTAAGTCTGCTTCCTTGTAGCTATCAGGGACCCTGAAACAGTTCAGACCCAGACGCCGAGGCTTGACTGCGAGCACTTAGGGCCTTTTCCACCCTGGACCAAACACCAGACGACACATGGTGAAGGTTAAACAGCAACTCTTTAATGAATACAGCACACATAGTTTAAGCCCCCAACAGCCTCATTTACATACAATAGGTTACATAGATTACTATAGTACCAGGAAGGGTGGGGTCAGACAATAGCAAGGGCTGATGTGAGATTGAGGAGAGACGGAGCAGCTAGATTAAACTGGTCTGGCAGTGTCCCTGGGACAACACCCTGCTGGGGAAACAATAGGACAGGAAAAAGGGGGAGGGGGAGATGCACAGACCAGCAATGCATTCAACATACCCTGCACAAATAATAGGCACAATGTGACAAAACACAAAAGGAATTTGGGAGCCCACCCATAGCGTCTGTCTTCCATCCCCAGTGATGGTGACTACCGTCACAGATGGGTCTTCCATCCTGAAGCCGAGGATTACTTAAACAAAGTGAAGGATGGCGATATCTTCTAACACTCAGGGAAAATTATGCTTTCTTCTGTGTAGTATTCTTACTCGTCTGAGACCACTTTGTCTTGCCTGCTCTAACTGCTAATCTACCTAGGTTGATTATCTTGTTTTTCTCATTTCAACACTTCATTATATATCCTTCAGCCATTACCAATACCCGAAGGAGCAAACAATATTATATGATGCGTAATAACATTGTTTGCTACATGCACTACTGCCATTTGTCAGTGCAAATGGATCTTGAAACTTTACTTTTATGAAGAGCGTTCCAAAAATGATAAGCCAACAGAGAGACTGCATATGTGTCAGCCAAGTGCCCCAGCACATTTGTATTTTATTCTGCTATCGTCTTGTATATAAAGTGTACTTTTACTCTTTTTCTTTCAAACCCAAGAAAGCTTGCATATCACAAATACAGTTTTATATAAATGAAGCAAAAGATTCACCATGTATATCTTGATCAAGTTTTAACAAGCCATTTACAGGAGATGGTAATGTTGTACCCTAGTGGTTAAGCTGCAGCTATCATAAATACCAAACCTTAATGCAGGTAAGCAAGGTGATCATAATCAAGACATGAAATAAAAATGCAATAAAAATGAAGAAAAAACAATCAGCAGGTAAAACAAGGAATAAAGAAATCCTAAGAAATAGGTGCCCACACTAAAGAAGAGAGAGCTATGGGTCTAGAGTCATTGAATAAGACCAGTGTACTGAACCAAGGGCCATCATAAAATGGATATTGCCCCGGCAAAAGAGGAGACTCATGTCCCACATATCTGTATCCCACCATCCCCAAAACCCAACACAGCCCATATCACTGATCATTTCCAAGGGAGTGAGCAGTGTCCAGATGACTGTCCCGGTTTGGGCCGCGGTGTAGGAAGGTGGCAATTCACAACACGGCCGAACCTACGATGAGTTAGTGCCTTCCAGGGAACCTGCTTCTGCCTCCCCGCTTTCAGTGTAGTGTTGAAGCTTCGCCAGGAGCTGTGCTCTGCTGGGTGGCTCGATGCAAGAATGGTGCCGACAGGACTTCCTCAGAAGTGGTAAGACATTGGGTGAGTGCAACCCAGAAGGTCGCATATAGACTATTCAGCTTCTCTGTGAAAGTCTGTTGTAGGGCTCGCGAGCCAGGTTTGCATGTGGCGTCCACCATCTTATGGTGTGGCCTACAAGCGTAGGCCTCTTGTAGGCCACAGATCCACCTCTGGAGAAAAGCCGCCGATCTTGGTCTTAATCAGTAGAAATCAACTGCAGCAGATGCTTCCTGGCAGTGGGATGTCCCAGCTGGTATAATTTGAGGTAAAAGTATGCAGTTGGGCCTATTTTAGAGCTGGTCGTACGGTGCTCACAAGATGAGCGACCGGTCAGCACGGCTGTTGGGCTTTGCCTCCATGTCAGAAATATTTAGTCAATGAAGAGGGCATTCTATCTTGCTGGTACTTGTTAGGCATTTAAAACATTTAGAAGGGGATATAGCTGTTACCTGAAGCAAAAAGAACACTCAATAGTGTAATAGAATTAACAGTGGTCGGTGGATAATAATATAATATATACTTGTTAGGTGCTATAAGATATGTGGTATCTTACTCCCTTAGCCACGTATTATTTAGGGGTCACATTGATGCTAGAAGGATTTGTACAGTTCTATAGTCCTGAGCCTACAAATAAAATCAGATACACCTTGTTCCCATTTGTGGTTTTGGTTGCCTGGATTCTAATTTAGCTAGTTTTCTTTGCTCTGCTTTTTACCTGCCCGACTTCTAGCCATCTGACTTGCTGACTTTCACCACTTAATTAATGCCCTTCCTTGAATTCTCTTACTGATATGTGTACCATTTCTAAACCTTACAAAATGTTCATGGACTTGACTTTGTTGTTAAACTATGTCTGGAACACATCTTCATCATGTGCTGAGGTATACATGTATGAATTACATATCCACTCCATTCTCATGCTTCTGCAATTATCCTGCCTATGTTTTAATCGTCTCATACCTTTCTCTGTCATGTGCTACACTTTGTGGGCTTATACATAATACCATTCTGTTAAATGCAAAAACTATCAATCTACTAATACATGCTATAAATCAGTATTAAAAGAACTTATTTGAAACAACCATTCCAAATCCAAGTTGCTGGCAAGTAGAATTGAGCAAAAATTAATTTATAGTGATTTGTCCATGTCAAATTCCTGTTTCTCAATAATGGAATGAGTGGATTACGAATAGATCTTCACTGTATATTTATCTCAAGCAAGTCTACCTTTGTGATATACATAAACCAGTAACCAAACAGCAGTTAATATGGGAACATGTTCTAATGCAGAAATGCATTGCTTGTAATACATGTATGGATTAAATTTACCATTGTCCAAGGTTTCACCAATTGCAGGAAGGCGCTTGGTCACATACTAAATTCTCTTTAGCAAAGCCAAGTATGTTTGACAAGAAGGTTGGTATAGAAGATGTAGATACTCCGAGTTATTGGATGTTGGATCTTAAGGTATAACTGAGAGCTACAAACGGTAAGTGACAACTTCGAGACAAACTGATGTGTGACCACCGCGAGGTCATCGTATGACAGTTATCAAACTTTTATGGTCCGTTCCTAACTGTTCTTAACTAAGTAATATTTGTCAAATTCTTCCTTGATTTATTTATGACTAATATTATATTGTATACATTTAATTACACTAGGAGTGCAAAAAAAAAAGGGTTTAAAATGACAAATTTCAAAATATCCTATCTTATGAGGGATAGTACACGTCCGGTCCTTTCTTTTGCTCAAGTTTGCAGATGCAGTAGCTACGCAGGTTTTATTGTTGTTTTCCGAGCCACATTGTCAGGCTAGCATGCGTGGCAATGGCGACTGGAGACCTGAGCCTCAACAGTTGCTGGTATATCGGGATATCTTCATTCTTTTTCCAGTGCCTCCACTCAGTAATTTGAATAGGGGGAACCCACCCACTGAGGAATGGCCCCTGCCACACAAGAAAATATTGCGCACACCACAAAATGCAGATAATAAATATGTGAAAGGCCGAAGGCCTGTGTTTGTGGGAGGAGTTAGCGTTCCTATAAAAACGCTACCCCCCCTTCCTACCTTGACGAGGCTTGCGCTGTTCACCCTGGTCTTCGCGCTTTTTTTGTGACAGCTACCGCCCCCTCATGAACCCTCAATACCTGCTATACCAGGTTGTTTGTCAATTAATACTACATGTCAATTCGTGCATTACTATCCTTTCGGCTAGGTGTGGGAACGATCTTTCCTGTGCCAATTGTATGCATGCATTGAATGGATGAATTCCTTGAGGACCCCTTTTATTCCGGTGACGTTCACTGTCTGTTTCTGTTGGTTGCACAATATAATTTACTACAATTGTTTAGGCATACATTTCACATATACAAGGCACAGGTTATCCTATTAACTTTCCACAAGGCTGCCATTCCAAAAATGCTCAGCACTCGGTACTAAGGGTTGGAGATCACCCACCCACAGTGTAAGGGGTGTTCTATGCTGAATGCAAAGGAAGAGCAGTCTGGGTCTCTCACTTACACCATTATGTGGCGCCAGTTTACCTGTGCAGCTCACATCGTCCCTTTAACTGAAACCAGGAAGTACAGAGCAAACTGACACATCCAGACAGGATTAGCATATGCCCCGCGCACCGCTAGTCAAGCCAGGGTTACCATGGCCTCAGCAAGCTGCGCCCCATCTCACCTGGAGGTCTTCCTACACACTGACAACCAGGGAGAGGGTTAATCTATCCAAGCCCTAGGTT